AGACTACAGTCCAGATGTACCCTTTCAGTATCACCCCCATATCTCCACTCCCTTCCCCTGGTGTTTACAGTAGTATCTCTGGAGACAGACATGCTTTAAATGAGTGATTTGGGGGTAATTCATTTGAATCCTGACCTCAATGTTTTTATCTATAAGATAAGTACAGTTAAGATCATTATTTCAGTTTTTATATTATTCTTAATGTACTTAAAGCTTTTTACTACCCCACTAACCTCCTTGATCACACTTTATTACTCAAAGGGAACACATAGCATATATTCAATAAGTTATCAATCAAGATGAAGTAACCAAAGTTGATTTTCATGCAGTATCCCTTAGTGGGGAAACAGCCACCTTTCATAGGTGCCCAGTTAACTACCTTTCTAGACAGCTATTAACATCCCTTTATGAACTAAAAACAGCCTACTCACTGTAGCACAGCTATGAGTTCCTGTTGTTATCCTAAAAACTAATAAGTTGGACTTCATATTACTGGAAATACATTTTATGATCTACTTAGAACTGAAATTTCTTTCTAAGGTGACATTAAGTCTAGAAGACACACAGATTATTGTAATTGTAAGAATCTTTCTCTTTATGCCATCCATTCTATGGGCCTGTATTTGTCATTTCTATACATTGCATTAATATGTTCTATGAAGATTCAGAATACAATACTCTTCTTTAAGGCAGCAGTGAAGATAAAATGTGAATGTGTACATGCATATATGTGTATTGGAGGGGGTCACACACATGTAGTGAGGGATTAGAGGATAGATTGTAACCTGTGAAAGAATGTTAGCAGTACCCTTTGATGGATTCAAACAGTTGAGGATTCTGTTTTTGCCTACATTCAAAGAGGTGATGAACATTTGGATATCTGAAAGAAAGAGATTAAGAAATTTTTAAAATTGATTTTTGCTTAGCTAGTATTGGAATAAATCCCCAACTACGCTGAGCCAAAGAGCAAAATATCTAGATATGGAAGAGCTGGTCTGAATCCATCTGGCTCCAATATACTAAAGGTCAATAGTCTTTCACTTAATAACTAATCTTCTGTATAAATAGTACATACTGTAGACCTTTCAAAGAGAAAAAGGGAATAAATCAGCATAAGCAGTGTCGTACTGTTGCTGTATATGATCAAAGACTTTTGATGCAGTGGGAAGGTTAAGTGATAAAAAATATTGGTCTGAAAACAAAGCTCTTTGTCATTAGTATGTAGTCTATTGTTAGAGATGATCTATGATGGTTGGTAGCACTCAAGTCACAGAGGACATTCTTTTTACAGCCAATTAATGTAGCCAATGATGGATCCCTTGATCACTGTCAATTTGGAAAGAGGTGTCCATAGTATTAATACCAGTAGCTAAGGGAAATTTCCACTTCCCAGATAAAAGGAATTAATTTTTACCCTATGTAATAGATGTATAGATGACTATATTGATTATGATAATGCTTGTGGGGGGAAAAATGAGAGGATGGAAAGGGTAAATAATCATCACAGATAATTTATCTTCTTTCCATATCATGAAACATCAATATGGAACCTACCAAACTGGTCACATTGGCATACTATGATCATTTGGAAATATGAGTTCAAATTCAGCAGAATAATGTGCAACTGATTCAATAGCTAATTCAAATGTGGAAAAAAAGAACACTTTGCATCTTTGTGAAAACATTTCCCCTTGATCACATTATTTCTGATTAAGCCAGAAAACAAAATAGCATCCAGAGTCCTCATTTATATCTTCTCAACTGAGATCCAGTTCGTTTAACCATGTGTCCTTTACACCGGCACTAAGACAGTTTACTCAATGACATTGAGAGGCTTGTTTTAGCAATTCAGGAAAAGGTGATGTCAGGAGTGATAAGAAACCTGGTCACCTTCAGTATTTTATGGTTCTGTATTATGCATAATAAAGAGAAACCAGGGTGGTAACTTAGGCAGATCAGTGATTCCTAAACGTGGCTAACTATGAAACTCATCTGGAGGCACTTGCTAGAAATAAAGAATCTGCCCTTTCATGCAGTTTGAGACAGGTGACTCTAACAAATACTTGAGAAGAGTTGTTGTAAATGATGTGTAGTTACTAAAGAAAAAATTAAATCTAAGTGACAGGGTGCATCCTCATGGCTACTGTGTCTTATGCTACGAGTCTAAGACTAGAAGTTGACATTTAACTTTGGATAATGGGTCAATAAATGAATTAGCATAGCACTATAGATCACAGCACTCCAAAGAATGTAGTAAAATGTAAGTGATAAAAGATCGATTAATAGACAACCATAGAATTGATTAATAAACCTTGGGGGGAAGTCTAGACATCAGGCTATTTAATTAGAGCTGTAATAAAACTTACTGATATAGCTGTTCCACTTAATGGAAATTTCCATTAAGCCTATATATAAAATGAATGATGTGCAAGACTGTGGCAAATGTGCAATAAAATTGTCAAAGCAGGGTAGGTACTGTCTCAGCAATTGCTGTTGATTTATAGCTATTAATCAGCTATAAATAGTATCACAAGTGAAAGAAAAATCATCCTCTTTAATCAAGCAAACAAAAGAGTAATTTATTATATAATATCAAGCCAATATATTTTTTACAGTAGGATAAATACAATATAGAAAGTGAAGAGAATAACCCATAGTTCTAGAAAATGACTAATTGTGAAAATAATCAATGGATAATTAGCTATGTCTATTAGAGTCTTCTGGGGCTAGGTACTTGTGTTATATGCCAAGGACACAAAGACAAATGAGATATGGTCCCAGATCTCAAATATGAATTACTTAGAAGGGTCTTCTGGTATCTAATCTAGACCTAAATTGACTCTTAAATGGGTCCTGAGTAGTAGCATAAAAATAGAGGACAAACAGTCCTTTAAGAGAATCCTTCTCTCTCAATGATATCAATAGCATTGTTATTTTCATACAAAGTTTTGTGCATTTATTGATTTTAATAAATATGAAAGAATTACAATTTATAAAATTTATTTGTAAAATCTGTGAATGTAAAATTTGATTTTGTTAAGGCTGGCCTTTTATAGATATAAATCCACTCAGTAAAAAGTTATTTCAAGATGAGTTATTTTTATATTCAATTGATCATACATATATTTAACATAGTAAATGATTAAATAATTTAAAAAATAATCCCTGATTTTATTCACTCAATTTAGACTTGTAAATAAATACTTCCCCAACTTACGTGATTAACACTTATAAGGGGACCAGCTCCTATGACAAAAGAATAGAAAATATATTTCTCAGTTTTGTGTAAATAGATATGCTTCTGCTGATATTACTTGTATACAAATATATTACAAATAGTATGAGGGATTATTTCTATGGCTAAATCCCCATTTCTCTGTGAAAATGATGGAAAACATGCAAAATGTAAATTCAGCCTTTTAAGCATTGCATACCAAAAATACTATGAAAAGATTGGTGGAAATCTTAGAAAGTATTTTCAAGATCAAATTAATAGTTACTGATTCTGTTCGGCTTACCCTTCTGGAAACAGTAAGAGGATTTTTCTCCAAATGAAGTTTTATACATATCAAAATGGTGACAATCTAAGCTAAATATCAAAGAACACTTTTGTCCATCCTGTGAAACTTATTTTAGGTAAACATCAGGCCTCTATATTCAGGTAAATGGCCACTTATTCTGGATAGACAAGTATTACAGATTTTCCAAGAGTGGATACACAGCACAATATACTCAACACAAGGACTAAGGAAAGGGAGCATAAACTCTCTTTTTCAATCAATCATAATTCTTCAAAATTATACAATGCATGAGCTCTTCATATGATAATCAATGATATATTAGGTGGACACAGAATTGTAGTAGAAAGCTTTGGCTGCTAGCATGACAGTGAAGGTGACTTATATATTTTAGAATTTATTAATTTACATTTAAGAAAACATAAGATCAATACCCCATCCGTTTTTAATGCACTTTTAACATGCACATTAAAATGAGAAAACATTTTTGATACACTTTCTACATGCACATTAAATTAGAGTAGGAGCAAATAGATACATGTGTGACATCATTGGACATACTAGTAAAAGTCTACATGAAGTACATATATCTCCTGTCTGAATAAGGCCCATTTTCCTAAATCTCGAATAATGTGAAAGATTAGGGCTCGGATGAGAGCCACATCTGATGATGAATTGAACCATAGAAAGTTTTAGCTGGCTTGCCACTGAAGGATTGGGCCTAATTACCCTGAACTTCAGTCTGGAAAAGGCACATGATGCCTGATATCTTACTAATGCTCTCCTTACTAGACAGAGAAACATGGAAATGAGTATAATTTTTCAAATATTCAAACTCCTTTCAAGAGCTTTCTAGTGGAGGTTTTGGCTTCACGGAGCTTCTACAATGTGATAACTTCTTGGTGACAGGAATCCATTTAGATGAAAAACAAAAGACACTGCTAAAAAACAAAAAACAAACAAACACCATATTTCTAATGCTAATGAATACAGAAAATATTCTCACACAGTAGATAGTGAATTTGAACGTTTCATTTTCTAGCTGTTTAGAAAACTTGTCCTTTTATTCTCTTCCAGTAACATCTGGAGACACCAACAAAAAGGAAACTATATTCTTACAAAAAGAGTAAAATAATACTGAATACTCATTGTAACTTCTATGCCTGAGAGATATTTTAACACTTAGAACAGCTTATGTGTTTTCATACAACTTTAAAGGCAAAGTGGCTTAATCATTAGAAAACATCAGTACTGAACATATTAGGCAGTAAAAACAAAAACTAGGAGTCACCAGGGGAAATACAATATTCATTGGTAAAGTGACACTGTTACTAGTTACAAAGTTCTATAACATAACAAAGTAAGTTTTATAAAAATGTGTAAAAGTTTATGATAAGACTTTGCAAAGGCCAAGCTGATGATCCAGGGAGTAGGTTATGACCGTGTTATTTTAAGTAAGTGTTAACATTTTAAGACATCCCTTCACATGTCTGCACGAACAAAAGAAGCAAATACTCCATCTTCCCGTGCCAAGAGGCTTTCTGGAGTGTCATATTCTAAAATATTTCCTCGCTTCATCACAATAACAAGGTCTGCTGTCAGAATAGTGTGAACCCGATGCTGTGAATGAAAAGAATACAGATATTTGTTACAATTTTTTGGGCACAAGTGGAAGCAATGTATATGAATATTTCACCAATTATTCAGGGACATTTATTTACCTTGAAGTGGGTTTTTAAAATACTGGCCACTATGGCTGTGTCTTGTATGGTCTGTATTAAATTGATTTCAGCTAATATAGTAGTTTCACCCATTTTCATGGAAGGGTAAGTAGGCTAATAAATGTTTTGTCAAGTAATTAAATAAAAGCCACCATTGTGAATCAATTGAGTTATAGCTTAGTCTAGACACGAGGTTGGCAAATTGCAGCTCGTGAGCCACATGGGGCTCTTTGGCCCCTTGAGTGAGGCTCTTCCACAAAATACCACAGCCTGGATGAGTCTATTTTGAAGAAGTGGAGAAGAAGTTTAAGTTTAAAAAAATTGGCTCTCAAAAGAAATTTCAATCATTGTACTGTTGATATTTGGCTCTGTTGAAACTAATGAGTTTGCCAACCACTGGTCTAGACCAAAATCATATATTGTGTGGAATCAACTAATTCTGGGGGCTAACACACAACTGGAAGAACCCTGGAAGGTGGTCAATTCTGGGAAGACAACATGGAGACGTCTATTCTGGCAAGCAGTATGAGAATGGATTATTCAGGATTTTAAACATGCCATCTCTTAGTCATTTGAGATCAATGCCATCACTTGTTCTATCTTTCTACATGGCACCCTTTGGAGAGAAGCTTAGGTGTTAGTAATTAATAATAATAAAAGCTATACCTTATTGAGCATATATTACACATTCAGGGCTCAACACACATACTTGTTAATCATCAGAGCACTCCTCAAGTGTGGGTGTTATCTGTCTTTTTTAGGGCAGATACTTGGGGTTCATGGAGATAAAGCAAAATCAGGTGATCACCTAGATGTTAGCAGCAGAATTAGCATCAAAACCGTGTTTGATTTCAAAGTGTAAGATATTTCCAACCTGCCACCAAACTGCTCCCTCAGGAGTACCTGGTGGACTGTTCACCTGCCATTGTTAGCATCATGGCTAAGAGCAGAGGCTCTGAAGTTAGAGTTGGCTCATATTTTGGTTTCACCACCTGTTAGCTGCACAATCTTGAGTAACAAACTTGATTTTTGCATGTCTCAAGTTTCCTATCTGTAAAATGAATAATAGCACCTAACTCGGAGAATGGTGGTGAGGATCAAATGAGATAATCCATGTAAAAAAAATCAGCACTTTGTATGACACATACACACACAAAAAATAAATATTAGCAACTGCTATTTTTTATTTTTAGGATTTACAAGGGAAAAATCTCAGCAGTAAGCCTTTCCATTATGCTTGCTTAGTAAATGCTATACAATATAAATATAATGTGGGCTGCAAATGTGAGACACACGTAATTTTAAATTTCTTAGAGCCACATTTTAAAGGTACAAATAAATAGGTAAAGTATACTTTAATTATATACTTTAACCCAATATAGTCAAAATATTATTTTAACATGTAAGCAATATAAAAGTTATTAATGAGGTATTTTACATTCTTCTGTTAGTACTGTTTTAGATATCCAGTGAATATTTCACACTTATAACATCTCTCAACTTTAAATACCCTTATTTCAGGTGCTCAATAGCCACATGTGACTAGATGCTACCATATTGAACCTGAATCGTGCAAGTCAGAACATCAGCATGCTGATGGGAGTGCTAAACCTGAAAATATCACCTCATTAGTTGCTACACAGGCTTCCAAAGTGCCTTCTCCTAACAACCCAAAGTCCAACCTAAAGCCATCTCTAGGGGCAAAGGCCTGTCTTCTGCCCTGGAATATTATACTTAGATGGGGGAGTCTCAATGTTCATATGTTCCAACAAGCTGGGGGACTTACAGCAAGAGGGGAAAAGAAACACTCATATGGAGTGTGATAAAGATGACAGCTTTAGAACATGCATCATCATTTTCGACACCATAGACAAACCTATCACTCATGGAATATTGATAGTTAATGGTATATCTTAGGGCAATGGTGAGCAAACCGCGGCTCGTGAGCCACATGTGGCTCTTTGGCTTTTTGAGTGTGGCTCTTCAACAAAATACCACATGCAGGAGCGCATGTACAGTGCGATTGAAATTTGATTTTCGGCTATTTTGAAGTGTATTTTGAAGAAGTGGCATTAGAACACTCAAGGGGCCAAAGAGCTGCATGTGGCTCGCGAGCTGTGGTTTGCCAACCACTGACTTAGGGAATATCACTAATTTTGGATGATAATGTCTATTTATCTTTGTGAAAGGACCAGAGAGATTTTCATACCCACACATTTAGAAAAAAAAATACACTTAAACAGAATATACTGTTTAATATATGCTGTGCATTTTCCCTCAAAAAGAATTTAGTCCTTCAATAACCATAGTACAGATGTTAAAAAAAATTTTTTGGCTGTTTCTTTTTTTTCTTTTTTAGAATTTGACTTCTATATCCATAAATGGAATATTATAAACGTTGCCTTGATATTCTAAAGTAGTATTTGTTTTTTAATGGAAACATTAAAAAACTTGGCCAATGGGAAGAAATATATTTGGCTTTTATCCTATTAATCCAAATAACTGTTTGCTTGACAAAGTGTGGTGTCCATTACAATAGCGTTAAAATTTTCAAAATGCTCCACAGAAATTAATCTAATTAAGAGTGAAGAATGAATCACTTTCATAAATAATGCCATGCACTATTTTGGTGCATGAGGGCTTCTTTATAAAAGCCAAAGCAAATTATTTTAAGCTATTCATAATTTTCATTGGCAGATAAACAAAATTAACAGAACAATTTTTAGCAGGGGAGGAAAAATGGTTATAATAGAGCTGAGGATCATTCTACGAGGGGTCCCCCACAAGTGAGTCACGCTCTATCTCCTACACACACACACACACACACACACACACACACACACACACACACACATCTCTATCTCTATCTCTATCTCTATCTCTATCTCTATCTCTATCTCTATCTCTATCTCTATCTCTATCTCTATCATCTCTATCTCTATCTCTCTCTCTCTCTCTATATATATCTATATCTATATCTATATCTATATCTATATCTATATCTATATCTATATCTATATCTATATCTATATCTATATCTATATCTATATCTATATCTATATCTATATCTATATCTAATTTTTTTGGTGGAAAATACAAATGATGCTCAAGTAATCTTCCAGGTGTAGATTAAAGGAACCATCTAGCTGAAACCGGTTTGGCTCAGTGGATAGAGCGTCAGCCTGTGGACTGAAAGGTCCCAGGTTCTATTCCAGTCAAGGGAAGAGCATGTACCTTGGTCCTGGCACATTCCCAGAAGGGGGTGTACAGGAGGCAGCTGATCAATGTTTCTCTCTCATCGATGTTTCTAACTCTCTATCCCTCTCCCTTCCTCTCTAAGAAAAATCAATAAAATATATTAAAAAAAATAAAATAAAAGGAACTATCTAAGAATACCATGCTTCAGGCCGAAAGGAGAAAACTCGCCTTTAGGGTAGGCAAGAGTCTGTTTTTCCCTCTTTATCTGCCCATTTATTATAGAGAGAACAGGAAATTCTTTTTCCTTATTGCTCCAGTGAGAAAATTACTGAAAATATTATGGGATCTTTTTTCAAGTTAGCCAATTCTTTCACCCTTGAATTGTTCACACTTTAGCGTGAGTGAATTAACCAGGCAACTTCTTCTTCAGAGCAGGAAGAACCTTGAATTTACTAGGGAAGTGGGAAACATAGGTTACTGAGGCCTTGTTCAAAGAAGATGGGCCCTGACCAGGAGTCATTTCCTGCCACCTCGAAAATGCCATGCTTCCAGGATGCTCCTTCCCGCATGCAACATTCACAAAGAGGGCAACCTAAGCAGGCACTCCATGCATGGATCAGCAGTTACACTTAAGTATTTAAATTAATGAATCTTCAGGAACATGCATGGTATTTTTTAGGACACTTACAGAAAGTCCCTCAAGGAATAGGGAAATGAGTCCTTAAGACAGAGGCAAGTCTGGTTCTCGGGTTTTTGTAGACACGCTTTCTTGCATGTTCATATTTCAATACATATACATGTACCTCATTCGAACTGAACATAACTGAAGGACCTGGTTGGGCTGATTTGTGTGACAGTGCCCTGTAGTGAGTTCCCTTAAATATGTTCCCTTGGAATCACCGTGTTAGCCTGGCCTGCCTGAGGGGATGCTGCGAGGATAGCTACCAGAGAATGGGACACTCGGCAGCAGCTCATGATGGTCTACTTGTTGGTCATCACCAAAGTGGAAAAGAGGCCATTCTTGTTGGCAAGCAGTTCTGGAACCGTCCCACACTCCACTAAAATACCCTCAGAAAAGACTAAGACCAGGCCTACATCCATAATAGAAGATACACGATGCTGGAGAGAAAGAAAAGTGGAAAGAAGAAAGAGAATCAGTGAGAGAGAAAATGTCCAGGTGATTGATTCACTTAACAAAATAGTTCGTGTTAAACATGAAGCCTAAACATAAGCAAGAACCCACCCATCTGAAAAAAAGAGAGAAAACCATGGTCTATTGTGAGGAAGTTATAGCATGGATATAAAGAGTTGAGCAATTCTTCAATTTGGTTGGTGCCCAGAGAAAATATTGCCTCAGCTGTGAGGTACCTCATTGCCTTCTTTAAAAAAACAGAACAAAAACACAACAGTTAAGAATAGAGACATAGAAATTAGGTGTAAATAGTAGAAGAACTGGCAGTCAAATTTAAGAGTTTTGCTTCTGAAACTGCTCATCAAACCATCAGATAGTGGAAAAGAGAATTATTCCAGATGAGCTACCACTGTATCTGGTGGAAAAAGCACAGGCCATGACCTGCTAGCACCTAGGTTTGGATGTTCTGTCATTGTAATAGAGGGGTTGTCAATAGATCAGACAAGCTAGAAATAACAATGTAAAGGCTTTCAGGTTGTTTGTTGGCTTTTTTGGTAAAGAGTTAGAAACATTAGCAGAGAAATACATAATTCAATATAAGCATATTTTAATTGCTGAAAAATAAAGATTATTGAATCTTGGAATGAAAACCAAAGAAGAATAAATCAACTCCGTCTCACATACTTACAGCTATTGTAACAACGGTGCGGTCTGCAAAAGCTGTCATTACCACTTTCTGCAAAATGTTTTCCTGCCAAAAAAATAAACAAATTAATTCTGAATTTTTTCTGGACTACTTCCTCTCGCTACGATATCTGGTCCCCAAGAACAATGCTTCCACAAGCCCAAACCCTCTGGGAACTCCCCCTCCTAAGTGCTGCAAAAGATAGAAGAGGGAGCAGTTCCAGGAGCAAGTTCATGCCAGGCTCTGCAGGTGTCTTCAAGATGCAAATAAAACTCGTTTGATAAGTGAGAACTATTTTATTGCTTTAAATTATGTTAACTTTGAGAAAATATACTGTAACTTTGTGTAGCTACTTTAATTGATTAATCTTACTTAATAGAAAGAAATGATGTCAAATTAGCATCTACACATATAATTGGCACCTAATCCTGAAACTGTTTCATTTTTCAGGATAGTTTTACCCAATCTAAGCAAGAAAATAACATGAGGTTGTGGATAATTTTATTTTTGTTTTTTCTGATGCCAAACTTTTAAAATTAAGTTAATTTTTATAAAAACATTGATTGTTAGATCATTCAGTTTGTGATTTAATGTGAATTTTCTCCACTTAATCATAGCTTTCTAGAAAGATCTTTTTTGTATATAATTGACATTTTAAAATAACTCCTTTCTGAAGTCACATTGTTAGTATAAACACATTGAGAACATTATTAATTGTAGCCATTATTAATTATAGTGAATCTTCAAATTGCTTTAGAAATTAATTATTGGCTTTGATCATTAATAGATTCTATTAAGTAGAGATTTGCATATTTCATTTATGAACTTCCATCATAATACTTGAATACAGTACAGTAACACACTCATCTACTGAAACCTAGGATTTTACTATTTTGAGAATTTAACAAAAAGTAATGGCAAATTTTTTTGCATTTATTGGCAATAGGAACACCTTTGAAATCAGCATCTGTGTCCTTTATTATAATTCTCCATGTACTTTTATCAGTTGGTCAAGCAGATGAATGAAATGACCCTCAAAATGATAGGACTGAGGATTCAGAACCCAATCAGAAGAAAAATATTGTAGTTTTCATGTGCCTTTCTTCAAGTCACCCATTTAACAAAGCTTAGGCAGTGCACTCACTGTGGCCATGTCGATGGAAGCTGTCGCTTCATCCATGATGAGAATGCTGCTCTTGCGGACAAAGGCCCTCGCAAGGCAGAACAGCTGCCTTTGTCCAACACTGAAATTCTCCCCACCTTCAGTGACGATCGCATCTAAATCAGAGGAATCAACAAGGATTTCACTGAAGAAATGCTATTATCATATTCCTTGGGTAAGCTAGTGAAACAGGTTATGTCCTATAATAGCAAGCTGGATTCTATTTTGTACCGGTGCAAGGATTTCATTTGTGAAAAGTGAGGAGAAATTTTACATTGGAAAAACAAATATAACCCTGGGCTACCTTCTGTTTTTCAATAGATGATGTTACTTTCATAGAGTAGGATATAAAATACTGTTAAACATTTTAAAGAGTGGAAAACCTTGGGGATTATTTAATTATGTAATATAATAATTTAAGGAGATTATCCTGCATAATAAAAAGCTCAATATATGGAGCGAAATGTTATAAGCTTTATCCTCTTGTGCCACCATGAAGAAATCGTTAGATTTTAAGTGTTCTAATTATTTAAACAATTATTTTTAAATATAAGGAGATTAACACTAGAATTATATAATTTCTCATGTAAATTATAGATAGAGATATGTAGTATTAATTGCATATTTTAAAATACAAATGTATAATGTAGAAAATTTACCTAGACCTCCTGGTAGAGATTTGACCATATTCTTCAACTGTGCAATTTCCAGAGCTTCCCAGAGTCTGTCATCTGTGCACTTGCATTCTGGATCTAAATTAAATCTGTAGGAAGAAAAATCAGTTAATCAGTCAATAAATAAAACTAAAGAAACACTTGTATATGTTTGTGTATTGCTGTTGTTACCTTAAAATGTAAGTTCTATTTGTTTTGGTTGCAGTTGTATCCCCCGTATAAACAACAATGCTTAGGATAGAGCAGGCATTCAACTTATATTTAATAAATGAATGAATGATCGTTATGGCAAATGACTTTTGATGATATAATTACTAAGTTTATATATATGATGTAATAAAACTTTTGAATTCATCCACTTTCATATGTTTCACATAAGCTGAACAGTGTCTAGCAAAACAGTTCTACAGAAATGATGTTAAATATACAAGTCTATTGGGAACATATAAAGCTATTAGCTTTCCCACCTCATTGTGATGTACCAAGTACAAGAATAAATATATTCAGAGACATAAATTTACTATGGTGTTGCTAAATACACTGTTACAGCCAGAACTTTAAATTAAACTAATGTTACAGATGAATATTGAACAATTTCATATACATTTATAGCATCTTCTTAGAAGCAATTTTGGCTGAAAGAAAATTGTGAGGGATGAGGGGTCAGAGGTGAGAATCAAGGTACTAGCCAAACTGAATATATGCTATGGTCAGGTCAGACACACAAGAAATAGACAGGTTATCTGTAGGGTGAAACACCTAAGATTCATCTGCCAAGAATCACTGTCTCTGAGTACAGAAGAAAAAGTGGCATTTATATAATCAAATAGAAAGAGAACTAGAGACACAAAAGATAGGCTCCTATAGACTAATTTAACAACCTTAAGGTTCTCTTACCCAAGTTATTGGACAGATATTTGATTTTAATTTATTAATAATATCATTTCATACCTACCTGGAATATAATTCTAAGAAAAACTCTCCTATGAGCCAAAAGGGTAAACCCTGAGGCACACAGTTTTCTGTTGAATATATAACCTACCTAATAGAACCACTAAATAGTATTGGATCTTGCAGGATGATTGAAAGTCTAGAACGTAGTGTATGCAGTGGTAGTTTTGAAATATCTATCCCATCAATGACAATCTTTCCTGTTAAAGAGAAAAAAAATGACACACATCTATTAAAATCACAAGCAAAATAATATTTATTAGCTTTACAAATTTGAAGCACTTTCCCTAGTACGGGTTGAAATTCCTAAAATTCCTTTATCCTGGTTCCCTGCTTTATTTTCTTTCATAGAACATTCTACATACATTGATCTTTTTTAGTGTCTTTCTCGCCCAACTAGAATATAAGCTCTTTGAAGACTGGGATTTTTGCCTGTCTTTTTTTACTTCTGTGTTAACAGGATAGTTCAATGTATTACAAATAAAAAATTAAAATCTATGACATAGATATCACATTTGAATGAATTTCTCTGTAGTGTACATGGACTTATAGAGCCTTGTGCAATCATGCTGCCCTTTCCTCAAATTTGATAGATTTATCTTATCATGTCACTTTGCACAAAAACAATATGGCCCTATGAGAGCATGTGCCTCTCAGGAAGCATGGCAACCGGAGTCTCTTTTCCAGTTGGCTTTAGATTAAAGATCAGAAAACGTGCTTACCTTAAACTTTCCTTCAAAAATATTATCTATTAAAATCCTATAGACTACTGATATTTCAAAGAGAATAAGTCATTGATAGTCCATATGGGCCTAAAATGCTGTTTCATAATCTAATACATTCAGTCACAACCATAGCTTTTTCATGAAAAGTGTCAATCGTCTTCTCATCATACAGTTGACTTACTCTGAAAATCCCAACAGAAAATCTCCAAAGTATCTCTGTGTTACTACTAGCCATGGGAAGAGCAAACTGCTAACCCAGTGGCAGATACTAACTTGTTTCTGAATCTAAACTCCAAATAGATAATAATTACTACAGCTCGACTTTGTGTTCATAAACTGACCTCTTTATCTCATAGAGCTGTTGTGTAGATTAAATTAACTAGTATAAACTGTCAAGTACAATAAAAACGTGAAGTACTATCATCATCATAATCACTACAGATAATAATAGTAAGCTCACCCTGGAGGTGATAGTCAAACACATTGCTGGATCCCCTTTTACTCAAGATGGTTTATGTGCCGGCCTATTTATAGGCCACTTGATAGACTAAATAATGTGACATATTTTTCCTAAAGTAAAGATTAAATTACTTCTGTGTATCATATTATAAATAATTTTGTGGGTGAATAAATATTTTTGTATATTGTCAACATGGGCTTGGCACCTTATAGCAAAGGTTGACTCCTCACAACATGTTCAACATTATTAAACAAGGTTATTAAGAAGACGATGATAAAAATCATGCACCGAAATGAAAAATGCAGGTTCCTTATCTCCTTGTCTTTTTTCCTTTGATGGAAATAAGATTTATTTTTAGTCTGAGGGAAATAAAAGTCTTTCCCTTTCCCATTTCCTCTTGAAATGCCACCTCTATCTCTACTGCTATTCAAAATGGGTGGACTTGTGTTCATTTTATCAGCTTATTAGAATTTTTTAACAACTGTATCTAAAACTGAAGTTGGAGCAAATAGTTTTATTTTTCCAATTCTACTTTTTTTCTTCACTTCTGGACTGTTTCGTTGGGAGAGCTGCCTCAAAAAATGAGCACTAAGTCCTTATAAATGTTTGGTTTTTATTTCTGTAGATTAGGTAAGTTGATGTTGCATTTTTAAGGGAAAGGACCACCTATCCAATAAAAAAACAAATTAGTGACTCACCATCAAATATATCAACCATTCTGAAGAAAGCCAGGGATAATGATGACTTCCCACTGCCAGTACGACCACATATGCCCACCTAAAAAAGCAACTGTCACTCAGAGAGGGAGAGGACTCAGATAATAGATAATGGAAAGAAGCATTTTTAACTCAGACAAAATACCACAATGAAACTGCAATTCTATTGAAGTACTTACATTAATATTATCATTCTCCTTTATGAATGATCATTATTTAAATAAAAACATGGGAGTTGTCACCAAATCTTCAGTAATTCCATTTCAACTCCTTTTTATTTCTGAGTATCTGTGTTGTTTTCCTTTGTGGCTTAATTTTTGCATTAGTTATATGTTGGTCTAATAATTTTTTTTCTTATAAGTGATGATTTTATAACAAAAAGTAGAATGAGTCCATTTTTTTTCTGCATACATGCTGTCTTTAAAACAACTAAAACAAATCATGTGGGACTAGAGCTAGTACAAATTCAAAAGTTCTCAAGGAGATGTCTGATATGGCTATGAGCCAGAGACAGAAATTTTGAAAAACACACCTATTGTTGACTTTTCATATCTCATGGGAGACTAATGAATGGCAATATGACTGGCAGAACATATATTTTATCCTAATCCTAACTTCCTTTTTTAATGTAGATAATTTGACATGTAAAGTATAGATAATATTATGTGAGCTAAGTGAAAATATACTTTACTGGAATGTCTAAAGAGCTCAGGTAGTAACAGTGTCATCAGAGGGTTTGTCAATCAAATGTCAGTGAATTCCATACCTTTTGACCAGGCTTGATGTAAGCCTTGACATGTTTAAGAACAGGTTTCAGATTATTTTCATATCTGACACACAGATCATGAATCCTGATCTCCCCTTCCTGTGGCCAATGCTCTGGAACCTGAGAAGGATCTGAGGGGTAGGGGAAGAGAGAATGTAAGGAGAAGGAAAGAGAGAGGAAGAGAGATAGAGAGGGAGAGACATACACATTTATACATATGAAAAATATTTTTTCTAAATTTGAAGTAATACTGAATGGAGGGAGTTAATGGGGGGCTATCTATAATACTTTCCATAATAAAGAATACATTTTTAAAATAAAGTAATTCTGAACCAAATTCTGTGGGTTTTCAAAATTAAAATCAAATATAGAGTGAAGGCTTCTGGATTAAGGACTTTTAAAATAGTTTTCTTTGTTATTTGTTCACTCCATTGTTCATCAAACAATTGAGTTCTTAAAATACGAGGGTTGCTGTCTAAGGTGTTGGAAATATAGACATGAAAGACATGCCTTCAAGTGCTCACTGTGTCCACGTAACTCAGCATATACAGTACTGCATAGAGAGACTCATAAGGGAAGACATCCAAGATGTTATGGGAGCACAGAGGATGCTATCCCATCCAGGAGGATTTCAAGAGAAGATGTGGAGGGGAAATGTGTTTTACATATTCATATATAGAGGACAACCAATATTAAAAAGAAAACATAGCCTGTTGGCATGACCAGAGTAAAAGGTGTATGGTTGGATGATGAGAGCTGAGCTGAGGTGGCTGAGCAAGAGTTGCCTAATAAATGGTCTATATGGCTAAGTTATCTAGATTTTTGACCTTGAAGACCTAGATAGCTATTGGAGGATTTAGGCAAAAAAAAAAAAATGCATTTTAAGCATAAGGTTTGCATTCAAGAAAGATTGTTTCCTGACAATTTCCTGACAATTTCAGCAAAGCTAAAAATTTTAGTCAGATTAAGATCCAATTTCTTTACATCTCAGTTAATAAAACCTTGAAAAAGAAAATAAGAATGTGCATGCTTTGGGTTGGTAATTAATATAATAAGGTCAAAATATTTGTATGATTCTCTTTAACTATTACCAAGTAATATATATTGGACTATGGCTGTATCCAAAACTTTTTGGGCCTAAAATGTCATATTATATCAGGAGTGCCTAATCAAGCAAAGTCAAGTTGAGAGGCAATTCTCTGGATACTGATGTGGGAAACAAAAGCAAAAATAACAATGTGTCTGATACACAATATTTGAATAGAATACATATTTAAGAGAATCAAAAGGATATTTCAAACAATACCCATGGTGCCTTCATAGTTCTCAGATTCCATAGTCAAGAAACTGTTCACTTTCTTCACTGCCCCCATCTGGACCTCCAGGTCAGCCAAGTTCCTCACAACCCAATTCAAATAGTTGGTTATCTATGTTAGATGACAAAAAATCAACATGTTTAAAATAAATTATCAATTTTTTTAAATCACTGGATGATTGGAAATAGAATGACTTGGGCAGTTAGTGTACATCATGTGGCACAATTCCTAAGTGCTACAGGATATCAGAGACCAGAGAGGGTGTTATGGGATAAACTTGTCAAAGAAGGTGTCTGTTCTTCTTCAAGGGTCCTGTTTTGTGAAGTCCTGATTTCCATACACAATGGATAGTGGTATGTACCTTTGTTTGTATTTATCTAATTTATATTCACATTCACTTTCATATCCCTACATGGGTTTTGAGCAATTCAGGACAGGGATCCCAAGGAGCCTTGGGGATGCTCTGATCATTGGGTTTGAGGAGGTTCTAAAATTGGTTCACAATATCAGAAATAAATCCATGCTGTCCTAAAAGTCTGGTTTAGGTCCAAATCTGCTAATATTTTTAAAATGTCATCTTTTTATGAATTTCAATCTTATCCTCTAATATCAGCTATGGAAAGTACCTCCAACACTAAACAAAAAGATTTTCATCTGTACCTACCGTAAGTGCGTACAGAAGACCTAAGCCCACCAATCCAGAATTGGAAGACATGCTAATGCACGCAATGGATGCAGTGAGGACAATGCAAGCTCCCAGATAATCCTAAAAAGGAGAAAGAAAAAAATGCTAAAATATTCTTTCCAAGTTCTTAAACCAAAGGTCTCTATTAACTTAGGTGATCACCAAGAGAATATGTATCACTCCGATGTGTCATGTGAAGAGGAAGGCTACCTAAGTTACAAAAAATTGCAACGCACAGTATTTGGGCTGAAATGGTAGTGATTCAATGTTTTCATTATATCCATGCAGATATGGGTTCAGAGAAGTTAAATAGCTTGCCAGAAATTAAGCTGCTATTTTTACCACTATTATCTCCAGCAATATTAATAATGCTAAGTACATTGTAAAGGTTCAGTAATTCTTTTCAGAATAGATGTCCAGAGAAATTCATCCCTTCATAAATCTTTCATTGAATTTTTATATGAGCCAAATATCTTCTAAATCAAAACTTCTGAATTCTTAAAGACTCTTATAAAAATTATTTAATTTTCCACTAATCCCTTTTCCAGACTTTAACAGTTGAACATGTAAACACATTAATATGGTGGGAAGTCTAATACAAAGTATTATGATATTCCAACCTCCATTTTGAACTGTAATATTGTTTCCTAAAATACTTTGCTATGCATAAGTTTTAGGGGTTCTTTGCCTTAAGCCATGAACTTCATTATTTAGTTCAAACTTTTTTTACTATTTCAATTGTGGAGGAAAAATTCATAAAACTCTGTGTTCTTTGTTATAAAGTAAAGATATGAATAGGACTAAAATAGAACAAGGCCACATTTGAGATACTAAACAACAAAATAATCATTGTGTTTAGGCCAAATATAAATATAAAGGAAATGAAAAACATTATGCACTCAATCTCTTTCTCTTTCCCTGTTAAATTTAGTTTACTATCAAATGTTCATATCCCGGATTCATCCATTATATAGAACTAAATCATAGATTCAATTTGATGATAATTTTAACTATTTTCCATTGAATTAAAATGGTACTTCTGATAACAGGTAGGGATCCTTATCCTGGCAATAGATTCAGCAAGAGAAGTGAAAATAGATGAAAGAAGGAAAGAGAAAAGGTTGACCAATTAGTAGATTAGTTGATGGATACTTTCTGGTCTCTTACACATGGCTAAGGTTTTCAAAACTTGTTCTTGTAAAGGTTTTAATTTGATAATCAGACATTATTGTTTTAATTATTAGTCCAGTAAATAAAATATGCCAAAATGTACATATAAAGATAATAGGTAGAGAAGTTTTTTGATACTTTAACAATAAGGCATAGCTTTTTAAAATACATAATTTATAGCAATTTTTTTTCAGAGGAAAGACCTAGATAGGAGAGATGAAAAACTAATAAGTCTGCAGCTTAGTATCTGTAACAAAATTATTTTATTTATCAAAAAATATTCCTTATATATATTTTTAAAATATATTTTATTTATTTTTTCAGAGAGGAAGAGAGAGGGATAGAGAGCCAGAAACATCGATGAGAGAGAATCATCTATCAGCTGCCTCCTGCACACCCCATACTGGGCATGTGCCCGCAACCAAGGTACATGCCCTTGACCGGAATCTAACCTGGGACCCTTCAGTCCGTAGTCCGTTGCTCTATCCACTGAGCCAAACCGGTTTCAGCCTTATATATATTTTTAAAAAGGGCTATTCATATTGTCTTTTAGTTATACCAACTAGATATTTTCCTGCCCATTCCTGAATTATTACACTGCTCAAAAATGCTCTTTTATGGAGATTTTTTATAGGCATTTGATAAGAATTTTACCTTGATCAGGATAAGAAAGGAATCTTCTTTGTATACAATATTTACCAAAATTTTCAGGGCAAAATCACCAAATTCCAATCACCCCTCTTCAAATAACAAAGGAGTATAGAAGTGTGAAATTGATAGACAATGCAAGAACTTATGTTAGCTTTCTATTTTCCACATATTTATCATTAAACTTATCAAGTTTAGCAATTACCAAGTGACCCCATAATTATACCTCCTTTTCTCACTTCAAAAATATGTCACCAGTAAGATGGCTTACAGGCAATACATTTAAGAAAGATAAGCAGCCGAAGCCGGTTTGGCTCAGTGGTAGAGTGTCGGTCTGCGGACTGAAAGGTCCCAGGTTCGATTCCGGTCAAGGGCATGTACATTGGTTGAGGGCACATCCCTGGTAGGGGGTGTGCAAGAGGCAGCTGGTCGATGTTTCTCTCTCATCAATGTTTCTAGCTCTCTATCTCTCTCCCTTCCTCTCTGTAAAAAATCAATAAAATATATCAAAAAAATAATAATAAAAATAAATAAAAAAGGTAAGCAGATGGTCTGACTAACTCATACACAGGAGCTCAAACACTTAGGGATCACTAGCAGCATTTATTCTATTGCTAAGGCCTTACTCATCCTAACCAATCAATTCAACAAAAAACACACCTGTGGTCAAAACAGTACAATGGAACGAGAAATTCAATTTAGAAAAGAGAAGTTACTACCTATGTGAATTACCCAGTGTCAATGAGAGCCCAATCTCAGAACATTTTATCTGTATGGTGATAAATCATAACTTCTATTGAGTTTGTGAATTCAACACTCTCCTCCAGAAGGGAAGCCTTTGATTCCCATGTCAAAAGTGAGGCCGCCTGCCCAACTGGCATGGCTCAATGGTTGAGCCATTGACCTATGAATCAAGGGAGGAGGTCATGTGCTCGGCATGCCTAGGTTGCAGGCCCAATCCCCAGTGGGGGACATGCAGGAGGTAGCCAGCCAATGATTCTCTCTCATCATTGATGTTTCTATCTCTTTCCCTTTCCCTTCTTCTCTTTGAAATCAATAAAAACACATTATTTAAAAAGTGAGGCCTTTGGCCAGATTTCTCGCAATTCCATGACATCTACCTACCTATGAGATTATAGTAAGAATTTCAATTTCCTATAAAACAGACTTGTAAATGATTAATAGCCACATAACCTCTTTCCTTCATGTGGAAGTCTATGAGACCATTGAGCAGGAGACTATATTAGGGCGACCCAATTACAAGATTAGGGCACACCTGTGTATCATGGAGGTGGGAAAACATGAAGAAGCCCTGTGCTGTCTCACCAAATATACTCTGTGCAAGCTCACTGTGAAGACTATTTTCACTTTAGCCTGTTGATTCTGAAGACTTTTTTTTTTTTTTTGGCTTCCTGATATGAATTTTCTTTTATCCTAACGCCACACAGCAAGAAAAAGCCTTGGAAAGACAGCCTTTAGATAGAGTTACACAATTTTTGCAAATGGCAATATCGATGCCAAATAACTGGAACTGTTTAGTGCAGAGGGATGAAGAGAAAACGCTGTGCCGAACAAAAAAACGTAAGCAACATTCAAAGGTTAGGACGTAGTGACACACTCCACACAACTGCGGCCCACTTCCCTTGGCACCCAGAGGAAAAACACTCCCTTCTGTTGCCAAAGCAACCTGGGTGGTCACAGTCTAGCTACTTTCTCACCCGCCAAATTATTTTATTCTTTTTGACTCTTGTCCGTTATTGATTTGAGTATGTTTTGACCTTTTTCTTTTTTCCAATTCAAAATGAATATAGTGGGCAAGGCTAACTCTTCAATAGGAAAAACTATTTACTCAGAGAAAGGGAGTAACATGTGATCATCTTAATTCTTACTTAACAAGACCAGGAAAGAAGTGAAAGCCCTGAGTTAAAGATCAATAAATAAGTGAGATTGTAATTAAAAAAAAAATTGGATGGGGCTCAGGAGTCTTCCCATATTCAACAAAAGGTGTTTTTCCTCTGCTTGCTCTCCCTTCCTTCTCCTTTGATGTTCTGTCCATAGAATTCAAACAGCATCACTTTGGAAAGTTAGAATTGGGAGTGAAAAGAAGACAAAGAGAAAATTAGCTATAGAAAGCTTAATAAGTTTTTTTTTCCATCAAGGTGAGGAGTCCATGAATTAGAGTTAGTGCAACCCACAGATCTGTGTCAGGAAATCCTGCTTGCCTCTTCTGATTTCTGCCCAATGTCTCAACCCTCTTCAGACCATTTTAGTTGTGTTTCTGCTCTGGAAACTTCCAGAATATTTGCTATAAGCAGATATTTTTGTTAATTTTCTGAGTAATATGGCAAAAGGATTTGTATTAATTCTGTGGATATAAGCAATGCAGATTCATTGGGCCAAATAAAAGTTTTCATTACTTATTTTTGACAATGACTTACAAGGCAGCATGTGTGCAGCTGTGGGGTTCAGAGAGCAGTTCACACCTTGGTCTCTAAGGCCCTGTATCCCCAAATCCATGTTTATGACACAAGACTCATTTATTTCAAACTGAAATGGTGCCTCCAATCATATGGACATGTCCACAGGAGCACAGTAGTCATGAGGTTACTTGTATGCGAACAATTGGGAGAAATGTTATTTCATAATAGGAGTCATCTACTTAGTTTATTCAGCCCTCCTACTGTGGCACATGTTTTTGGATTGTAGCTTTCATATTCAAGTAAACATTTTAATATTCTAATATTCCAATTATCCTAGTTCTAAGGAAAACTCTCTCTCAATGTACTCAGAAGCACAGGAAGAGAGTGAACCTGACTGGTTTTAAGTTGTAAACCTGGGATTGTCTGGAGGTGTGCATGTGTGTATGCGCGCACACACACATACCCACACAAATTTATTGACACATAAATACAATTGATAAAGAAGACAAATGACACACAAGGGACTTCGGACTTTGACTTCTATCAGCTGATACGCCTGGAACTTTGGAATAAATCAATAACTTTCTTGCCAAAATGTACCTTTAGAAATAGAAGCAATTTTTTGGGGGGGAGAGGGGGGTTTAAAAGATAGTTCTGGTAATGATACTAGATGGTACATCTTGAAAATATTGTAATACACAGAAAACAAAGAAAAGACATAAGAACAAAAGTATCATCGGGTTAACAGAATAAGCGGCAGATTGTGTGCTTCCTATTGAACCATCAGCATTTTCTTTAGGTTTCTATAAGTATAACTAGAATTCCTTTATATTCAGGTAGGTCTGACTGCCTTTTCCTGTGGGGGTTAAAGTAGTGGATTCAAACTAAACTAACTCATTCGGAATCTGGCTGCTGTTCCTTTCTAATTTTTCCTGACCTTCCCTTTCTTGGCAGTCTAAAGGCTCTATTATCTTGTATTCTGGCTATGAAAGCAGAACATATGGTTTGCTTGAAGATTCTTGTTAAACACTTGTCCATTAACCTGACAGTAGGAAGTGCTAAAGAGCAGAAACAGCAGTCAAATCAGACAGTCACCTCAAGTCCAAAGCAAACATACTTGCCCCCTAAAAAAAACACTTGATCTTCAAGTTTAGGAAAACCACCTACAAAGGTAACTATTAACATTTTCCTTCTGAATTTGGGGTCTTCTTTCATTAAGCTATTTCATCACTAATTCTGTTATTCATATATGAGGTATTTCTTCTTAAGAGAAAACAGATTTAAACAAACAAATACAGAGGTTTCAAACAAAGATTTAGGATCTGGCCCAGATCTGGAAATAATGTTTTGGTTTTGTTATAAATTCTAACCAACACTTTTTCTGTCTTTATGTTACCTGTAGGTAATTCAGGAGACATTTTTCCCAGCCCCCACAGCTACCTAGAAGGAATTTCTTATCAACAACCAATACTTCTATCTAAAAAATGTGAATTATAATTGTGTTCTGTTCTGAATAGTTTCTACATAATAACTAATATAGTGGCAAAGAATTTCTGTAAGTTAGTAAGAAATCATGACTACTACATCTTATGGTGGTAGGGGGAGGGGGAATAGGAGAGGTCCAAGATTCCAAACCAATCTATACCCATCCATCAACAACTCAGATTTTAACTTGGGTTCCTTCATTTCAACTTCCCTTTACCATATGCCCTCTCTGGTCTGTGGAGTTTTCAAATAAAGCATGCATATGATAGGAATGATTAATCTGCCAAAGTGAGATTCTTACAATCGCACAGATAAAACTTCTTTTTCTTTTTATAAACTAATATATAATTATTATTTTTAAAAGACTATAGACAACTCATCATGATCACTAAAATAGCTGATTTGTACTGCAAATATATAGACTAGTCTACAAACTAAGGTTGACCCTTGAACATCTCAGGGCTTAGGGAAACCAACTCTCCACACAGTGGAAAAACTACATATAACTTTTGACTGTCCCAAAACTTGGCTACTAATAGCCTACTGGAGGAAGCCTTACTGATAACATAAAAACAATTAACACACATTTTGTATATGCATACATATGTATATGTAAGAGTATATACTATACTCTTACAATAAAGTAAGTTAAAGAAAAGAAAGTGCAATTAAGAAAATCAGGAAGAGAAAACACCTAGCACTTATTTAAAAAAAAAATTCACACATAGTGGATCCATGCAGTTCAAATGCGTGTTGTTCAAGAGTCAAATGTACATTCTCTTCCCTTCTCTTTTTTCTGTCATTTCCCCCCTTTAATTTTTAATCTTTATTGTTGAAAGTATTACATATGTTCCCTTTCCCCTCACTGATCCTCTTTTCCCTTCTAAAACTTGTATCTCTTCTATTTCCTATTCCATACTCCTGCTGGTTGGCTCTTGAATCACTCACCAGGGCAGGTCTGTTTCTATTCATTTATTCATCCATTCATCCAAAAGACTTTTATTGACTACATTGGTTAGTCACTGAATTATGGGATTTATTAAAATAATCCTAATATCCCCATGAAGAACTTATTCATATTTTATAGATGAGGAACTGGGACTCAAATAAATGGATTAACTTTCCAGACCAAGTCTGTAACTGCCAATGCTTGCTCCTATTCTCCTACTTCATACAACACAAGGAGGCAAGAGATGATTAATTGCAGTTTTTTACATTTTGTGCTAATGTGATCTTCTACACACTTAAAACATAAGAAGTCGCTATCGCTTCCAGGCCTGTCAAGCTGAATGAAAGAAATGAGTACATTTGTTCACTTGTCAAATTTGCTCTTTTGGAAAAAAGATTGTAGTTCTACAAACATTTGCCACTCCATTAACTTAAGTAATCTAGAGACTAATGAACACAGAATGAATTTTTGTTTTTTGGGCTATTTGTCTTGCCATTAGCTAAAAAATTATTTTTGCAACATAGACAAACCTGAGTTATTTTTAAAATCCAGAAAATGTGAGATTAGTGCTGAATCTCAGTGGCAGACTAGTTTTTACAACTTTCTCCCTCTTTGCATCAGGCCTGTTCTTTGTTTGGTTTCCATTTCGAAATCATGAAATGAACGTACCGTTCTGACCTCTAGCCATCTGTTGGCAGCTGAGAGAAATAAGTAGGCAATGTTGTTTGTGTCCGTCAGTTCCAGCATACGTTGCTTAAATCTGGTTTCATGCCTGCAAAAGACAAAAATATTATAATGGTAGCCACACATCAGGAGAAATAATAAAAAACAGAAAAATCAGTCACACTTACTACTACATTATTTACTCAACAGAGTGACAAACCAATGGGATGAAATGACTAGTAAATGACTCCTACTTCCAAATCAAGGCCAGCTGCTACTGCTCTGGGGTATTCTCAGTAGAGATGGTGTGGTCCAGTGTTTCCTTCATTTTTCAGACCTTTGCTATGAAAAGGAATCTTTCTGATGACAAAGTGCTATTAATAATCATTTCATAAATTTCCACACATTATTGTAGCCATGGAAACAAGGTATAATCTATGTTGCAAGGGCCTTACACAAATGAGAATAAGTTGTACAAAAATGTAAAATATCCTACCTATTTTTTATTGCATTCATTTTACTTTAAATTTATTTCAGAGAGGGAGAGTGAGAGAGAGATATTTCTATAATTGATCAGCTCTCTCCTTTAAGTCCCCTACTGGGGATCAAGCCACAATCCAGGCATGTGCCCTGACCCTGTGCCCTGGCCTCCTGGTTCATAGGGTGATGCTCAACCACTAAGCCACACCAGCTGGGCTGTTTTACTTTTCCAAATAGCATGGTTAGAATTAGGTGGGAGGTGCTGGATGAGAACCAGACAAGATGGGAATCTATGCTTTGGTAGCAAGCAAATATATACTCCTAAATTTCTCTTTTTGCCTGGTGTTTCTGGGACACACCCCCCCCCAAAAAAAATGTAAGTAGAATGACATGAAAAAGAAATAGGGTCTTTGGAGATGGATTATGTTCTTAGAAGAATTATATGATTTCAATAAGATATCTTATGCCTCAAAGTTCTAAACTATTTGTAAGAATGGTCATTGCGTAGAAGGAATCCTTATTCTATGGTGCTTACAGGGTTCTATGACACATTCAATTTAGATATTAATCCCTGGCCAAATTAAGGTCATTCTTGGTGAACAACATAATCAGACCAAATTATATGTAGTAACTTGTGTTATTAAGGAAAATAAAAAAAATCTTATCCATTTGAACATCTAAACTACTCTCACAGCAGCTCAGGCTACATGGTAAGAAATCTTTTCTAAATCACAAAAATAGTCTCTTTTCATTTTAAAATTATTTCCTCTGAATAATAGAAACAGTGGAAAGCTGGATAATATAATCAAAATAACTGATTTGAAGATTGGAGGAAATGCCAAAGCAAAATGTAGTTTATTCACTCTCTGGGGTCATGGCTGATCTTACATAGATCTCCTGTCTACACACTGTGTTTGCAAGAAATGGCCAAATTTTATCTGACAGCCCGGCAGTGATTTCTGATTGATAAAAGACTGCCTGCCCCACATCCCCCCAAATGTTCAAATCAATTTGTAAAACTTTATAATAAACCATCACTATGTCAAAGAATGAAGAAGTCTGGGTGGAGTGTTCACTTGACCCGTGAAACCATCCATACAGGCCAACATAAAGCAGATACTTGATAGCTGTCCAACTGACCTGATCACTCCAATATGCCAAACCAGATAAATCAGATAATTGAGTCAGACAGTAACATCTGATCTAAAATAATCAAAGGATTCTGCAGTCAAGAGCCAAATCATGACCTCACTTTGAGTTATGTAGCCTTGACCCAAATGCCAGGCACTGAGGATCTGAACTGAACAGCAACACCCTGGGACAGGACCAAGCTGTACCAGCAACACACCTACCCTCATGATCACCCTTTTAGGGATGAGTAGAGTGAATACTTAAAAGATGGGATGGTTCATAGGATCATAGAATTTACTGAGATAGTGAATATGAACTATAAATAGATCTACCCATATAAAGGCCATTCTTTCTATACTTGCAATGGTAGGCACACTTTCATCCATTTATTCAGAAACATTTAGCAAGCACCAACACATTAGAACAGTAGTTGGCAAACTGCAGCTCGAGAGCCACATGCGGCTCTTTGGCCCCTTAAGTGTGGCTCTTCCACAAAATACCACGGCCTGCCAAAACCATTTTTGGCTCAATAGGTAGAGCGTCAGCCTGCGGACTGAAAGGTCCTGGGTTCGATTCCAGTCAAGGGCATGTACCTTGGTTGCAGGCACATCCCCAGTAGGGGGTATGCAGGAGGCTGCTGATTGATGTTTCTCTCACATGGATGTTTCTAACTCTCTATCTCTCTACCTTCCTCTCTGTAAAAAAAAATCAAAAAAATTAAAAAAAAATACCACAGCCTGGGCAAGTCTATTTTGAAGAAGTGGTGTTAGAAGAAGTTTAAGTTTAAAAATTGTGACTCTCAAAAGAAATTTCAATCGTTGTACTGTTGATATTTGGCTCTGTTGACTAATGAGTTTGCCGACCACTGCATTAGAATGTACCTATGAACAACACTGTGGAGATATACAGACTACAAACAGATAGCCTTTCATTTCAGCTCTTGGGGAATCCGCTGTTTGTGGAGGTGGTAAATAAGGCATTAACAAGTAAGGACGGTGCAACACAGAAGCTGGTTATAAGGGTCCTACGCACAAAATGCTACATGAACATAAAAGAAGAGGATGATTTACACTGTCCAGAGGATCAGGATGCCAGGGAATGGGATGGCAGGTGAAAGAGAAGAATTAAGTAAGGTTTCATGAAGGACCATCGTGAGAGTGGTTTGAGAGAAGTTTTAAGGGATGAATTGAAATTTCCAGTTAACAAGAGAGGACAAAATATTTGAAGTAAAGGGGATAGCATGGTCAAAGGCAAAGAAATTAAAAAAAAAAAACCAAAACCCTCAAACGTCTCAGGGGCTCGACAGAGAGATTAGAAGTGGGACCAGTTGGACCAATGCCAGCGGACTACATTTGAGATGAACATCAAACACTCCATTCTGACAGTGTTTTGTCTGGGACTCCTCTCTTCCTTTAGTGTGGGGATATGGTTTCAGATACACTTTTAAAGAGTTTGTAAATGGACTTGGCAACAGTCTGAAGCAGCAGTGAGCGGGGAGGGGTGGAAATGCAGTGAACATTCTTTCTGTGTGTTTCTATTTGGCAAGAAACCCTCTGTTTTCCTAATGGAAACTTTGACACACTCAGCCTGTATCTTTTCATCCGCATCCAGCTCATCTTCTGAACATTCTTAGACCTTTATTCTGTCAGACAAAAAAAATAATAGGAAAGGTCACTGAAATCTCAGTCTAATTTAACTGTGATCCGTTCGTGGTGAAACTTCTTAAGGGAGTTGACTGCTGCATGTGAGTACACCACGAACTCTGAATGCAGGGGAGGAAAAGAGTCTAATCAGTAAAGACTGGCTCTCCAAAGGAGCTGAAGGCTCTGGGGACTCTGGGGAGCCTAAAAGAAGGAAGAAATGGGTGGAAAACAATGTGTTTGATCCTTTGCCACAAGTACCAAACACAAAGATACTACAAATGTATTCATGCGAACAGGACCATCCACGCATTTTAAAACGTCCTTGGGTTTAATGGTGTGGATATTTGTGGTATTCGATATTTACTTTGAAAATGAACACTGCAAGTTCTAAACCTAGACAAACAGGATGCAGGTACTTTGACACAAAAGTGGGGTCCTTCTTTGTTTTGGCCAGTCATAATTTAAGTCTCGAAGGTTGACAGGTACCATGTTTTGTTCTTCTCACAGCTACCTGGGATTTTTCTCATGTAGAATTAGGAATAGTCATGCTGAATTCTGCTCGTGTATCTACCGTGTTTCCCCGAAAATAAGACATCCTCCGAAAATAAGACCTAGTGCATGGAAAGATAAGACATCCCCTGAAAATAAGACCTAGCAGCATCTTTGGGAGGAAAAATTAATATAAGATACTGTCTTATTTTCAGAGAAACAGGGTAGTAAAGAAGGTATATGAAACATCTAAGCATTGACTCTTGGAAAAGTTTTCTTTCATACTAAACCTTCAAGATGCTTTGCCTGATTCTAGTCCTCATCACTCTCAGAAAATAAACCCGCCTTGTTCTTCAGTGAGAAAAGAGAGGCTGTTATATGCTGAACTCCTCAACTTCTTGCTGAGCCACCTGCCATCTTGCCTAAATCCAATCACTGCTTGCCCCCACCAATTGTGTTCTCCGACCCATTTTCTGTATGATCTTTATCTGTGATGGAAATGAAAGGCTATCTGTTTGTAGTCTGTATATCTCCACAGCAAGAGCAGTACCACACATGTATTCAATACTCAAATGTAAATGAACTCAAAAGGACTTACTAGGTGAAAAATGTCATCTTTAATGTGTACTTGTGAGCACCATTGGTCAATGCTGGCTACTATTAGTAAATACATTTTGTCTTAATATCACCATTCAATATCAATAAATAGTTTTGCCATCTCCAATAAAAGTCATTGCACACTCTGATGGGAAAAATGTACTGAAAAACAACTGCGAAAAATATGAATGCTTAATGATGAAACCTATTTCTGTGGAAATTCTGTGATACATGTTGTGGATGAGTGTATGTTTATATTTTACTTTTGGACTTATATGTATGTATTTCTCAGGTTAGAAAAAAATCTCTAATTGAAATCAATACACAGTTTCATTTAAGGTTGCAGAAAGATCTAATACTTTTAATGTCAATTTTCTAGATTAAATGATGCCACCACCCTCTTTTATGACTTATTTGAACAGGAAAAACAGGGACAAGGTTTTTTTGAGTGTTAAGTAAACACTCTTTATCAAAAGCTTGGATTACTACTCTGTTTACCAACATTAAAAGAAACTGATTAAGCCCAGCCGATCGATGGTTCTCTCTGATCATTGATAGTTCTATCTTTCTCTCCTCTCCCTTCCACTCTCTAAAATTAATAAAAACATATTTCAAAAGAGAAACTAAGTCCTAAATAACTTTGATATTATATTTCTTTTATTATTAATAGACTTATTTTAACATTTTTGTTGTGTACTTCTTTGCTAATCACTGGTTAATGCTTTACATGCATTATATCAGTTAGTTCAATAACCCTAAGAAACTAAGTTGATTTTCCCATCTCACAAATGAGGAAACTGAGGTTAGGGAATTTAAAAACCTGGCCTAAATCACACAGCTAGTATCTCTCCAAGGTGGTGCTTCCTTCTTTCTTTATTTTTGTTAAACTTCAGGTCCTTAAACTAACTCTGATTATTTATTGCTTCATTTTCTTTTAGTATAAGAGAGTACCATGCACACAGTGGACATCCAAAAATGGTAGCAGGCATTAGTTATTAGTAGATAAATATTTGTGATGATGCGGTCTTTTTTATTTGTGAGACTTAAAATCAATTAACAAAATGAAAGCATATTCACTCACCTAAATGCCCGAATGGTGGTGAGTCCTTCAGCTGTTTCTGAGAAGTGACAAAGCAGAGGAAGCTGGGTACTGTCATCAAGTTCCTGGAGGTCCCTAGGACAGAGAGAAGTGCAAAAATAAACTTCACATGTCTTCAGGGTGAAAGACCACCATGTCAATTCTAAATTAAGGTTATTATCTGGCATTGTAACTATTTTCCTTTAGCACCCAATTAACAAAAATTTCAGCAGCTTATAGTCTAAAGAGGAAGAGAAAGATGGATATATAATGAATATTGGTCCAAGCTAAATATAACGTGTTGTACAAAATTATCAGCTTTGTATAACAGCTAAAGTAAACTCCTATGGGAACACAGAGAAATGAGCAATTAATCTATACATAGGAGATGGGTAATTTTTTTCAGGAGGTTGAATTTAGGCCAAACCTCAAGCATAAGGAGGATTTTAACCAAACAGACAATGGAAGAAAAGAGCAAGCACGGAAGATTAAAGAACCTGGCAAGTTCCATCTGGCTGCTGCCCAGAATCCTTTAGGGATATTGTAGTGGGAAAAGGCTATATAAAAAAATGGGTGTGACTAGATTATAGAGGAGCCTGGGTAGACTAGAAATAAAGTGATCAGAGCTGTGCTTAAGCAACAGAAGTTGGGAGACACGTAAAGGATGAAAGACAATGAGTGAGTTAGGTAGTCTATTTAAGAGATGTTTTTCAAGGTTCTAAATTAGTGTAATGCTAGTTAGGTTTAAAATAGGGAAGTCCTATAAGTCCATCATACACACACACACACACACACACACACACACACACACACTCTCGCTCACTCACTCACTCTAGAGGCCCAGTGCATGAATTCAGTATGACCTGCGGGATTGGGCCAAAATCAGCTCTCTGATATCCCCCAAGGAGTCCTGGATTGCGAGAGGGTGCAAGCTAGGATGAGGGCCTCTACCAGTGCATGATCAGGGCTGGGGAGAGACAAGGGAGGTTGGCCAGCTGGGGAGGGGTCGTGGGAGGGCTCCAGGGCATGTCCAGCCCATCTTGCTCAGTCCTGATTGGGCCAGACCCTACCAACAAGCTAAGCTACCAGTTGGAGTGTCTGCCTCCTGGTGGCATGTCATAGCAAACAGTTGAGCGGCCTTAGCATATCATTAGCCTATTATGCTTTGATTGGTTGAACAGCCGACCAGATGACCAGACACTTGGTATATTAGGTTTTTATTATACAGAAGATAAATATATATATATATGGCAGTCAATGAATGCTTGGTGGACAAATGACCGAACTAGACCCTTTTTATAATGATGAATAATCATGACAACTTTTTTTAAAACCACATAAACAACCTATCTACAAGATAATCTGAGTTATACCACATGTTTCAAAACATTCCTGTCTTTTCTTTTCAGCCTTTTTTTTTTTTTTTTAACTTCTTTGGGTCTTTGGGTGGAGAGAAGTAGAGTAACATCATTGACATTCACCTGCCAGAGTCAACTGAACTGATTACACTATAATACAATCTTCGAAAATCAATGCACACCATTCTGGGCTGTCTGTTTAGCCCCACAAACAAATGCAAAGTCTTTCTTGAGTTTCTAAAATGGATTTGCTCACTTTAGAAAGTGCAGATGGGGGGAAAGGAAGGAAGAAGGGAGGAGAATGAATAAAAAGGAATGTAAATAATCTGCTATGTTTAAACATAAAACTAAGTGGCTATTTGTAATTTTGACAAAAGCAACAGGTGGTCACTATATTGAGGTTAGTAGTGAAGAAAAAAATTAGGAAGGAGGAACTTTCGTTTATAGAACTGCATTTTGTGAGTAAAGGTGAGAGTACAGTTTGGTCTTGTCACCTTGTAGGAAGGAAACACTTACAGAGCTAACTATACATTAGGTATTTGATTTTAGATATTCAAAATGCTGTGGTGTCTCCTGTAGTGCATCCCCCATTTAAATTATCCTTAGGTTTACAAAATAGTCTGTTGTCCTGCCTAAGCTACTCAACATGAACATGGGTGAGTCCTGCAGAGACTTGGCACCTAGAAGGGTCTTTTTTTTTTTAATCTGTGAGACTTAAAATCATGTGGTCATACTTGCTAAATTTCAGAGGAATTCAAACAAGAGTGATTTACAATCCATTACCAGTGTTAATTCTTTTAAAATGGTCAACCTTTCTGTATTTTAGACACTACCAACGCTAACAGGTTCTTCCCACTCATAATGAATAGAATTCACAACTTAAATGAATGGACTAGGACCATTTGCCTAGACTCTGTACTCAATTTGTATTGCTTAGGGCTGAAAAATAAGTATGTGACTAAAGTTAAGTTATAACTGTTTAATTTATTATTGAGAAGGCAAGGATAGATTTGGAAACAGCTAGCAGAAATGAAGTAACTAAACTTTTTTGCCCCTCCATCAAAGTGGCATAAATGACATCAGGGACAAAAAGAAGGATGAATTTGATGACTAGCCTCTCTCTTTTGGTCTGAATTTGCTATAAGAAAAGGGGATGAGGTTGGAACTGAAAAAAACAAAAAATCTCTAAATTTAATACATATCTCTAACATTTGAATGACCCTAACTCATACCCGTCAAGGAGAAACTATATTTTTAAAATTAAGAAATGTTGTATGATGTTTTTAGAGGATTCCAACTATATTTTTGCCTTTTTGTATAATTCCTGATTTTTTTACACTTCTCTGCCTCAAGTACTACAAAATATGTTTAGTTTACTGAATAAACTCAATGTCTTCCTTCCTATTTCAGCACTTAATATGTTGTATCTTCCCCCAAAACTGTTTCATAACAGTTTCTTGTCATGTTGATCTCTTCATTGGCCCCATGGCTCACCCAATTATTTGCAACACAGTAAATGCTTAATAAATGTTGAAATAATCTGATTATTGCAATGATATAACATTTACTGAACTATTTGTATCAGGACTTCAAAGTTAAACTGGACATTTAAAAACAACTGGTACTATATTTCATTTTGCCTTTCAATGTCTCAGCATATGACAAATCCCATATTAATAGAATAATTTAAAACCCTTGGCTATCATTTATTTGGCTGGATACTCAAGTGCATCTATATATATAAAAGCCTAATATGCAAATTGTCCCCTCAGGAGTTCAACCAGGATACCAGGAGTTCAATCACTCACTATGATGTGCACTGACCACCAGGGGGCGGCACAGAACAAGGAAAGCCCCAGCCAGCAGCTGACAGCCTGGGAAGGGAGGCCCTGGCCCATCGGCCCTGATTGCCAGCCAATCCCTATAGACCCTACTCATGCACGAATTTCATACACCAGGCCTCTAGTATTAAATAATCCAATCTGAAAGTTTCCAATCTCTTAAAGTTACAGCATTCAAGGTTATCTACTTTTATAGACATCACTCTGTTTTATCTCTTTAATCTTTTTTTTAAACTTGTACTGTATTTTTTTACAGAATGTTTTTAAAGCATTTTTAAATCTTTTACCCTTTTCACCATTTGGTAATATATATAATAATATTAACTCACTTATTTTTTGGGACTAAGTTGGATTTTGTAAGTCGTTGTTTTTTTGTTTGTTTTTGTTTTTGCCAATGTCATGTTCAGTAAAAGGACCATGGTATTAAAAATTTGACAGGTATTAAAATTCAATAGATCAATCCAGATGTTAATATATGTCCAGGGCTATGTAAGACTCAGTCAACCCGTTACAGAAACAACATTACAGAAATTATAATAGATCTCCAATGTCTGGATAGACTTCATCAGGCTAAAAATAGGTTGCATTTCCAAATTCCATACTTTATCTTAAAAAACATTATAGTAAATCTGGTTCACAATACATCAAATACATAGGTTTTTTAAGATGAATAGAACATTGGTTTACTTACTTAGAGGCCACTCGGAAGTATTTTTGGATAAAATAAAAGGCAACTCCAAGAGGCACAATAGCAGCCAGGAACACACGGGTAGCATAAGAAATCATGCCAATGGCAGACAGACAGAGCAGCGTTGAGCGAGTCAGAGATTCCAAAGTTGGAGGAATGTGCTATTATGAAGGTAGGTTGAAAGAAAAATGTTTTAGCTCAAATACACATTAGTTATAATGCAACATTAATTTTATGTTGTGATGTTATTCAGTTAATTACAAAAGTAGCATAGAAACATTTTCATTGTAAGCAATTCTTCACTCCAACTTTACTTACTTCCTGTAGTTTAGTATATTTATCCATCTATCTACCTACTTGTCATTGGTCAGTTGTTACCTTTCTACCTACCTATTTATCTTGTGGACTTTCTATAAAAAGCACTATGCTATATATCTTATTTGTCCATGTACTTTTTAGTCAGCTGCATGCGTCAAGCATTCTTTCTCTAAATTGAGGGTAATTCAGGTGTTCTTAAGACCATTCTGGAAGATCTGAAGAGGCAAGGGCTGAATTTAGTGGATTCTTTATCATCCTAAGGGTTTGAGGTCTTTAATTTCAGGACAAACTTCTAAAGGCCTAAGGACCCAAGACTGAACTGATTATCCTTTGAATTTTCTTAAACTACCACACTATCTATAGCTTCTCTCATTCAAGAGTCCATCTAATAAAAGTAAAGGACATCTAAGACAGCGTGGCATTGTATTCTTTACTTCTGGGAGACACTCCACATCAACTCAACTTCAACAAATTCTACTGTGAATGAAGATACAACATTGATCAAAATAATTTCTTTTTATAATAAAGAGTTTAAATGTTAGTTTATCCCCTGCTATTTCTACTTATTTCATGCTGATTCTCTAAATATTTCCTTCTATATGCATGTTGTTTTTTATTTTTTTTATTTTTTTTATTATTTATTTTTTAAAAAATATATTTTATTAATTTTTTTGCCCCCCTCCCTCCCTCCCAAACATACCCTCTCTCCCCAGAGTTTTATGTCCATTGGTTGTACTTATATGCATGTACCATAAGTTGTTTTCAATTAATGTTTTCCTTAAAGATTTTATTTCAGAAATCATCTATTTATTATGATATTGGTATGCATGTAAATAGGTTTCCATTTAAGTGTTATAAATACTCTACTGTTAAGAGGAATTATGGTTTACCTCAAAATGTTACTTGGCTTATACTAAAAAAAATTCTTGAACTTTTTTTTGGAACTAACTCAGACACTCACCTGATCAATGATATTTGTATCAGCTGAAAAGCGATTGAGAATCAGTCCCAGGGGTGTGGTGTCAAAGAACCTAGGCAATAAATAGATTGAAATGTGTGACAATACTAAACTATTTGGAACCTGAGCATTGTGAATAGACAGACATCTTGGAGTCATGAAAATGAGAAGGTTCATTTTTTTAAGGACTGAAAAAAACCTTTAAAATTTCACATTTCACTTAAATTAAATATGAATATATATTTTTATGTGATAGTAAAAAATAATTACTTTTACCTTATTGGTCCAAGGATTATCTTATTGAGGAGATTGTGATGAAGATTTTTGGCAGCAGTGAGGCCCATCCATTCTACAGTAAGAGATGTAACAAGGCAGAGGACAATACCTGCTCCACAGAGTATGCTAAATCCAGCTACATAGTAGGTCTAAGAAGCAACCAACACACAAAAACACATGAAATTATCAACTGATTTTTTTTCTTGCTAGAACACCAGTATCAAAATCAGACAGTATTATCAACTTCATTATCTTGCATCAATTTAGACAGTTGAAGGAGTTCAATTTTTGAGACTTGGGGTAAATCTCCGCCATAATCCTAAGGCCAAATTCCCACTTGCTTCTTTCATTCTTTTTCAAAGTTTGTCTAAGGACAGATGAAGTGCCTGTTTTCAGGTTTGAAATATCCTTAAATTTCTATATTGCAGTGTTCATTCTCTCTATCCCTAATCTCAGAAGGAATAGCTAATTCATGGGTATGGGTAGTTAATATCAAATAACATCAGAAAAACAACAGCACAGTCCCATATATATGTTACACACACACACACACACACACACACACACACACACACACACCATGTCTTTACTAATAAAGGTAATATGCTAATTAGACTGTACATCTTCCGGGCAACCTTCTGGACATCCTTCCAGTCAAAGTCATTGTGGTGGAGCCAAGGAAGAGTAGTAAGGGGAGATCAGGCCAGCAAAGGAGAGCAGTTAGGGCAGTGGTCGGCAAATCACAGCTTGCGAGGCGGCTCTTTGGCCCCTTGAGTGTGACTCTTCCACAAAATACCACATGAGCGCACATACAGTGCGATTGAAACTTCATGGCCCCTGCACAGAAGCAAGTTTTTGGCCTGGGCAAGTCTATTTTGAAGAAGTGGCATTAGAACACTCAAGGGGCCAAAGAGCCGCATGTGGCTGGCGAGGGGAATCAGGCCGGTAGAGGAGAGCAGTTAGGGGGATCAAGCCAGCAGGGAAGAACAGTTAGGGAAATCAGGCTGGCAGAGAAAAGCAGCTGGGATCAGGCTGGCAGGGTAGAGCAGTTAGGGCAATCAGACTAGCAGGAAGGCAGGCAGGCAGAGTGGTTAGGAGCAATCAGGCAGGTAGGCAGGTGAGCAGTTGGGAGCCAGTGGTCCTGGATTACAAGAGGGATGTCCAACTGCCAGTTTAGGCCTGATCCCACGGGCATTGGGCCTAAACTGGCAGTCAGACATCCCCTGAGGCATTCCAGAATGAAGAGGGTGCAGGCCAGACTAAGGGATAACCCCCATGCATGAATCTCCTGTGTGTGTGTGTGTGTGTGTGTGTGTGTGTGTGTGTGTGTGTGTGTGTGTGTTTATATGGAAGCCTAAGTGACCATTATGACCAAATGACCAGAATAACCTGAACGACTGGTTGGCCAGTTGCTATGACAAGCACTGACTACCAGGGGACAGATGCTCAACACAGGAGCTGCTCCTTGGTGGTCAGTGTGCTCCCACAGCCAACCCCCTGCAGCCAACCAACCTCCTGCAGTCCCTCCCCCCCAGCCAGCCAACCTCCCATCCCGCCCGCCAGTGGGCTCTGATTGACCCAGCCCTGATTGGGACTGGGTGAGAGGGCCATGATCAGCCCTGATCACCAGCCAGGCCTAGGGACCCCACCTGTGCATGAATTTGTGCACCAGGCCTCTAGTGTGTATATAATTCCTTTGAATCCAAATCCAAACATCATTTTTAAATGTTTATTATAACTTTAAAAATAAAAGTGATGATAATAGATCCTACTTTGACATGTCCTGTTCTAATTAACTTAGGGAATCACTACAACAATCCTATAACATTTGGGCTATTAGTATCTAACTAGATAAAAAAAAAAAAAAAGTATCATTTCAACCTTTCCTTGGTGACTTAAACCCAAAACCCACTGTACCTGATCAGCTTTCTCAGAACTATTTGGAGTGTACTCCGATGTCCACGTGGCCAGCCAGTAGTCTATAGCTACAATGACTGAATGCTTCAAAAGCTTAGAGAAAATCATCAGAAAGAGCAAGAAGAATCCTCCAGAAGTGAGATAGCACCAACAGGTTTTCCATGGCATTTTAGTCCTGAGCCTCATTACTGTGGACATGTTGTCATCCTCATCTTCCTCCTCTTCTTCCTCTGCATACAAAACACTTGTTTATACTTCAGATAGGCAACAGGTAGATTGAATTTGTATTATTGCATAATAAAGCATACAAAAATCTTCCTTAGCCTAGCTGGTTTGGCTCAGCAGACAGAGCATCAGCCTGCTGACTGACTGAAGGGTCCCGAGTTTGATTCCGGCCAAAAGCACAGTAGGGGGTGTGCAGGAGGCAGTCAATCAATGACTCTCATCATTGATGTTTCAATCTCTCTCCCCCTCTCCCTTCCTTTCTGAAATTAATAAAAAATATATATTTTTAAAAATCTCCTTCCAAGTTATAGAAATACAACTATTAGGCTGAAAACATTTAAATGCTTTTGGCAGAAAAAACCTCATTTTAGCACTCTCTCACACAGCACAAATGTACCAAGACTCACTATGGGAAATTCCTCAAGATGCCTGATGATTGATTACATACAACTTTAACTTCACTCCTACTCATTTCATTTTCACTATTCTGTATTTGATTGAGCTCTCCTTCCCCTGCAAAGAGGCTTATTCCTCAGTGGCACACTCATGTGTCAGTTGCCAAAGTAAAACCTATTACCCTTATGAATATTTTAAATGTAAGAAGAAAAAAAATCTACCTTCATCTTCATCCTCCATTTGGGCTTTGGCTTCTCTTGAATACATGGCTCTTCGGAGAGTTTTTCTCTCTAAGGTTGTTTGGTCAGCTTCCATATCCTACAGGAAACATCAGGAGCTCACAGCCACAGGAAGGTTTTGACTTCCCAATCAGTGACTCACAGTACCAATTGTTAGTGACCTTTACCATGTGGGCTCTGTGCTCTCTCTAGAGATCCCTAACTCCTGCCAGAGGAGCAGTGTGGGGCAATGCCTGAGGTTTATAGGGGTGCTCCAGAGCTAAAGGCACAGAGCAGGAAGCCGGGAAAGGTAGTAAGAGCATGATGGAGCTTACCCCAGGGACAGGGATACTGGCTTTATTTTTATATCACTTTCAGATATTCCCTGTAGTTTCACTAACTAAAGGTTTACCTATGTTAATATATATCTTCCTTAAAAACACGTGTTTTTTTTTTTTTTTTTACCCCACCCAGTGTAGCTCAGTGGTTGAGCTTCAACTTATGAACCAGGAGGTCAGAGCTTGATTCCCTATCAGGGCACTTGCCCAGGTTGCTGGATCAATCTCCAGTAGGGGGTGTGCCGAAGGTAACCGATCAATGATTCTCTCTCATCATTGATATTTCTATCTCTCCCTCTTACTTCCTCTTCCTGAAATCAATAAAAATGTGTTTAAAAAAACACATGTGATTCTAGACTGTCTTACACTGTTATTGTGAATTATTAAATATTTAGCATCTTGCTAAGACGGCCGCACAAATGATAGAGAGTTCAATAGGAATTAAGGAAACATAGGCAATTTTGAAGGAAATGGGAAATGAGGGTACTCGGGCACCTAGCAGTTTAGGAGAAAGATCCAAGAAGGAGATATGTGCAGAAAGAGAAGGGAAAAGGTTCCAAAATCAAACGGCGAATTTTTAAGGGTTGCTGCAGACTAGCCTCCAGAGAAGAGAGTTTCATTTTCTCCACTCCTCTGCTTCCAACACCCTTGTCTTGTTGGCTGTGGAACTGGAGTAGCATTGTGTTACACTGTGGATTAAATGAGCTTCTGCCCGACATTCTGGGAAACTAACCATGTCCTGGGTTTCTGTGGGGAAATGCATTCTGCGTTCCAAATAACTGACCTATAAACTTTTGCAATCTATGGTAACTTAAGGGTTTCCCGTATATGCCGATACAAAAAAATAAATAAATAAAATCACAGTTTCTTACATCAATAAGCCAACAAACCTTTGAAGTGATCAGTCTCTAGGTAGTGATTTTGGTTTGGGGTTTATTTATTTATTTTGCCTCATACAACACGTGTGATTTAGGAGCCCTATTGTATGATAGATGGCTCTCTTGCAGATTCTTGGTTAAAAAAGTAAAAGTGTCTCCTGAATGGTTATTTTTTCAGAGGCAATTTAACATCAGCTTTTAATTTTGTATTATGAGATCAGATAAAAACAAAAAACGAAAAGAGGACCCAATATTTTGGGAACAGTATAATGAAATAAAATGAACCTGCACATTGAAAAATAGAAGATTTGGGTCTTGTTCAACTCCACACAAAGCAAGACATTTAACATCTCATAGACATCTTTAAAAAACCTTTAATATCATGTTTCTTATTAGAAAATGCTCATATTAAGTTCATTACAGGTTTAAAAAATTTTAATAGTGTTGATATTTAGAACAGGTAGTAAATATGAATTTAGAATCATTTATCCAATTAATATCATTGAATGCCTGTTATGTGTCAGGTCAAGGTGAGAGCTGGAGGCTAGGGGTGGAAATATCAAATAATGCAAATTTATTTTACTTAATCACATCATGAAGATAATGGTTGATATCATCCAAGCTAGAATTTTTAAAAATATTTAAATCAGCTAAAAAAAAAAAAAAAAAAGGTCTTTTTCTTCTCCTTCTTGTGGTTTTCATTGCTATTTCTTTTAACACTAGTGACCTGGTGCACGGATTCATGCACATTGAAGGGAAATTAATTAGAAGGTGGCTGGCAGGGTGGAACTGGGTGAGAAGTGCTGGATATGCCCTGGAGCCAACCTCCTTTGGCCCCTCGCAGCCGGCAGTACCAGGGCTGGAAGGACATCTGCAGAGTGAGTGGCGTCCCTCTGGCAGGTGGATTCCCTCAGCCTGGCCTGTGGGGATCAGGCCCAAATTGGCTCTCTAACATCCCCTGAGGAGTCTCAGAATGCGAGAGGACACTCTGCAAAATTGCTGTGGTACAGGCTGTAGAACGCAAATGCAAGTGTGCAGTAAACCAGATTCGGGGCTGACAGTGCTCCAGCAACAACATAACCAACAGGAAATGGTGGAATTGCATGGCCCCGTGAAGAATTGGGCTCCCTCCTCTCTAGTTTCTGGGGGTGTCACCTGAGAACCATCACTGCCAAGTCACTGCAGCTCAGCAGCTCCTGCATTGAGCATCAGCCCCCTGGTGGTCAGTGCATGTCATAGCTATCAATTGGATGGACACTTAGCATATTAGCCTTTTATATATATAGATATTCTCTTCTGTTTACCCCCTTAATCCTTAAACTGACAGTTCTGTCTAATGTTCTGAGACTGGATGTTTTGGGGGTTCTTTGATTTCACCTTCCTTCTCTGCTTGCTTAATCTATTCTGGCTGTAGGCCAGCCTTTCTCAGCCTTGGCACGATCACCATTGGGGCCCAGTAACTCTTTGTTGTGAGGATGGCCCTATGCAATGTAGATGGTTAGCACCATCCTTGTCTTCTGCCAATTAGATGCCAGTAGGACCTGCCCCCCAGATGCAACCACCAAAAATGTCTCCAGATGTTGCCAAATGTCTCCTAATAAGCAGACTCTGCCCTGGTTGAGAACCAGTGCTCTAGGGACACACACTGTCCTGCCACATAACAAATTAAACAAGAAGCTGTTTTACAAACACTTCCCCAAGGTGTTCTAAACATCTTGTCCCACAGTGTGACTCTCCTTGGCTCCAGATGAATTCAGGTATCTGCCCTTCCCCAGGTGGCAGCACCCTCCCTCTATTTCCAGATGAGGTTTCTGAGCAGGTGCATGGTTCATCTGGCTTCTACTGGCCACCAGTCCACCTCACAGCTGTCCACACCATAACTTGCTTCATATCTCCCTCCGCTGATATAGAAGTCTGTAATGTGTCTTTAATTATAGAGCTATGCTATCTCAAGTGATCATTTCATTTCTAAGTACAACTTAACAGACTTTTTTTCTGGCTTGATAAACAGTATTACCACAAAATCAAGCCAAGAGCACTCTCTCTCACTCTTTCTCTTTTTCTCTCTTTCCAGATTTTCTTTCCAAAGTAAACCATAAATGATCCTACTCCTTAAGCTTACATCATATTCTTTTCTTCCTGGCATCTGAAAAATTATCATTTGGAGCTATCCCAAGTAAATTCATAATCAAGCTTATCACAGTATAATTCCTAAGTCAGCACTTGCCAATTGTATCTTGTAATTTTTTTTGGTGAATGTCTTTTAATGGTTCTAAGATTTGTTCTATTCTCCTTAAGTATTTTTACATATATCATTTCTTCCTTGTGTGGTTTGCTTTCGATATTTTTGGCAGATCCACAGAAGACAGAGCAATCTCAATGCCTGTCTGACTTTGTTTTCCCTTCTCTATTAAAACATAGGTCCTTTTATTCTTTTATAAAAATGATATGTTTTAATTTCTTAATATTCTCAGAAACTTGCTGGTATAGATTTCATTTTATAATGTTCATTCCTGGTTAGAGGTACAAAATTCTGGACCTTTCTTAGGCCCAACTCAAAAGATAAGAATTCAAAAATTTACTAATTCAATTTACAATTTTGCCTTTCAATCACAAATTATTCTTTTTAAATTATACTCAATCTGATTTTCAACTCTATTATTACCTCATTCAATGTTATATTTATGTCATACATAACATTATACTCACATTATTAGTTATGGACCTGAGTTAAGTCTAATTAGGACCATTTGTTATACTGTACAACTTTGGGCAAGTTACTTAGTCTCTCTGAGCTTGTTTTCCTATCTGTAAAGGTGAGATAGTATTTTTTCCCCCACTAATTTCTCACTTTATTTTTTTCTAATTTCTAGGATTTTGTGCTAATTAAATGAAATCATGTAAAAGGGGCTTTGGTGTCTTTAAAAACTTTACAAATGTAACATTTTATTGTTATTTCTTTCTGATCATCTTCCTTCATTTCCAACTCAACCCTATCCAATACATGCTTTATAACTTCATCCATACCTCACAGGTCTTCCTTTTTTCAAATGTATCTTGGATTTTGTTTTACCCATTACCCTCCACTTATAGGTAAAAAATGAAAATATTCTCACATTACGGGTGAGAAAAATAAGATATACATAACACAAAATAAGGATATATCATGCTTCAGCAAATACTTTTAAGCTTTAATCACACCCATTACTGTAACATAATTCAAATTCCAATAAAAATCTTCTAAAAATCTGATAGCACTTCATCCAAAAGACATCATTAGAATTTTATAGCTTCTAAGTAGCCCATTTGTTATCACATAGAAATATGCAGTTACTTTCAAACGAGGGCTTTAAATGAGGACCATTATCAAATATTAAACATTAAATGTAAGTATTTGTTTAAAATATTTTTAGTAATTACATAGTACATTTTTCACTCTTCTGAACTGGACTCTGAACACTTCCAAACTACGAACAATTACCTTTTCTAATTCTTGATCTTGCCGGTTCATAAGTGTCTTCCAGTGCTCATAAAGCTCGACATCTTTGGTTTGAATGTCCTTCAAAGTTCCTTCTCTTAGGACACTTCCATCTTTCATGGCTATGATCTAAGGAAGGCACATTTTAGCACAAAAAGTCGTAACTAGCCAGAGGAATCACATTGACCTCAGAAGGCACTTCTAAGGGTCCCTGTTTATTAAAAGAACTATCATATAAAAATGAATGAAACTTCCTCTGAACTCTCACCCAGTCAGCATGTGTTAGATACTGCAGTTTGTGAGTCACGAGAACAAGAGTCCTCTTGTCATCTTGGAGAAATTTCAAAATCCCTTCCTGCATTAAGTGATCACTCAAGTGAATGTCCAGGGCAGAAAATGGATCGTCCTACAACCAGTAAAATAGGGAGAAGGTAAACATCTCTATACCCTTTATGTAACTTAGTTCCTCTAGAAAGTAGAAATACAAATAAACAAAAGACAAATTATCTCTCAAATATAATTCATAAAAACAGACCCCATATAACTTTAAATTGTCAGAAAAAAATAAATTAAAACGAAGCTTCTATTTTTTTCATGTTGGACGTCTCACCTACAGAACTTTAAGATAATTTGCATTTTAAGCCACTAATTATGGCAATTTGTTATACCAATGAAAGGAAACCTATACACTGATCAAGAAGGAAAATGCTGCCTAAAAGATAAGCAATCTATCTTCAGAGAGAGTCATCAAGTGGAACAACAAATCAATGTGTTTTTTTTCTCTCTCTCAAAATCAATAAATAAAATTTAAATAAAGAGAAGAGATTATGCAAAATAAACCTATAATGAATGCCTAAGAATACACAATAAGTTGACCCTGTGACTTGAGTTCCGTTGTTCTACAACTGAGGTAAGTAAGTGTCTGTAAATTGAAGGCAGTGAAAGGAACAAGGATAGAATATGACACTCAGAAGACCTTGGTCTCTTTCTTTCAGATTTCCAAGTTACTTGGTCCTCAGGTGGCTCAGCCATTAGCTAGTGCCAAAATTCAAGAAGTCATTCCTAGTTGGGGGTTCATTCATTATGAAAAAGATTAACAATTACACAAATTACTGCTGGAACCTGCTATGGCTTTTAGAGTTGTTGCTTTTTTTGGGGGAAAAAAATGGGACTGGTATTCTTAGGGAGATTAACCTGAAGTGAATTTATGCTATGTCCAAATTTCTACTCCCATCCCCAGTAATGAGTCCAACTTAATGGGAAACTCCAAAATCAACCCACTTTTTGAAGAGGTTCTCAAGATTGGGTAAAGTGAAAACTTTAAAAGAGGTCTGGAAATCAGATTTATAAATGGTTTAAAAACTGTGCAGAAGGAAAAAACAGGGAAGGATGCATTTACATAGTCTTCCGGTATCTGATATATGTTATCTATTTGTAAGCTAAGTTACTTTGACTTCCTCCTGTTGGAGAAACCAAACTAGAACAAATTCATAATCAACATAATCATCTAATTTTATTTGTGGATCCACAAGTAGAACCAACTTAATAACCCTGGATATACATGATAAACATCCATGAAGCTTTTTAAAAACAGACACTAGACCTACCCTTACAGATTATGATTGAAATGGGTCTAAGGGTGATAAGATTTTTATAGTTTTAGGAAGTTTCACAGACAAATCTTATCCACAGCCTGAGTTTACACCACTGAAACGCAGTGCCATGCTTATGTCCACCAAGAATGTATTTTCCAGACCTTCTTTCTTTGTCAGAAAATATAAACAAGCCCTATGATTCCATCTAGTTGATCCAGCACCATGCACACTCCCTCATTAATTGTCCTTGTGGTTCAATAATTCATATAAACAACTATGTGGGCACCCCAGTCTCTTGGACATCAATATAGAGCCCCCAAGTCATTACCTTACATGTTAATCTGATTTATACTGTGAGGATTTGTTTCTCCTACATTTTCTATGATTTCACAAGTTAAATCATCTTTTCTTAGATTATTTGCCTTGTCCTTTAAAAACTCATTTTCAGAGGGAAACAATGAATAGAAATATAAGTCAAAGCCATATTCTCACCAAGAAGACAATGTTGGTATTCTGATAGAGAGCTCGTGCCACACAGATTCTTTGCCTCTGACCCCCACTCAGGTTGATGCCCTAGAGAAGAAATATCCATAAATATCCACTTTTTCACTAGTAAATGACCCGCTGGTTAAAAATTCCTTTTGAAGAATAATAAAAAAAAACCCTCTTAAAATAATGTAATTTACTAATTAAATTGTGATAACATTGATGAGATAAAATGAAAACTATCTAGTGGTCAATACCTGAATTATATTAAGGTAATTCCTGACTGATAACATTAAGCCCCTTTTCATTCCGATAGAGAGCTCTCCTGTACAAAAGCATTATTAACCAAAACACTGGTGAGTGCTAAAGACCACAAACAATTCCTTTTTTCCCCTCATTTTGTGAATTGTGTCTGTAGTGTACTTAACATATACCTCTTACCACTAAATTTGATATTATGAGTTTTATTCAACAGAACCATGCAGCAATATGCTTTTCTAGTCAAATGTTGATTATAACATTTTTAAAATCTAGTACAATAAATCCTCACTTAACATAGTCCATAGGTTCTTGGAACCATGGCAAAATGACAGGCTAATTTATATAAACAAGAGTTAAGTTCCAAAAGCATCTCAATGGCCCTAGCCAGTTTGGCTCAATGCATAGAGCTTTGGCCTATGGACTGAAGGGTTCTGGGTTCGATTTCAGTCAAGGGCACATGCCTGGGTTGTGAGCTTGATCCCCAGTAGGGGGCGTGCAGGAGGCAGCAAGTCCATGATTCTCATCATTAATGTTTCTATCTCCCTCTCCCTTCCTCTCTGAAATCAATAAAAATATATTAAAAACAAAAACAAAAGCATCTCAATGTTATAATAAACAATGACGAACAAAATGATGTTGAATGAAATGATTCTGAACAAAATGACAAAATGTTGTTATTTGAAGGCCTGATATATTTATTGAGCTCTTAGTACATGTCAGACTTGTGTGACTGGCTTTACATTCCTTACTCCTTTTATTCCTCACAGTGATTCCAATATGTAGGACTAGAGACCCGATTCACGAAGATTCATGCAAGAATGGGCCTTCCTTCTCCTGGCTGCCAGCACTGCCTTTGCTCCAGTCAGAGCCGCCTTTCCGCCTTCCTATGCTGCCCAGAGGCCCAGAGCTGCTGGAGCAGGGCTGAATGCCTGCATTGTCACCATGGCAATGACGCAAGCATCCCGCCCCTGGCTGCTTGGCACCTGTATATGCAAAGTAACCTGCCATCTTTGTTGGGTTAATTTGCATACTCACTCCTGATTGGCTGGTGGGTGTCACAAAGTATGGTCAATTTGCATCTCTCTCTTTTATTTGTGTAGATTATTCTCACTTTATAAACATAAAAACGAAGGCTCTGTGAAGTTAAGTTCATGCTCTTAAATACTAACCTATGGTGCAATAAATACTCATTAAGAATGCAGACTACAGCTCTTTCCCTGCCGCTGCAGAGTTGCATGGAGGCAGAGGTCGTGGTGTGTTCAATATATGGCTTCATCCATAACCCATTGCTATGGTTGAGGAAGGTATTGCTGCCTTAAGAGTAATGGGTATTAATATTGCTTTATAAGGGGTGCTGAAGACCACCCTTATTCAGGATGGCCTAGCAAACAGAATTCACTGCAAAGCTGGCACAGCCTGAGACGAGTGCCAAGCCCACTTTTGTGTGCTTGCATCTAACTGTGATGATCCTAAGAATGTCAAGTTTGTGGAGGCGGTTTGTGCTGAACACCAAATCGACCTAGTTAAGGTTGACAGCAACAAGCAACTAGGATAATGGAAAGACCTCTGCAACATCCACAAAGATGGAAGACCCCGTAAGGTGGTTGGTGTCAGTTGTGTGGTCGTTGAGGACTATGGCAAAGAGACTCAGGCCAAGGATGCCGTTGAGCAATACTTCAAATGCAAGAAATGAACAAATAAACTTGATTTCTTTATTAAAAAAAGATAATGCAGACTCCAGAGTCAGACCAACTCCAGCTGCACCCTGACTCTGTGATTGGTCAAGCTCTTTAACCTCTCTCAGCCTTCGTTTGCTCAGCTTCAATATGCAGGTAGCATATAAAATCTTTTGCACAATACCTGACGCCTATAACAATTTTAGCCAAACATTGTTATAAAGATTACATAAAGGTATAAATATTTTTCAGTTGGACAGAATAGTAAAACATCAATGAAAAACAAGTTTACACACAATCAAAAAAAAAAAAAAAAGGACACTTTAACAAGAATAAATCAATGTTGTCAAGAGTAGAAGTTGTCGAACACAATCTCAGTTTTCAAATCAATTCAAAGTAAACTGCTCAAGAAAGTAAAAATACGTTTGATCAAAGGCAGGAACTGCTCTATTTTCCTTGTGAACTTTCAAGAGGCCAGCACAATGTTAAGTATACGGTGGTTACTCAACAAATGCTTAAGAGAGAGTGGCATCAAAGAGCTCCTGTGTTCCTGTTTCTGGAACTTGTTGCTAGGGCAACATACACATTTTAACCTCTCAGATTTTATTATGCTCCATGAAAGATTAAAGGAAACCAAAAGACTTTTCTAGATTTTTTTCCCATAATTTAATCAAACTATACATAGCTCACCCTCTCTCCAATTTCAGTCTGGTCTCCAAATGGTAGTAAGTCAATGTCTGGCTGAAGAGAACAGGCATCTGTGACGGCTTTATACCTTTAGGAGAAATGATGTTGAATTTTTAGAACACTGTTAATATGCTGCCCATAAACTAAGTCCCAAGTTCAATGTCTTAAAAGCTGAAATGGGCCATTCATTGGGCAATTGGCACATTAGCCTCTACTCTAAGTTTGTGGATACAGAGATAAATGGGCATTGGTTCTCATGCTTACAAAACTAGTAAGTGGAGAACAAGACTGATACAGAAACATATAACAAAAATGTATCTTGTTAGGTGCTCCTAGAATACATAGAAGGAAATGACTCACCATTCTGAGAAGTTAGTGACATCTTTGCAGAGGAAGCAAAGTGTAAATAATATCCAGCAAGATGAGTCATAATTTGTCAAGATATGAGGAAAAGGAAGCTTAAAAAACTGTACAAAGATAGATGAGTGTACAGTGCACGTGACAGACAATAGGAGGCTCACGAGGACTAAATCATAGGTTTTGGGTGTCTGTGCTGCTGATGGAAGAGCAAACAGATGAAGAAGACTGAAAGTATTCAAATTTATCTAAGGCTGGGACTGGATATCAAATGGATTGGAAGTATAAGGAATCAGAGAGTTTGAAAGTGTTGGGAAAAATATCAATGGTTTCATTTTCTCAATCACCGAGTCTTAAAATATCCAAGTGATTCTTGATTCTCCCCTCTTCTTCTCCCTGCTCATATCTGTCCATTCTTTTTCTAGAATGGTTTTCTGTCAACCACCTTTTTTCCCACTTTTCTAGTCACCCCCAGATGCAGGCAACAAATACTACATGCCTGGGTAATTATTCTAACAATCTTCTAAATGTTTCATTGCTCTTAATTCAAATTCATCCATATATCTGTCATTACACTGCCAGATTAGTATCGCATTCACCTTATTATTTTCCTTTCTAAAACGTGCTGTGCCTTCTCAGAATGCACACAATTATATCCAATTGTATTTCAGGGCCTACCACTACCTTGCCTACCACTTCTCTACAATCTAGTTTCCCACTGTCCCCTAATCCCTTTCTGTCTGGTCTGTTCCCAGGCCCCAAACAGACCTTATGCCATTTGGGTTCTTCTTCCCACACAATCTATTTCCTCTTCCTGCCCCCTTCCTCATGCTTCTCCCCTACTTAATTCTCCTTAACTTTCAAGACCCAGTTTTGGGTCTTAAGACTCACCCTTGTAAGAGTGGCTTAACGAAAAGATCATAGCTCTGAACACTACAGTGATATTAAAAGATCCTACAGTCTCCCTCTTTTTTCCAAAGTTAACATTCTTTTTGTTGTTTAGTTGGGTTTTTCCTTTTGCTTACTAATAACCTCACCACCACCACCACCCATCCCCACCGTACATATATACACACTGCATTTTCGGCTGTTTAATTTTGGTGTACAAACTGTTCTCAGTAAATGTACGTAATGGCCTGAAACTACCAATGAAACTTTCTCTTAAAAGAGTTGAATCATAAGATCTGGTGATGCCCAGCCAGTGTTGCTCAGTGGTTGAGATCAAAGTTTGATTCCTGGTCGGGGCATATGCCTGGATTGTGGGCTCAGTCATCAGTGTGGGGCATGCAGGAGGTAGCTGGTCAATGATTCTCTCTCATCATTGATGTTTCTATCTCTCTCTCCCTTCCTCTATAAAATCAATAAAAATAAATAAATTTTTTAAAAAGACCTGTTGATGCGGTTGGAAAGAGGTCAAGCAGGGAGGAAAGGAACTCCCCATGTAAAGATTCCAGACACTGAGACCAAATATAAGGGTTCGAAATGGTTGCTCATTTTAGTTCTAGATTTTATACATTCGAAATTACCTCTGTTTGATGAAAGGACTTCCAAAGGTAATATTTTCTTCTACTGTTGCATTTAATAACCAAGGCTTTTGAGCTGCATAAGCCACAGAATACCTGCTCCTACTGGAAAATGGAAAAAAAAAACCAATACAACAAAATTATGCAAGGGTGCTATGCTCTATGTGTATTTTAGTGTAATTAAGTGAAATAAAAGCCAATAAAATATTGCAAACACAGAAATGGAAAACTCCTAAAAGAGAACATTTAAATAACCACCAACTTGATTAATGAATGGTTAAAGATTCCACTTGAATTCAAGGGATCAGAATTTTATCAAAATGTCACACAATGTGTGAAATTTGATTTTGCTATGATAAACAAGTGTTTTAAAGTAGAAATTATTAATTAAAATTTTCTTTTCTAAAATGAGTATAGTTTTTAAAATAAAGATAAATAACAGTTCACTTTCTCACAGCCACAGATATTTTAATTTGAATTAAAAGCACTTTATATAACCATACATTTTATATGTAGACCTTAAAATGTGAATTGATATTATAATTATAGTATGTGTTTGTGGCTTAATCACATTAACGTATTAAAGGCAATAGATAACACATATTTCAAAGCAAAGAATACTATTTTGAGGAGTCCATTTCAATATTGAAATACACATATACCTAAAAACTATGTATTTCAATACATACTAAAATAGTTTATTTTTTTAAAATGATAATCCTCTCATCCCTTCTCCCCCCCACCCCACCCTTATTTTTGGCTTGCAAATTCTAATAAATCTATATCTCAGGATTTAATTTGCAATAATTAGGAAAATGCATGTGAGTTGAAGATAAAGAAGATGATGGGATTGGGGCAGGGAAGGGGTCACTGGTCCACAGTTAGTTCATGGTCTGTAAGTAGTAATAAAGGAATTAAGGTTAAAAGAGAGTAAGGTTATGAAAAAGAGTAGTTGGAAATGCTCACAGATTATCCGGAAACACGTCTAGGAGTTTAGAAGACATACATATGCTAATGGTCTTTAAGATAACCATATGTGCTGCAAAACAGTGGTTCCCAACTACTGACTTGTCTGCTTCCCCTTCCCTCAAGTCCTCTAAGTGATGTTTTTCTTTTTTAAATACCTGAAGCATTTGGCTCTCCATCTCTACCTTATTCACAGATTCTATGACTATAACTCATAAACAATATGTGTATTCGTTCTTGCATTTCTACTGAATGAAGTGGGGTGACATTGGTTAATAAAATTATACAGGTTTCAGATGTATAATTCTAAATACATCATCTGTATAGTGCATTGTGTGTTCAGCACCTAAAGTCAAGTTTCCTTATGTCATAATTTATCACTCCCCCTTTACTCTCTTTTATCTCCCCCTAACTCCCCTTGTCATTTTATGAAATCCCAAAACCAGTTTGCTAAGAACAGATTAAGTTTCAGCCAAAGTTGAGACATATGTGACTCACTGAAGGAAAACAGTGGTCACAATGGACCTTTTTGGCAAATTAATTCTTTCAGCAGCCTGCAAATGTTGGGAACCACTGCTATTGGAAACATTATAGCACATTTTAATAAATAACTTTATATATCATCAGAATGAACAAAATGAATAGGAGCAAGAGATTATCAAGTAAAGTCTGAGGAAGGAAGTTATTCTTATTAAATGCAGATTAAAATAGAAATAATACCTTCTGGTTGCTTCAAAAGAAGGTTCAGATTCATTTACACTGCAAGTATGGCAAACAATGTTTATTAATTATGAAATATAAATACAGAATGACTGCACATATCAAGTAAGAGATCAAATAAACATTGGACACATAAAACAGCTACATTTCCCAAATGGTTTTTTTATATTAGTTTCAAAGACAAATAAGATAAATGATTTTTTTAATGTCTTAATTGGTTAGAAAATAATTACTTAGTAAGCTTCCAAAAGATACATACCACCATTCTTTTTATACAAAATTTGGATTCATACAATGACTTGGGTTCCAGCTCCAACTAGTTGTATAAATTTAGGTAATTTCTCTAAAATAGTTTCCTAGTCTGCATAGGAATTCAATATTCTGAGGCTTCTTTACCTTTAAAGTTTCAAATTTAATCTATTTAAATTCCTAATTAGCTACCATAAGGCCACATCTGGGGCAAAGTATTATATACACAGTATGCACATTTGAGAACTACTTGCAGTTCAGAGTTACTGGAGCAAATTGGTGAACGTGGGTAGAATAGCAAGATACAAGTTTAAAAAGTTAATCTGGTATCAAATCATGAAAGATCCTGATGGTATGCAAAGGTCTCTATAATGTTATTTTTTTTCGTATAATAAAATAAATTATAACACAGAAATAATCAGATTTGTATCTCAAAAAGGTAAATCTTGCAATGGTGTGAAGAAAGTTGAGTAAGTAGTTCACATAAATGATAACTACTTAAACTAAAAATATTAAAACACACATAGAAATGTTAAGGACAGACATATGAAAAGTGATTGGTTGCATTTTGCAGGCAATAGAGAAAGAAAAAAGAGTTTAGGTTGAATCTTTGAATTCTGTCTTCAGTGCCCACCAACCAATTTCAGAGGTGGGGACACACTCCTACCAAGATACAGGAGAAGCATGTTTTGGAGATATGAGATATATGAGCTTGCTTTGGATGTGTTGAATTTGCAGCTTACATAAGAGATTTTGGAGCTGCTGTTCAGTCTTCAAAAGAATGATCTTGGTCAGAAATGGTATATTATTCATATTTCAAGGTATCCAAAGTCAAGAAAATAATTTAAGAGCTAAGAAGTGAAGAGGATCCTACAGTAGACTGCAGAAAACTTGAAGAAGTAGAATGTTTTGCCCATCTTTCATCTTCATTTCTATTGCAGTTCCTGGATTTTTGACACATTAATTTTGGCTTATCCTTAAAATATAAGTTCAAGTATCATTCATTTATTCATCCTCCTATTATATTTTCTTACAAAACCATGCATATAGTTTTCTTGGCATTCATAAAAACTAAACCAAAGCCGAGATCGGTTTGGCTCAATGGATAGAGCGTCGGCTTGGGGACTGAAGGGACCCGGGTTCGATTCCGGTCAAGGGCATGTACCTTGGTTGTGGGCATATCCCCAGTAGGGTGTGTGCAAGAGGCAGCTGATCGATGACTCTCTCTCATCGATGTTTCTAGCTTTCTATCTCTCTCCCTTCCTCTCTGTACAAAATCAATAAAATATATTAAAAAAAAAAAAAAACTAAACCAAATATTTAATTATGAAAGTGTTTTCTTATTTCCTTACTAGAGGCCCAGTGTACTCTCCCCAATCTGGGACCCCTCAGCCTGGCCTGCACCCTCTCCAATCTGGGACCCCTTGGGGGATATCCGACCGCTAGTTTAGGCCCAACAGGGACATCCATCTCATAATCCAGGACTGCTGGCTCCTAACTGCTCGCCTGCCTGCCTGCTTGATTGCCCCTAACCACTTCTGCCTGCCAGCCTGATTGTCCCCTAACTGCTCTCCTGCCAGCCTGGTCTATGCCTAATCTCTCCCTTGCCTGCCTCATCACTCCCAACTGCCTTCTCCTGCTGACCTGTTCGCCCCCAACTGCCCTCCCCTGTCTGCCATCTTGTGGTGGCCATCTTGTAATGACATTGTGTGATGCCACCTAGTCTTTTATTATATAGGACGCTTTTGCTGGCAAAGAGTAAACTTTATGAAAATAGGGAATGGCTTCCCTTGTTCAGTTATTTACCTCCAACAACTAATACAATGATTTGCATGTTATAGGTGTGCCATACATATTTTTAATAAATGAATAAATGAAACTGTCATGAAAATCAAGACACCGGTTGGTTTCAAGGAGTGATCAGTGGTGAACAGTTTCAAAAGCTATGGAGAAGTTAAGTAGGATTGAAAACAAAGCACTTAGGCAGGCCTTGGTGAGAACTTCTCAGCCAGACTGCAATGCACTGAGTAAAAGGACAGTGAGGAGGTTAAGTATGGGCAGATTTTTCTCTTAAAAAGAGAAATGCCCATTATTTGAGACATCAGCAAGACCTTTTTTAAAAAAATGGAACATAATGAAATAGCAAGAAATTAAAGACATAAGAAAGAAGGGTTAATTAATGTAATAGTGTCCTGAATTAGACAAGGCATATAGTGGATCTTCATTTCTGAACACTTCCCCTTGCAGGATTTATGTATATTTTCCTTTATGTGTAAAAGTTAAATATCATATACTAGTTTCAGAGAAAGAAAGAAAAGTAGATATATATCCATTTGCTGGTAGTCATCTCACAAAAACAAATAAAAATACCCTGTTCTTTCACTAACATTTTCCAGGAATAATGACATAGTCCTTAATTTCTAGAGATCACCTACTCTCACTCTTTCTCATAGCAACAAGTTTAATCAAATTCAGTTGTGGAAGGTTATTTTTTTTATCTTCCAAAATAAATAACTAGAGTTAGCTATTAATTCCAACATCAGCTCATATTTGATTACATGAACATCACTGGCTACACATCCAGGCTCGTCTTCCACCATTCAGTGTGGCAGTTACCATCACTGAAGGCAACAAGAGAAAGCAGAGGTCAGATGGAAAATCCTCTTCTGGAAAAATGGCATACGATTTCACTTCTGCATGCAAAATGTGTGTGCATTTTCTTCAAGAGTACAAGTTAAACCTGGTGTTCTAGCCACGTCCAAGTATCGTGCTTGATACCTTTATGAAATGGAAACAGTGACTTTTACAAGTCTAAAATAGAAACAGTGTTTGGAAGAAGGAGAGCCAGAAGTGGACACAACAATGCTATCTGATCCAGAAAAGCTGACTCCATGTGTTATTATTTCCTTCTGCCAGGTAAAGCCCCATCAAACGGAGTAACTCTTCAATTCACCAGTCTTAGAATCACTGAGCCATGATGACAAAGCTGATTAAGGAAGACATAAGAAGATGGAACATCAAGACAGATGGGGCCTGATCATAGGCTGGCCCATGACATGGCGAGTAGAAGGAGAAAAGAAAGGGAAAGCAGAAATAAATGATGGTTCTGCTTCACATGATTAGCACCACTAGTATACATTTTGGACTCTCTCACTGGAATCATCCATCAGGCAAAGCTTGAGTTCTAGCTCCTAAGAGACACGTAAAAAACCATTGTTTATCATGACTTTTAGGAAAGGACAACTTCTGGCAGTCAGAACATTTGCTTTGAAATGAACAAAGAGCACACTGCGATATAGGAGTAAGGACCAAGTCATTCTGACAGTCACTTCTTCCTCTCTTTACCTTTCTCTTCTGGAACTACAAGACGCCAGACTAGGTCAAAGGTAGCAATTTCCAAGGAAACATCTACAGATGTCTTTGCTGTGTACCAGGTGCTACCCATGTAGGCATGTCATGTATAAGCAGCAGTACCTTCTTTCCTGCTCAAAGTAAATATTTAGCTTTGCCAGAGGGCAGAGTACTTTATTGCTCTTTGCTCAAGCCATTCTATGAGGACGCATTTAATTCATACAACCAGAGATACAAGCAATGATGCAACTATGACAGCAATGCATTGGGTGTCTTACCATAGCATTTAGCTTATTGTTTTGCTTTTTTATTTTTTGAGATTTGAAAAATATCAAAAATCTAGTCTGCTGTAATAAAGTACTCTTCTCTTAGCATTTTCACATCATCAGCCTAGCAGTATTGATAATTTCTAAATTAGCCTTGTTTTCATAACATTTATATGCCTTTGGCTATACATAATGTCACAATAGCTTTTTTTTTCTAAAATGAAGGGTAATTACAAATAACTCTTTTAAAAAAGGTCAGTATTCTCTGAATATTCCTGATTAAAATTATCTTATATCAGCTATTAAAGATACCATGGAGGAAAATTAAGTACTTTTTGTAATTAAAGAAAAATGGAACTAGTGTTAGCTTATCAAAACTTTTAAAGGTTTAGTTTCTAAGTTGTGTGTGTATCTGAGCCAACACAAACATGTTTTAAAGAAAATGTTTGTCCTTCTGCCATTAAGAGATGAGATTATTGTCTATTAAGTATTCATAAAAAGATGATTTGTAAATTATGTAAATTATATAAATATTTAGAATTATCTTAAATCCTTTCTTACACCTACACCTTCTAAAATATAACTTCTTATTAGCTTTTAAAATTAAAATCCATGGAAGAGATTTCTTTCCAAAAAAATCTTAACCTCTATTGAGTAAATGTATGTTTTTAATTGTTATTCTCCCTTGGCCTATCTTTCATGAAACTCAGAGTGGAATTTGAGGCCCATATTTTATAATGGACTTTGGTGCATGCATTTCTAGCTATTAATTTCTCAGATTTTTACTTCAGCCTTATTTTTCTTTTGATATTTTTATCTCTTTTTCAATATTTATTAGACTGTGTAATTTTAAATATAATAATTCACAACCTTTATAAAATGAGATAGGATATCTTAGTTAGGAATGCAGAAAGTAAATAATTGGGTTATGTAAAATACTTTCCTAATTCCCCTACCACTTATTTATCCTTTAAAAAATTACAATAATTGTTAATGATGACATTGGGAGTCAATTTGGCCCAAGTAGAGCTGGAATCTTTTATACCACTGGAGAGAACTAGATAAGGAGAACATCCCAGAGGTATGAAAATAGAATCTCAAGTTTTTTTCTGTCACCATCTCTCATCCTTTCTCTCTGTTTCAATGACAGTAAAACAAGGTAAAAATAAAACCCAAGTAACTTGATTATGACTGTACACATCATACAATATAACTTAATCCAGGAAGGTCTGCCTCCCAAAACCTATAGTCATGCAAGATGGATGATGATGGTGGCAGGGCAAGCACTACCTGGTGTCTGACCTTGGTGATCGACAGGAACTTGTCATAAAGCAGACTCCAGGTAGCCATTATTTGCCAAGCTCTCTGCTGAATATTCACAAAACTGTTTCATTTGTACTATCTGTTAAATGTGTCCAACAGAAATAAAATGTACACTCAACATTTCTCAGCCTCCTTTTGCCAATAATACCAAAAATAGAATTTATGAGTCCTATTGTTTCCAGTTCAAATTTCACATCCAAACATTTCCTTCTCTTAATTGGAGTTGAAAATAGAATCTATCCTCAAAATGCCCTTACATAGTCTTTACTTATCCTTGAGAGATGTCTGTGTATGTGAACTGCAGACTAAGCCACATAGAATGCAGAATGGTGGGTACAAAATGAAATTAAAGAACATCTGTAGGTATAGAGCAAGGTTTCTTGTCTTAGCACAACTGACATTTGGGGCCAGATAATTTTTCTTGGGGGGTGGAAATGGGGGTTGTCCTTTGCATTGTAGGTTGTTTGGCAGCATCCTTGGCCTCTACTAACTAGACAATAGCATCCTAATTTCCCTTTGTGACAGCCAAAAACATCTCCAGACATTACCTAATGCCCCCAAAGTTATACCTGATTTAGAACTGGTCAACGATCCAACTTCTTAGATAAGCTGTAAGCAATTTGTTCATAACTGTTTATGGGGAGTTGAGTAGGTAGATAATACTATGGTTCTGAGGCACTTCATTACTGCAATGTGCTTTGAAGACAACAAGCCATCCATTCAATTATACAGAAGAAGCACCATGCTATATATTTCCTTCTTCATGTGATTAGGGGTACGTAACACGCTAGTCTTATCTATTTATATCTCTAGGTACTTCTGGTGTCTCATTTAAATAGAGTATGAAGAGAAGTTACTGATTTCTCAGCCCCTTATGAAGATTCTGGAAAAGATTATTTCATATTTCTTCTCTGAACATTGAACCATTAAGGCTTTGTTTGCATTTAAACTTTATACATAATGCAAGTTTTCCATACCTTCTTTTATTGCACGCTGAATTTTTAAATTATTTGTTATCCATTTAATTTTTAAAATCTCTGTACAATCTTAATCTTACGTTTATCTCAGCAACATACTATTATAAACACCTATAAAATTGCTTTGTAATTCTTAATTTATGACACTTAAGGTTTCCACAAATTTAAATAAACAAACAAACAGATAAATAAATAGCTGTGTTCCAATTCCTATCATGGGAGTTTATTGCTTTAATTCTTCCCGTAGATCATCAGCTGTGTGACAGAACAATAGACATTAATTTGAAATGCACATACTTGCTCCAGTGAACTTTTCCTTCCAGTGCCTGCATCTCGCCTAGGATGGCAAGAAGAAGAGAGGACTTCCCACAGCCCACTTGGCCCACAATCATGGTTAACTGACCTAGAGAAATGAACAAAGGATAATAACAGAATGCAATGGAATTCTCTTTGTAAAATAAGACCAGAACACATTTAGAAAAGGTCAACATTTCACAATCAATGGTTCAGTTTTGGTCTCTGGCCATAAGGAATTCTAACAGCTCCTTTCTCTAAGATGTAAGTTTTTTTAAAAAGGGAAGAACAGCTGAAACCAGTTTGGCTCAGTGGTAGAGCGTCGGTCTGCAGACTGAAAGGTCCCAGGTTCGATTCCGGTCAAGGGCATATACATTGGTTGCGGGCACATCCCTGGTAGGGGGTGTGCAAGAGGCAGCTGGTCGATGTTTCTCATCGACGTTTCTGGTTCTCTATCTCTCTCCCTTCCTCTCTGTAAAAAATCAATAATATATATATATGAAAAAGGGAAGAACAATTAAAACATGTATGTCTTGATTTATATATTTATATATTTCCAAGCTATAAGAATAGCTAACATTGATGAACAGAGCATTGAAATGGTTGCCTAAATAATTGATTAGTTTTAACTTTATATTTCAAATCATCCAGTAGAAAAAGGCAGTTTTGACTAAAATTGATCACTGGGATGAGTTATTTGGGCTGTTCATGTCTTCTCCAATTTCTTATATTGATTTGCACGTATTATTGAAAAATCCCAAAGTACTGACCATCAGATGAGGTAAAAAAAAAATTCTATTTAACTAACTAGACGTTTTAAATACAAATTATTGTGTATTGTAGCCTTGAATGTCTTGAAATCTGTATCAGTCTTCCTTAGGGGTAAAAAATAATAATTTTCTCATAAACCTTTTTTTATTTTTTTTTTGTATAAACTTTTTTTTTAAATCCTTTCTCAAATTAAATGAAAAATCAACAACCCCATTATTTAAATGGGTCAAATCAACAAATGAACTGACCACAGTTAATCTATACAGTAAATAACTTGTCCAAAGATCTATACTCAGTAGTATAAGGCAAGTCTTATCATTTCCAGTTTTTCCCACAGTGATACAATGACTCATGAGCTCCATGGTAAAAATAATGTTTATGAATTTAAAAAATCTTTTTGTTAAGCTCAATTATCTTGGAAATACATAGCAGTGAGAATTAACAATCAAATGATGCTTACCTGTTGGAATTCGAATATTTATATTGGATAATGTAGCTAAGCCACTGCCCCAGGAAAAGTACCCATTTGTGACCTAGAAAATAAGAATACAAAAACTAAATTAGAAAATTATGTAAATATGTGGAGTTAAAAAATAATTCAAATTAAAATAAATTTTCTTTATAAAGCACTGGCAGATTTTAATACAATATGGAACACACAGTTGTGAAATTCTAATGCAGAGTTATTAATATTTAAGAGTTGTAAGTGAAAAACAAATAAGAATGGACATCAAAGGAGGCTCTCTGAATTAATGACATTGTAAAGAATGAGAAAATTTGGGATTACTGGGCCATTTTCACATGAGCAGTCTTAAAAAGCAATCCTCTCAAATATTTTCCAAGTAGCACTCTTCATTTTTTTTCTCACTACTAGGCAATTCCTAGAATCTTGGTGATGCAAATTAAAGAACAGAAATAACTACAGCCCCAACCAGTTTGGATCAGGAGCTTTGGTCTGCAGACTTTAGAGTGCCTGGTTCAATTCCAGTCAAGGGCCCATGCCCAGTTGTGAACTCAATCCCTAGTAAGGGTTGTGCAGGAGGCAATTGATCAGTGATTCTCTGTTATCATTGATATTTCTCTCTCTCTCTCTCTCTCTCTCTCTCTCTCTCTCTCTCTCTCTCTCTCTCTCTTTCTTTCTCTCTCTCTCTCTCACCTTTCCTCCCTCCCTCCCTCCTTCCTCTCTGAAATAATTTGTAGTTCTTTCTTTCTTTTTAATGTTATCTGAGGAGAAAGGTTTTCTAATAAATGAGTTTCTTGAACTATAAGGATTCATTGTTATTCACTGAAAGGAACAAAAATAGGTATAGAGACAGAGAAGCATTGAACAGACTCAAACTTCAATGGAAAGATGGGGGTTGGGAGAGTGACCGGGGGAAGAAATCAACCAAAGGATGTGTATGCATGCATATAAGCATAATCAATGGTCACAGACACTAAGGGGTGAGGACATGTGCTAGGGGGTGAGGGTGGCTGGGGGAAGGTCAATGGGGAAAAAAGGAGACATATGTGATACTATACTTAATACTTTAAACAATAATAATTTTTAAAAAAGAGTAAAGAAAACAGACAAATAAAGCACAGAAATAAGGCAACATTGCTTGGGGGTTTATGTATAAACCTTAACAACCAGCAAAGACCACAAGACTTAGAAGTATCCAAAGCAATCTTTTTATTTTATTCTTGTTTTTATTTTATTTTGGCAATCTATCTCTTTTAGTAGACTTCAAATGGTCTTGGTAGTTTTAATAGTTATAATAATGGGTAACAAAAGAGGTATGACAGAACCCAAAGATTGAGAAGGTGAATAGACAGTTGAAAGGAGTAAATTAAAAGATAAATGTGTGGCATTTACTAGTATGTACGAAATATCTATTGCATAGATATGCATAAAATTAGTCCTGGAAAGCTGGTGGCAGGGAAGGACTAAGTTATTGATTACTTTACAAATATTTGCTGAGCTACAAAGAATGTATAATGCAGCTTCCTACCCCTATGATCTTATTATCAGGTGAGTATAAAAACAATGGGTAGTCCTGGCTGGGCGGCTCATTTGGTTGGAGCACTGTCCTGTACACCAGCAAGGAGTGTATTGGAGGCGACTGGTCGATGTTTCTCTTACATAGATGTTTCTCTCCCTCTCTCTCTTTCCTTTCCTATAAATAAGTAGTAAATAAATAAAAAAGTAAATAACATATCCTCAGGTGACAATTTAAAAAATCATGGACATAAGTGTAATATAAGACACTATGGGCTAAGTAATAAGCAGACGGGACAAACAGACAGTAAGTGCAACAGCAGTTCAGAAAGAAAATCACTTATGTCTGAAATGGGTAAAAAATAAACTTTCAGACGAGGAAGCCTTTTAACTAGTTTTAGAAAAGACACTGAATTTGAATGAAGGTCTTTATTGTAGGTAAGAACTACAATAAGAATAGGTGCAGAATCAAAAACTATGAAACATATTGTGGGAATAATAATGGTGGCTGGGACAGGGGTTTCAGATACTTTGCCTAAATGACAATCAATGTTCAAAGAAATGATACAAACTCGGAAGCTGAGGGCTCTCTTTGCTTAGAGAATAAACAAGGAGGCTAAAAGAGGTGCAGACATAGATGGTTTGGAAGAGGCTTAGCATGGAACTGAGAGGCCCGACATGACAACCTTTATGCATCCAGTGACTTGGGAGTGAAGGTTATCTGCAGAAAGAGGGTGCAAAAGGAAAGACAGGAGAGGGGAAGAGAGTGGTGACCGTTCCAGAGCTACTGTAAATTATGGGAAATAATGCTGATGAGAGGCATGCAAAAGAATTGCCAAGAACTACTGAGCATCAGCTGAGGTTGGAGATAATGAATCTGTGGTTAGGCCAACTTGGACCATCTTCTCCATAGTACTCAGCAGCCTGCTTAAAGGAGTGTAGAAGGCCTGAGGTTGGGATTGCTTACAGAAAGGTGCTGAGGGACTGGGAGAAAAGAAAGGAGCTCAAGTTACTGGAGGTTGCAGTGAGGTTTAAAAACAGTAACAGTGAAGGGGAAGGCTTGAGAGAGCCTGAGGGCAGGATCTGATGTGACTGACTGACTGAAACTCAAAGGTTTAAGATTTCAGAGGAGCATCAGCCCCAGGATGTGGCCGAATGTGAGCACAGGTACAGCTGTGGAAGTAGACATAAGGGATTTCTGGACTGGGATACGAGATAGGCTGCGTACTTGGAAGTTTAAATCACATGCATGCGTGCACAAAATAAGGTAAAAAGATGAACTAGAAAATAGATTCCTGAATCTCCCAGGAAGGAGGGAGTGCAGCTAACACATAAACCTTTGCAAAGGTTCACGAAAGAACAGGTGCAGAAATGATTGTCATGGAATGGTTTATGGTGGAGGGAAGATGGAGGCAAAGCCAGCGTTCATCACTAGGCGATAAGCAAAGCACAGCAATGCCTGCTGTGGAGTACAATAGTGCAGGTAGGAGGGGCACATGGTCCTAAACCATTTCAGGAAATTGAAAGTACGAGATGCTCATGACAACACTACCTATTTTACAAGGCATGAGTGTGTTTAAGTGCATATATTGAGCACATAACATCTGGTGCCACAGTGGTAGGAGGAAAGGGAGAGATATGAGTGCAGCAATGTGTGTGTTGAGGACCTTCAGAGGGAGCTGACATTCTTTACCTGGTTGTGACTGCATAGCTGTTTGCTTTTTCACTTAATGGTACATATTTGTTTTATTTCACAATAAAAATATTTTTCTGTTATATTTCACAATAAAAATATTTCAAGAAGACAAGTTATTACCAATTTGGAAGTTATTGTCACACATAAACAATTAATTAGGGCTTGAAGGTGGGCTTGAAACTGTACTGGCCATTCAGAGGCATAGCAGACTCTAGGCCATTTAAAAAGGGGGTTTCTGAGATTTTTTTTGTTTTTGTTTTTATTATTTATTTATTTATTTATTTATTTATTTATTGGTGAAGAAAGTCTCAATTTTGGGAGGAAAATAATGGCTTCCTGTTTTTACACTCAAAATAAAAACAAATTTAAAAGGCACACAGAAAAGACATATTTTTAGATTCCTATTATCTGGAATAGAAAATGTCAATTAAAAAAAACTAACCCTATTTCCTTATTCACTAAGGAACTTGTTTATCTCAGCATAGTTAAAAATTAGCAGCATAGAGGATCCTTTCTTGTCTCTCATTACTTAATTTTGAAACCTTGTAGTTCACACCCTACTTACACATTATAATTTCATATAAAACTACTAGACTTATTTTTAAATGGTGTACATGTGTAATATATATATATATATAAAGCTTTCTAGGATAGTCTAACATATAGCCAAGGTTAAGAGTCACCAAACAGGTACAGATGAACAAACTATGGCTCAGAGAGGCAAAGTAATTTTCCCCAAAGTCACACATGAGAGGTAGGGCTCTCATAGGCTTATTCAAATTTTGTTAAGTGCTTATTGGAGGACTGGTATTGTGCCAGGCAATAAGGAATGAGGGAAGAATGAAATGTAGCCTTTGGCTCTACCGTACACTCCATTGAGCCTCCCTCGCTCTTTGATTGGCTGGGCAGTGCATGGAGTTGGATAATCTGGAGCAGCCAGAGCAGCTGGTTTTCTAAAAGGCCTGGTTTCCTGGACTCTGGTGCCTCCGAAGTCCAGAGGTTTTGACTGCTGCAAGCATCTATTCTAGTCCCTACTCAGCACTGACTCCTCTCTCGGGCTTATCCAACCTAAGGGCCCTCAGCCTGTGTTACTCTGGTAGCCTGTCCTATCAAAGCATATGTGGCTGGGGAGAGTACCCACCACAGCTGGGTTTTAAATTATATCATTATTGGGTAACTGGGGAATGCATGCAGCACTGGTCTAAACTTTTCCTGGTTGAAGATACTTACTATCACATTTATTTCCTTAAAAACTGGATTTATAATACTGGTGTTCTCTATAAATCAACTTACTTGGTACATAAGCATATGAAGGGAATGATGTTGGATAAGAACATCTCATGCTGATTCAGAAGAAAGGCTTGTTCTCACGCTCTTAAAACATACGACTGAGGCAAAACTGGCTGGGAGGTCAGGAAGGACTGAGAGTCCTAAACTCATCAGAATATTTTTTTTTTAATGTTTTAAGATTGGTGATTCTAAAGAGACTTTAACAACATGTCTCAGGACACATTTGCTGAACGTCACCGTAACATTAATGTTTCTTTTCGCGTAAGAATCCAGGAAATAGAACAACCTTTATTGCAATATCCTCCGATTCTGCAGGACGTAGACGTCGCGCTGATTGCTCATAGCTGTCCAGGTGATATCTTCCAGGCTGCTTCCTGTTTATAGTCTTTGGCTGTTGCAGTCCAAATGGAAAAGAACACAAGTTGAAGCTTTATGAAAAAAAATTGAGGTTTGACTGAACTCACATTGCTACTTCTCCACTTGAATTCCAAGAAAAAGAAACAAGTAAATATCATATTTAAATTATTTCACTGGTTTCTCCCTCACTCTCCGCCCCCCCCCCCCAAAAAAAAAAACACGAAAAATTATAATGAAAAATTATTAAGCTATAAATTTAAGTTTAATTCACAGATTTTTAAGAAAAATGAAAACACAAAGATATGTGACTTGCAAAATGGTAGAAGTTAAAGTGCCAAACCCCAAGCTCGGTTTTGGATATCTTTTCTCCAGCCATTGGATGAATACACCCGGGGAATAAAGAACTGTGTGTCATGTCAAAAGGCAAGCACACTACTTCAGGTTAAACCCAAATCTACTTGTTAGGCTACCGGGCTTGTTAACGTTCCAACACTCTGCATCGTGAAGATTTTGAATCTCACATACTCATTTAAATCAGATCGGGCTAACATCACCTGAGGACCCATTGTGGAGTGAGAAAAGGTAAAAAGAATTAGGAATTTTCCCTCCCAAACATACATATTATTTCATAAGGAAACCCCGCAAGCATTGTAAAATGATCTGGTCTTTATCAAATACTAGAGGCTCAGAGCACGAAATTCATGCACAGGTATGGTCCCTAGGCCTGGCCTGTGATTAGGGCCATCTTCCCTGGCTGCCGGCAGTGGCCTGCCCCCACGGCCACCCACCTCTGGTTCCCTATTTGCCATTGGGCGATAGGAGCCTGCTGGGGGCGGGGGGACCATTAAGAGATTGGCCCTCCCTCCTCTGCCCCCATTCACCTGCCCCACCTCACACCCCCCACCAGTTACCCTCTGTGTGTGGAGTGACTAGTGGGGCAGGGGCCTTGGCTTGGCCCCGCCTATCCCTGGTTCCCTGTTCCCCATCTGGCAATTGGAGCCTGCCCTTTGGGGGAAGGGACCAAGAGGTTGGCTGGCAGGGTGATGGGGCCTGCAGGCTGGGGGCAGCTCCTGTTTTGAGAGTCTGTCCCCTGGTGGTCAGTGAACATCATAGCGACCAGTTGGTCTGCCATTCAGTTGATTTGCAAATCTTTTTATTACACTGAGTGGCCAGATTATTATGATGTCTAAAGGCATAATAATCTGGACACTCAGTATATGTGTGTGTGTGTGTGTGTGTGTGTGTGTGTGTGTGTGTGTATATATATATATATATATATATATATATATATATATATATAGGTCCGGTGCATTATTTCAAGCATGCGGGAGGACTGGCCAGAGAGAGGAGACATGGATGGTCAAACAAATTAGCCTCTTATTATATAGGATATACACTGAGTGGCCAGATTATTATGTATTCAGAGATCATAATAATCTGGCCACTCAGTATATGTAGGATTATAGCATTGTTCTTAGTCAAATGACTAAAGCACCTATAATAATAAAATGCTAATTAGACTGGACATCCTCTTGGATATCCTTTCAGATGACCTTCCGGATGCAGCTTGGACTGTGAGGGAAGCATGGGTCCCAGGTGCCTGCCAGTGGCTGGAGGGAAGCCAGTGCCAGCAGCCAGGGCAAGGAAGGCCTATTCTTGCATGAATTTTGTGCATCGAGTCTCTAGTCCATAATAAAGATGCCAGCTGACATTAAACAGTCTTCAGGTACCTAAGATGAACCTAAACTGTCATAACTAGAAATTTGTTATTCTCTAATTTTGAGTTTAATTTCAAGGGATAAAGACAATTGATTAAAGAGAAGGTAGAAAATTCTGATCGGTAAGCCTCTATTATAAAAAATATTTATAAATTAAATATTTAAATACCTTATAGAGATTGTGAAAGCTAAATAGCAATATGCTTTAAAACTAATAAACTACATATAAAAGCAAAGTGTCTAGAACTGTTAAACTTGGAGGGATTTAGATTTAGCTGTAGATTTAGCTTTTTGAAAAATCCATTGAGCTTTACTATCAGAATTAGAATGTACTCAAGTAATCAATAACTTAATCCAAACAAGATATTGTTCTTTCAACTTCTATCATTGGTATATATCACCTGCATCTCACACCATCAAATAAGATAAATGCAAATAAATTCACAGATTAAAAAGTTGCTAAGAAGTATCAGTTTTTTTGTCAAACAAAAATACTCAATGCATTTTAACTTAAAAAATAAAGAGTGCTTATGAAATTTTATCTTAGCTTTGTTTTTCTTCTCATAGTCCTCACAGATAATCCTAGAAATACATTGTATGAGATGCTATAGGACGTCACTATCATTTAAGCTAAAAATATTTTCCACACAAGATAGGTCTATACCTATACATATGTTTAATGTTTTCTAGAATAATTCCATAGTAGGATAGCCCCCAGGGTCCAAAAGGAATGACTTCATGTTCTTCAAGAAATTAAGGAGAGGGTGGGAGGAGGAGATGTGTTGACAGAGATTTGAGTCGGAGTTCCACAGATGTAATTTGAAGAGACTTTGGCTCTAGAATGTCACTAATTCTCCATGGAGATTCTACAGCCAAAACCACTTAACTCTAAGCTTTTACAGAATACATAGCATCTTAAGCGCTCTCAAGAGGAGTTTCCATTAGTGTTATTTTCAAGCACACAGCTTTTTTAACTCCATTTTTAAAAGTTTGTCGTTTGTGGTTTGGCCCATCAGCCATGATGAATGACCTTGAAAGACATCAGAAGTCCAGTCTGGTTTCAATAACCCTGAAGATATTAGATGCATTTGAAGGGGATTCTTTTTTCATTCCAAAAATCTTTTTTCAGTTCAATTTTTCTTCTATCCCTCATCTCATACAAAAGATTCTTCAGATTTCCCTAACTCCACAAACTTGACCTCCCACAACCCCTTTCTCAAGGTCACCTCACTCTGCTCATCCTCTACACCTCTGAAATGAGTTCTTTGGTAATTTCCTATCATCCAAAGTGTGACAAGACTGTTCTAATCAAATGCTGCACTTTCCTGCTGCCTCAAAATGTAGAGGCTTCATAATGTGTTCTTGTCTTTGTGTTCATATCCACACAATAACAAACAAGCATTTTGAGGCATGCCCACAAACATGAATAGTGATTCCTTCTCAGACAAAAGTCACAGCTACTCAATACAACAACTTAACAGAGAGTAAAAAAAATAACTTCAGAAAAAGCAGGAAAATAGCAATCCTAAATATAGCCAATTGCTCATCTTAACTGTTTTCAGTAGTTTTAAACATGATGTAAAAAAAAAATGTAACATTGATTGACTTCTAATAAAGACTTTCCAAGCCTCAGTCAATTCCAGTCAGGAGACTGCATGTGCATTTTGGTTTGGTGACATATATGGTAAATCCATTCATATTTTTATCTAAGAGTAACATGAGCAACTAATATTAACTTACACCATAACTCATTTTATAATAACACCATTCTGTTTTACTGTTATGAAAATACATTATTAATTTTAAAGTCTTTAGAATTCTTCAGACATGTCTCTCAAGAGTCTAATTCCATTGATTTAAATATCAAATGGCTAATGACTCATATCTTTACACCTATAATTGCTGATTTCTCTTCTGGGATGTAAATATATATCTCAAGTTTATCATGTGCAAAATATACCTCTTGATTCTACCTCAACACAAACTTACTAATTTCTCAACCTCCAGATATCAGTTAATGGTTCCGCCATCTACCCAGCAGTCAAACCAATAACCTGACTCATCCTTGAGTCCTCTTCCTCCTTCATTCCCTTTATCCAGTCTATTTGCAAGTCTTTGTAAGCCCAGCCTAAAAAAATAAATTTAGTCACTTCCTCTCCAAGTCCACTGAAACACAATAAAAACTAATTTTGACCATTATTTCTTTCCTATTTTATAAAGACCTCTCTGATCTATCTATTCTACTCTTGTCTCCATTGACTACTTTCTACCGTGTAGCCAAAGTTATCTTTTAGAAACACACACAAATTAATATCATTTCCTACTTTGCAACTGTCTAATGGTTTCCTATTACATGCTAATAAAATTCAAATCTTTCCATATCTATAAGACCCTTAACCCTTGTTCTTTGTCCTTTCTCTTCCTTCTTTACCAGGCATCACTGCAGTGCTCCTCTGTTCAATGGACATACCACATTAATTACTACCTCAGGGTCTTTGCATGGGCTAGTTCTCTGCCTGAAATGCTCTTTCACAGAGCTTTGCAGAACAGGTGTCTATTCTTCATTCAGATATCATCTCAAATGCCAGCTATCAAAGGGACCTTCTGGGAAATTACCACCCTCCTTAAAGTATCCCAGTCATTCTCTTTTCTTTCCACAGCAAAAATTCCCTCACTTTCTCTCTCTCTCTCTCTCTCTCTCTCTCTCTCTCTCTCTCTCTCTCTCTCTCTCTCTCTCTCTCCCTTTTACTTGTTTAACATCATCTCCTGCCTTTAGAAAGCAAACTCTGTGACAAGGAGGATCTTTTCTGCCTTGTTCACTGCTGCATGTATAGGTCGTGGCAAGAAGTACAGGGTAGTCAGTAAGTCTGGAGGTACAGGCAAATACATGAACCATGTCATATTAAATGTAATATAATATTGACTGTATTTCCAACTCTTATGTAGATACTGAGTAAATATTTGTGTAATGGATAAGTAAACTGGTTCAAGATTTAAAATATTCAAGTTTTAATTCTGGCTCTGCCACTTATTAATTTTCTGACTTTATTCAAACCATATCACATGAAACTCAATATATTAACCTGAAAAAGAAAAATAGGTGATGTAATGTAGTGTTTATTGAATCAAAAAACATAATACATCAGAGAGCACTTTTTAAACTAAAACGTGTAATACAGCTAAAATGTATTATAATAATATGGTACAGGAGTTGTAAGATGATTTTGTATTATTTTTATATAAAGTTTCGGGTATGATTTCTCAATTCCCATTTGAATTGAACATATGCTACCTTGGGGATAACAAGTGCAGCATAGAAAATATAATCAACATTATTATTATAACTATGTATAGTGCCAGGTAAATACTAGATTTATTGGGGGAAACACTTTGTTATATAAATGTCTAACTCCCATTCTGTACACTTGAAACTATTATAATGTTGAATGTCAACTGTAATTGAAATATAAAAAGTAGATTATTAAAATTAAAAAAAAAACATGTGCCAAGTCTCTCAGCAAAATTTTTTGATGACTTAAAAAGATAAGCCTCATACACTTATTGACTGATATTAGATTTGTTGTAGAAGCAGGTGTCAATCATTTTTCATAAAGATTAAAGTGAAGCTTATAATTGCTTCTCATTGCACCCATTATAAATCATTCGTTCTTGGGACTACTCCTATTCATAAGTTTCCATAACAAGAAAAAGCACTTACAACTCCAGTGTGCTTCTTACAGGACTCAAAAGGAAGAGAACTTTCACCAGTTCGCCAGCTGTCATCGCCAATCTCATCACTAAGGAGAAACTCATTTAACTTTTGAACACTGCAAAAAACAATCACAAAGGGTCAAAAATAAGACCAACAATAATGAAGCTCTACTTAAACAAACACTTCCTCTCACTATCCTGTTGAGCAAGCAACTTAAAGTCTTGTCTCAAGACCAACTAGAAATTCACTTTAGATAAACAAAGCATCCTATATTGCCCAGGAATGATGGATTCCCAGGACCTATGACTCTTAGTTCTAAAAATGAAAAAAATTTCACAAAAATTTCAGAATCAATCGGTCACCTTAAATTAGTCAAATTACTTTTGCACTGTTTTCTTTTTTGGTTGGTTGGTTTGGTTTGATTTTTGGTGGTTTTTGTTTTTTTGTGTGTTTTTTGTTTTGTTTTGTTTTTGTTTTTGTTTTTTTTTTGTTTTTTTTTTTTGTTTTTTTGCATTTGTATTCCTTGTCAAAGATAGTAGAGTTGGAAAGGAACTTGTAACAGGGTGATTAAAAATAATAATCCCAGTAAGGAAAGTATTCATTAGTCTAACTTTACAAATGAGGGGAAATAAAGTACGAGAAGTTAAGTAACCTGTGTAACAGAATTTAGTGTTAACACTTACATCTGGCATCCATGGCCACTCTGCTATCTGGCTTACATGTTACATATTACACATATATAAGGTATATGTATAAGGAGAGAGCCCTCTAGAGTGCTGGTATTCAATATGTTGGTCAAGGACCAGCAGCATCAACAACTCTTGAAAGCTTATTAGAGACAGAGAACATCAGGCCCCACTCCAGAACTGCTAATCAAAATATATGTTGTAATAAGGCCCCAAGATGCTTGATACCACACTGTAGTTTGAGAAACCCTCCTCTAGAAGAGTGGTTTGCAAACTTTCTTCACTATGGTCTGCTTAGGCTGGGCACAAAACTCATTGGTGCTCCCATCTCTCCTGCTCTGACTTTTCAGACCAATGTCACAGGATTAGAAGCAAAAAGGAAAAAAAAATCAAAGAAAACAATAACAAGATTTGAAAAATCCTTCTGTAAATAAAATCGTACACTTTAAAAATTATGTGAAGCTGCAAAAGAAATGTTTCTTTTAGCATTCTATAATGGGAAAAACTGGCTTGGCACATGCAGCACCAATGACAGGGAAAATATTGCCTTTAATAGGAAACTAGAAATTATATATTTGAAATAATGGTTTCTTTTAATTTTTTAAAAATTTGGGCTTGTAGTCAAGTTAATTGCCTCCAGATAGGACTAGCTAGTTTGATTTTCTGACAGACTAATAAAATGAAGAAAATTTAATTTAATTCAGTCTGTTGCTCATGACCTTTAAACCCTTTATGTTTACATGCCATTGAAACTATTTCCTCTCATTGAAAACATAAAGGTAGATAAAACTCATTGGGGCAATCTATTACCTTCCAAATTATATCTGCAGGGAATTAAAAGAGATAATTGCATAAGAAGAGCTCTAGCTGAATAATATTCCACTGTATGTAAATGTCACATTTTGTTTTATTCATCCATTCATGGTCACTTGGATAACTTCCACTTTTTGGCTATTGTGAATAGTGCTGTTATGTGTACAATATCTATTCAAGGCCCTACTTTCAATTCTTTTGGGTATATACCCAGAAGTGGAATTGCCACACTGTATGATAATCTTATGTTTAATTTTTTTGAGGAACCACCAAACTGTTTTCCACCATAGCTGCACCATGGTTCCAGAATTCTTGATTCACTTATACATAGTGATATGGCAATATGAATGAACCTTGAAGACACTATGCTAAGTAAAATAAGACACACACACACACACACACACACACACACACACACACACACACACACACGTGTATGATTCCATTTATATGAGATACTTAGAATAGTCAAGTTCATGAGACAGAAATCAATGGTGGTTACCAGGAACTTGGAGGAGAGGTAAATGGAAAGTTAATTATTGGTATAGAGTTTTGATTTGAGAAGGTACAAAATTTTTGGAGATAGATTGAGGTGATGGTGCACAACAGTATAAATGTACTTAAAGTCACCGAACAGTGCACTTAAAATGTTTAAATGGCAAATATACATATGTAACTTACTACAATTAAAAAAAAAAAGAATTTCAGATCCCAAAAAGAAAAATAGTTTTGGTTTCTGTACTCTTTTTGAGTCATTGCAGCAAAGCCTGGCCGTACAGACTTAAAAGTCAGCATTAGAAATGCCTTGTGTGATGGCATTTTATTCATTTTAATGGCAGCTGTTACTTTTTTAATTTTTTTTTTTCATTGAGGAATAATTGACCTATACTAGTTTCAGTTGTATAACATGATTATTTGATATTTGTATACATTTCAACATAACTATACAAGTCTAGTTACATCCATCCATATACATGCATACAAAATTTTTTTCTTGAGATGAGAACTTTTAAGAACTACCCTAAAAATAGGAATAAAAGACTTTTCCTCTTATAGATTTTGTCATTCTATTCTTATGTTTTGAAGAGACTGGATTTTAAGGAGCACACTTTCATCAATCAAAGGACTACCTCAATCTCATGCTCTGTCTTCTTACACACACAAAAAATACAGGACCAGCCAAGTTCATTTGCATTGGTAACTCTAAGTCTAGCAGCTCCTTGCATACACTACTCAATTGACTGTTGAATAAATCAAAGAAGGAGTAGATCAATAGTTCAAACATTTAAGTAAAACTGGTTGATTCCATTCTCCATTTTGTATGTCCAGTACACATACAAATCTTACTGAAGCTTTTATGGAATTAATGAGCCTCATTCTTGCTGAACATCAAGACACATGGTCTCTGAGCATAACTGGGGCAGGGGAGAACAAATGTAAATATACATTTACATATGTATATTTGCCATTTAAACCATTTTAAGTGCACTGTTCGGTGACTTTAAGTACATTTATACTGTTGTGCACCATCACCTCAATCTATAACACCCAACTTTGCAACTCCAGTCACAAAGGACAATTGTCTATCTCTCCAATGCCAAAGGTATAACATAGTAATTCCTCAAGAAATGTCTGGTGAATGAATAAACGGGTAATACAACAAGCATTTCCTGTTCATATGAGGTCCCTTCAGAAATCAGAGGCAAAACAATGATGAAAATATGCATGAATCCTGACCAAGGGTGAAGTAATTTCCACCATGCTGCCAGGATTATATTTTAAAAATCCAAATCTGTTCAGACAACAATTCCCTCTTTAGAACAGTGATTCTCAACCTTCTTAAAGCTGAGGGCCTTTAATACAGTTCCTCATGTTGTGGTGACCCCCAACCATAAAATTATTTTTGTTGCTACTTCATAACTGTAATTTTGCTACTGTTGATGAATCATAATGTAAATATCTGTGTTTTCCAATGGTCTTAAGCAACCCTGCTAGCGGTTCTCAACCTGTGGGTTGTGACATTAGAACCATGACCTGTAGAGCCTAAGACCATTGGAAAACCCAGGTATTTACATTATGGTTCATTAACAGTAGTAAAATCACAGGTATGAAGTAGCAACAAAAATAATTTTATGGTTGGGGGTCACCACAACATGAGGAACTGTATTAAAGGGTCTCAGCATTAGGAAGGTTGATAACCACTGTCTTAGAATAACAAATGACACTCCTAGCTTTTCAGCATCCTTAGAGTCATCTACAAGCTAATCAGGATTTTACTCTCCAGCTCCATCCCCTGACTCCATATCAGATCTTTTCTCCAACTACACTCAACTACTTTCAACCCCTGAATGTACTGAGATCTCACTTACTTATTCATCCTTTCCCCTGGCATACATGTGTCTCTCATATAAAACATGTTTTCCCCTTTTCTTCAAATAACAGAGTCCTACTAATATTTTAAAATATTGTGAGTATCCAACCTCTCCTTTAAACCTTTACTGGACAGACTGGCTGCCTCCTCTCTTGATGAGCTTCAATGATCCCTAGATATAGGCCAATTGGAATTCTGTGTAGAGCCCTATAGTAGCATACAGCATTGTATTGTCATTGGGTTCCTCTCCTGTTCTCTCCAACTAGACTGTGGACTCCCTATGGATTTGTCACTACTGTTCCTCTTTGCAAATCCCAATGCCTAGCAATGTCCTTAAAGTGTTAACAAGTGCATGTAGACCTACAGAGATATCTCTCTGCAGCATGGAATGAAGATTAGTAAAATGGTGGTAAATTAGTAAAATAGAGATTTTTTAAATGCCTAAAATATTTAGGCAATGCACTGGGTAGTTTGTATGCATTATTTCATTTTCTCAACTGCTGTAAACAGGACCTATTGGTGTGCCCATTTGATAACTGAGGAGGCTGAGTTATAGAGATACTAACTAATGTATTGAGGTTAAACAACGAGTACTCCATGGCAGTGCTGGGATTTAAAAGTAGATATACTTGAAGCTAACCAATTTGCTATCCTCCCTCCATTTATAGGCCAGTATTTTATTAGCTTCCCATAATTTAGATAATTTATAAACATAATTAAGATTTTTTAAAAATATATTTTATTGATTTTTTTTTACAGAGAGGAAGAGAGAGGGATAGAGAGTTAGAAATATCAATGAGAGAATCATCGATCAGCTGCCTCCTACACACCTCCTACCGGGGATGTGCACCCAAGCAAGGTACATGCCCTTGACCGGAATCGAATCTGGGACCCTTCAGTCCGCAGGTCGATGCTCTATCCACTGAGCCAAACCGGTTTCGGCCATAATTAAGATTTTAATTATACTGTTATTTTCTCACTTTTCAAGTTTTACTTTGAGTAGTTAGATACAACATGAGTATTTTTACAGGTATCACATTAATTGGGAATAATTTTTTTTTTGTTCCTGGCAGATACATATTTTTCTTGAAGGAACTATGACATTTTTGTAAACAGAGACCAGGTCAAAGTGTACACTTGCTCTATGATAAATATCAGTAACAATTTACTTGATTGAAGATAATTGCAATAGATGAGCCAAGCATACATTCCTTTGGGAGGTACAGGAGAGAAAGGACACGAAGTTATTTTCCAACAAAGCAGAGGATTCGTTTTGTACATTTTTCCTTTGGCAAAAACATCTTTGGATACAGATGTTGCATTATACATCAAATAACAGAAACCTAAATTCAAATTATTTATGTAGGGTATAACATTTCAACTTACATTTTCCTCCAGAAAAATTACTTCCTTATAAATAAACCAAACTGAGGCGCGCATCCTGAAAAATCACTCTTATTCAAGTATTTTATTTTAGATAATGGTGACTGTTCTTAATTTTCTTCATATCTCACTCTGTTTTTGCAAACTTAGACTGGAACACACCATTCTAAAATGTCCAGAAAACTCAAATGGTGAGGAGAAATCCTAAAACATAACTTCCTCTTTTTTCAATTTTATTATATGTGTCCATTGGGGTTCCATCCAATGAACAATTTGAAGAAATTTTGTCTGAAAGCTAAACATTTTTAAAAGAAAGCATAGAACTTTCCCGTAGCAAAGAAATTTACCTGGCATAAATCTGCAGTAGAGACTTGGTAAGCCTCTTACATGTACATATAACACAAATTGGAAATAAGCTGCACCCCATTCTAACCCAAAGCATGTCTAAATGCATCTAAAAATGCAGCGAATAACTTATGATTTTCACAGTCCTAAAGGAGAGGTTTCAAAAGTCAGCTGACCAAAGTCTCCGATTATAAACAGTCTGTTCAACTCGCTGTGGGCCAACTGGCATCCAAGATGGGTCACGGGTTCCCAGGCACAGAAGATATGCTGAGCCTAGTCAACAATGGGAAAACACTGGGTTGGGTTCCCAGAACCAGCACACGATGGGGAAAAGCACTGGCCTCCTCTGTGGACCGCTCATCTCTGTAGGACCCACAAGTCAACCAGGGAAACTCATCCTAGAGAAGCAAGTTTTGTAAGCTGATTCTGTTTGGCCTATGGCTTGGGAAAGCTGGAGCTGAGCCCTGAAAACAAACTGGTCTTTATCAAACTGGCAAATGCCTTTTCCCTGGGACATGAGGACGAGAGAGTGCTACGCAGAAACACACAGGGACTAATATCCACCCTCAAAATTACCAGGATTTACGACAGCAGGATCAGGTAGCATGAACTCTAGGACACCCCCAGATTTTCGTTTGCTTGTTTGTTATCCATATTAACTCTTAACATCCTTTTGTGGTAGCCTCCTGATTTCTGAGGAGTTACCTGGTACCGATTATCAACTGTTTTCTAACTTCACCTGCAGCAGCACAAAGTCAAATTTCAACTTAAAATGCAACCAGGAGAGGGACAGCTGTTAAGTGGAGAAAATGAAAATAAGGACCAAAATAGCTGACTCTGGCCATTTATCAACTTTATTGTTTGAACTAGCTTCCCTTCCAGAGCACGACCTAATTTGGAAGTGGCGCTACAAAAATCAGTCAGTGATCTGTACAAGTGTTTCAGAAGGCAGAACAATCAGGAAAGAAAATGAGGGCAGATGAGGCCTGAGAGCCTGAACTTTACACCCAGCTCCAGACTTGGTTACTAATGACTTATCTTACAGAACAGAATTGAAATCATGTTAGGATACTATTCAACCAATCAGAACTGGTTTTAGAATAAGTTATTTTATAGTTATTTGGTATTAATGTTGTTAAGCCAAATGTTGTTCTGCATTGCTATCAATGGCAACACCATCCCTTGTCTATTTAAGACCTCAATTTTCCAATATTCTTTAGTTTTGCAACATCTTGGCATTTCTTTCAAATGCCTGATATAAATATGATGACTTTTTATAAAACATGCTGATGTTTTATAAAATTTATAAGAAGTCATAGCAAAAAGTAAAATATGACTTGAAGACTGCCTTGTGTACAATAAGAATTCATATATGGTAGACTATGGCACATACAGTGTCATATAACATATATAGTTTGGTAACATATTTATTATATAATACAAGTAAAAATGGTGGGGAAATAATCAATGTCATATCATATCTATTTTTATAGTTTTGCATTGTGAGAAATGGTGCATCTGAGGCAAAGTCTACACTGGTTAGAAATACTATGAAAGCATATTTAAAATGAACATAATACTGAGTGGTTTTATCAAGCCTTTCCATTTGTAGAGACTGTGAGCCTGGATTTTGTTTGTTTGTTTGTTTGTGTTTTTGAGATTATGATGTGATATGTTAATGTTGGTGAAAACATAAGCTGATTCAGCTTCACTGGAAAACATGATACTCATAAAAAATATTAAAAATATGTACACCTTTGACCTACTACTCTTTCAATGGAAAATATCATAGCTACATTCATCAAGGCCCTTAAAAGTGTACATGTTATTAGAACTAGTATTCCAAATTATAGAAACCTAACTTAAGAAAATAATCAGACAAAAGTTTAAAGGTAAGTAAAGATATTTTCTTCAATCTTATATATGTTATTTATATTAGGGAGAGAATGAAATATTCTAAATGCCCAATAAATTGTAACACTTCCAAACAATGGAATAACACATAATCAATAAACATCATGTGTTATAATCTAAATGAGGGAGAAAATAATAAAAACAGTAAGCAAAACAGGAGTCAAAAGCTACACTTTTTAAAGAGCGGTGAGAGTGGACATCCTTGCCTTATTCCTGATCTTAGAGAAAAAGCTTTCAGTGTTTCACCGTTGGGTATGATGTTAGTTAAGGGTTTATTATCATAGAAGGCCTTTAATATGTTGAGGACCTGTCCTTTTATTCCTATTTTATTGAATGGTTTAATCATACATGGATGTTGTACCTTATCAAATGTTTTTTTCTGTATCTATTGATAAGATCATATGATTTTTATCTTTTCTTTTGTTAATGTGGCATAGTACATTGATTGATTTGCATATGTTGAACCATCCTTGTGCCCCTGGAATGAATCCCCTTGATTATGATGTATTATTTTTTGGATGGACCATTTTATTTAACTTGCTAGTATTTTGTTTAGAATTTTTGCATCTGTATTCATCAGAGATATTGGTCTGTAGCTTTCTTTCTCTGTGTTATCTTTGCCAGGTTTTGGTATCAGGGTTATATTGGCCTCATAGAATGTGTTAGGAAACAATGCCTCTCCATCAATGTTTTGAAAGAGTGTGAGAAGGATAAGTGTTAAATCTTCTTGGAATGTTTGGTAGAATTCACTGGTGAAACCTTCTGGTCCTGAACTTTTTGTTTTTTGGGAGATTTGAAAAGTTTGTTTCCATTTTCTCACTGCTGATTGGTCTGTTTAGATTTCCCATTTCTTCATTATTTTGTCTAGGAAGGTTATATTTCTAGGAACTTACCCATTTCTTCTAGGTTATTGAATTTGGTGGCATAAAATCTTTCATATTATTCAAGTATGATCCTTTGTATATCTGTGATGTCTGTGGTGACTTCTCATTTCTGATTTTTTTTTTTTTTTACAAAATCAGGGGTATTCAACCATATGAAAGGATGAAATAGTGCCATTTGCAACACCATAGATGGACCATGAGAACGTTATGTTAAGTGTAATAAGTCAGTCAGAAAAAAACTAAAAGCTGTATGATTTCCCTCATACTGGTATGTGGGATATAAAACTGAAACTTGTGAACACAAACAGCAGTGTGGTGGTTGCCACACTGATTGTGGGAGAAAGGAGTCTTAATATAAGGTGACAGATTTGACTTTGGGTGGTGAGCACACAGCGCAATGTACAGATTTTCTAACATAGAAACCCATACCTGAAACTTATATGTTCATGTTGACCAATGTCACCCCAATCATCAATTTAATAAATAAATATTTTAAAAATAAAAAATAAAGATTTTTTTACATTGATTTTTAGACAGAGAGGAAAGGAGATGGAGAGAGAGAGAGAAAGAGAAACATCAAAGTGAGAGTGAAATACCAATTGGCTGCCTCCTGCATTGCTCCCTACGGGGGATCAAGCCCGACATGTGCCCTAACAGGTAATCAAACCAGCAACCCTTTGGTGCACAGGACGATTGCCCAACCACCTGAGCCACACTGGCAAAGGCTGGAATAATTATTTTTATATTAAGTACTGGAAGGTAGCATATCAAAATGTTGACAATAGCTATATTTGGACAGTGATTTTACTGTTGTATTTATCTTGAGATAAATTTATTACCATGAGCATATATTTTTTTGTAAGCAAGCAAAGAATTCCCAACATTGCAATGCATACCTTATGATGGCTTTCACTGCAAATCTGACCACTGTGGAGAGCAGGAACAATGGAGTGACCAGGATATGAAAGAGAGACAGTGAGGCAAAGGCCTCTGCAGGTTTTAGAAGGGTCTTGCTGGTAGACGCATGGGTCACAAACGTCTGTGCAAAGAAGGGATTTCTTTAGAGAAAGCTGGAGAAGGTTTCACAAATGTTTGCATTTCACAAACCTAACCTTTTCTGCTATGCCAATATGTCCATTGCAACTATGAAAACAATCACTTCATCCAAATTACTCTCTATGAAAAATAATAGTTGTTACTGGTAGAATACTAATGGCTTTCATTCATTCTAACAGCAACCATGTGAGAAGGGTAAAACAGATTCTGTTTACGGATTAGAAAACTGACTTCTGTTAAATTACTGAGTTGGGAGAAGAACAGTGAGGAGAAACCGGGGCCCTTAACAACCATCCAGGAACTTTGCAACCAACACTAAATGTTCTAAGAGAAAAAGAGAATATCCCAAGGTTTTCAGGTCCTTATTATGGACTTTTACTAAAACTGCCAACATTGGTGTTCAATGCAGACACATTGACATTTCTAAATATTATACTAGCTCCTGGGCTTGTAATTTAAGTTTGAAATATAATGTAATTATTTGACATTTTCTGGTTGTTGAATTAACACCATCCTGTTGTAAGCATGCCCAGAAACCAGCTCATGGAGAGCAGAACAGTTAGTTCTCAACTACTGATAAAATTGCTCCCAGAGCACATTTGGTCAATGTCCCGGGATACTTTTAATTGTCATGACTAGGGTGTGCAGGATTCTAATGGCAAATAGATAGAAGCCATGAATGCTGCTAAACATCCTTAAATGGGCCCTTCCAACAAAGAATCATGTGAGCCAAAATGTCTATGGTGCCCCAGTTGAGAAACCTTGGATTAGAACTATTGCAATGGAGACTACAAAGAAAACAGCTGGTACAGGTGAGGTAATATTAACTCCCATCCACACATTCTTATTCATAAATCATTTCTAAACACTGACTTTGCTCCATGTTTACAAGGAAGGAAAAGTGTCTTACAGCAAGAACAGCTGCTATAGGAATCGCTGCATTCATGAAGACTGTGGAAAGAAAGAAAATACATAGGATTCATTGAACTGTGAAACATTTCAGTAAGCTTAATGAATCATCTATTATTACTTTAACTTCCCTTGAAGACAAAAAGGAAGAAGTTCATTAAATAACATCTTGTCTCGAGTCCACCAAAACTTCCCAATTATCTTGTGATAATATTTATAAACAATATTTTGTTTGGTCTCCAAAACTAACACAAATATGTGAAAATTGGGTTATTATGCAGGTTAAAAACAAGAATTTGACATCACTCCAAGTCCTCCAACAGTAATATTAATTTTCACTCATAAACCTTTTGCTTAAATTAACTTCATATCCTAGACCAGTGGTTGGCAAACTCATTAGTCAACAGAGCCAAATATCAACAGTACAACGATTGAAATTTCTTTTGAGAGCCAAATTTTTTTAAACTTAAACTTCATCTAACGCCACTTCTTCAAAATAGACTTGCCCAGGCTGTGGTATTTTGTGGGAGAGCCATACTCAAGGGGCCAAAGAGCTGCATGTGGCTCACGAGCCACAGTTTGCTGACCATGGTCTAGATTCTCTGCTTGTTTAAATATCTCTTCAAAAATATAATGTACTATCATTTGATAAGCATGATATACATAACTAAAATGAGGGAAATTCATATTTTAGGTTTAAATAGTAGCATTTGGAAGTAGGAATAGAAATAAAAAGCCAACTTAATGATTATACTTATATTTTCTATAAATTATAGCATTTTAAGGATTGAGGACTGAAAGATTTAATCAATTGTTGTTAGAAACAGGTAATGGCAGAGCACAAATTAGAACCTAGTATTCTTGGCAATCAAGAGAGCATCCACCTAAAAATTATCATCGGCTCTCATGAGCCAATCTCATGAACTACCCTTACCACTGTACACAGAATCAGCTTATGCTTTTGCAAATCCACACACGACTTAGGTCAAGCTCTTAACCACCAAGAAGATAGTACTTAACCAAATCATAAAACTTGAAAATGGTCTAAGTGGAACTTTCCACCATTGACTCATGAATTTCTACTGCCTGTCATGAATGCATCATCATACATTTTTACCTTCATAACTTCTTATTTTTCTCTTCTATTATGATCTCTTCTGTCCCCTTTCTTTTTATATTTTACTTTGAAAAACCAACCCAAATCTCATGTCTGGATACAAATTGTTAACCCACCTCTGCTTTTTAGTAGCTGGATGATTTTGAGAAAGTTCAAGTTACCTAAGCTCTATTCAACTCAATCTTTAAGCTTCTAAAGTGGAGTTAATAATAGAATCTAAATCTTTGGCTATGACAATTAAATGAGATGATATATGCAAAGCCACTTATGGAGATAATTGATTGAGTGAATATATTTTTGTTGTTATTATTACTAGTAGTGGTGGTGGTGGTGGTGGTGGTGGTAATAGTTTCACCATCATCCTGATTATTATTTCTGGCTGCATCCATGGTCCTATGAGAATTTCAGACCACTACAGAGAGGAACGTATTTGTGGGGGCTACCAGCTTAGAGTACTATTATATATATAAGTGGATAATCAATCATTCCACCTACTGGAATTTTGATACTGTATTAGTAGCAACACAAGCTGGGATGACAAATCTCATTCCCATTTCTAAAGCATTCGGGCTAGAATAAATGAGCCATATATCGATACACCAAATATTTCCTCTAAACATTTCACAAAAGAAGTATTTATAATCTCTAAAAATAGTTTAGAATTCAAGAGAAAACCATATATAAAACTCCCAGACTTTAAGATGTTAAAGTTCTTGGGAACAATAGAGATGAGCAAAACTAACACACAAACCAAATCAAATATTAGTGGGAGTATTTTGGCTAAGTTCATAAGAATTATACTAACAAACTCATTATTCTTGTGAGTACTCAGTGTCACTCCACAAAAACAATATTTTGTAACAATTATTTTTTTAAAAGTAGTGGAGAATGAAAGTATTCTGTATTTAAAAGTTCCTGAAAATGTATTTAAAAACTATTGACATAGTTTGACTTCTTTCACTTGAAAATGTTGACTTTTTTCTTCCTCAATTTTTAAAAATGGAATTTCAAATATAATCTTTAAGAAAATATAGTATTGTAATCTCCAAAGAGACCAGCAAGACAACCATAATTTTTAAAGATCTTTGGTAATAAGAAAATCAATAGTAAATACAGTCAAATGAATTCATATACACAAATTTTTACTGAAAATCCAATCCATCCCAATGTAACTGATGAGAGGGTTTCAGTGATTTATACTACTACCATCACTATCCTCATTTTACAGATGAGGGATTTCAGGTGGAAAGTAACAAGGTAAAGGCCCATAACTTGTAAAGAATCGAATTCAGGTCTAGTTGACTATAAGCCTGTGTTACCTCTACTCTTTAATTTAAATTGCCTTATATGGTCAGTAACTATTGGACAGTACATATGTAGAAAATAAATGGGCTTCCTCTGATGACTAGAATGTCTCAATGATCACAACCTAAATAAAATCGACCATGTGTACAACAACAACTTACTAGAGAGTGATGTATAAAGGGCGAAGGTTTTGAGACTGGATAGTTCTTTCATTCTTGTTTCTTCTACACTTTTGCAAAAGATGTGCTCCCAGGCATACAATTTAAGAAGTTTGATGCCTTTCAATATTTCATTTGTTTTCTTCAGTCTCTCAGTGGAATAATCCTATAAAAAAAAACAAAAAACAAAACAAAAATGTAAGCTATACTCAAGTGAATCAGAGAAGCCAACCATGCATTGGGCAGAGATTACAGAGAGCTTGATTGCTGCTTGGCTCTCCCACTAGTTATGGCTGTGAAATACCTTGGAGAAGTAAACTCTCTGTGCTTCAGACTCCAACTTTAAAGTGAGGAATTGAATGAGATGACCTCAAATTTCTATCCACCTAAAAGCTTTTATATACCTGTTGGTTTGGTTTAAATAAAAGCAGCTTCTTAAATTTGACACCATTTTCTTATCTGTCTACTGATAATCTTATCTAATAAAAGAGTAATATGCAAATTAACCATCACTCTGCTATACCCACAAGCGATGCCCACCAAGATACCCATCAGGAGTGAGTATGTAAATTAACCCAACCAAGATGGTTGCAGCCCCAGAGAGAGCAGGAAGCTTGGGTTTCCTAGCAATGGAGGAAGCCAAGTTGTCAGCATACCCTGGCCAGCCTAAGCCTCCACTCAAGACTACAAAGTTTCAATTATAGAAGATACATAAATCCCAACAAAATTGGCTGCAGCCTCGGAGCAAGCAGGAAGCTTGGCTCTGGTCAGGGCTACAAAGTTTCAATTATAAAAGGTAAATAAATCCAAGATCCCAGGGCCTCGGCTTGGGTCACCAGGAGTATGGTCAGCCTGCAAACCACCACAGACCCCTCACTCAGGCTGCTCCACACCCCAAGGGAGCTCCCACCCTGATCCAGGACACCCTTCAGGGCAAACCAGCTGGCCCCACCCATGCACCAGGCCTCTTTCCTATCGAATCCTATCTAATAAAAGTGTAATTGCAAATTGATCATCACTCTAACACTCAAGATGGCTGCCCCCATGTGGCCACAAAATGGCCAGCAGGGGAGGGCAGTTGGGAGGGACCAGGCCTGCAAGGGAGGGCAGTTGGGGGCAATCAAGCCTGCAGGGAAAGGCAGTTAGGGGTCCCAGATTGGAAAGGGTGCAGACTGGTCTGAGGGACACATACCCCCATGCATAAATTTCGAGCACCAGGCCTCTAGTGTATACATAAATTTATGAAAGTGATAAAGAGACTTCCAATGGCTTCATTTTAATATCTAAGTCACTTTATTCTACTCTCAGCATCCTGTCTCATACTTAAGAGAAATAATAAATGTAAGAAAAGTTAATTTGCTTTTCAATTGAGAATGTGAGGGTACAGTGTTGTGTGTGTTCATATTGTATCTTTATAATATAACTAGAGGCCTGATGCATGAAGATTTGTGCAAGAATGGGCCTTCCTTCCCCTGGCTGCTGGCACCACTTTCGCTCCAGCCCAAAGCCACCTTTCTGCCTTTCCACACTGCCCAGAGGCTCAGAACAGCTGGGGCAGTGCCGAATGCCTGCGTCCCACCCCGCCCCAGCCACTCAGTGCCTGTGTATGCAAATTAACCTGCCATCTTTGTTGGGTTAATTTGTATACTCACTCCTGATTGTCATGAAGGTACAGTCAATTTGCATCTTACTCTTTTATAGTGTAGATTACTGAAACCAAGAATATTATTTTAACTTCAAGAGATTTCTACACATTTCTTCATAAACTCCTGTTTATGGCCTAAATTAGGCTTTCTGATTACTAACAAATTGGACTAACTATAGAGAAATTTGCAGCAGACACAAAAACCTCAATTTTGTCAACTGTTTCAGCTTCCTCTACCATCAAATATTGGCTTGCAATGATTAGTAAGGCACAATGATCTGTGAACTACCAAAGGGTTGTAGAGTGGCAATAGGTAGCTGGAAGGAAGCAAAAGTAGCAAATAGCCTGTTTTTTATTCATCTTTTTGTCCCTTAGGGGTCTTCAATGCCTATCAAATGACTGTTAATGAGTGAATGAATAGAGTATGAAAGGCTAAGTGAAAGATGTTTGAGAATAGTCATGTCTCTTCCTTATGCCCTCTTCCACATCTTTCTGTATTCATGTCCTAAAGTAAAGAGGGTGTACTGCTCAGACAAAAATAATGAGTAACCTCATCAGAAGCAGCAGAAAAACAAGTGATAAAAAATCACTTGTGTGACATGTAACGTACTAGTCACAGTAGAAACACAACTTGGAAAACAATTCCATCAGTGGCCTCATCCCTACATTTTATGCCTGGTTCACAGATAGACAGTCTTGCTTATATTTAACCAAACTTTATTTCTAAACATACTGTCAACAATTTTATTATTTGTAAATATTTCTTTAAAAGTAGCCAATCCTTACTGAAATAAAATTATTTCATGGCAAATTGAAGCCAGAAAGAGCCAATACTTTGGCTTTCTCTTGCTTGCTAAGTTGACCATGAACATATTTAGCCAGGGCAGCTGCCACTGAAACATTTCAGTGTAACTCTATAAAGCATCACATGGTTTAATTCAACCCTATGGAAATTGAATTTCAGAAGCACTAGACCAACCCTTTACTTGTTTCTTGCTCCATTTCTCCCACATCAATGATTGACCTCCAATGGCCTCAAAGTACACTTAAGTGTGTAGGCAACTTAATCTAGAAGAAGATATAAAGCCTCATCACCTCATGGCACTTAAAAACATTAGAAACTGTGATTCTGGTATTTTAAGTCTAAAATCATCAGGTCTTAAATTTCAATCCACTTTTGTAAAAATTATTTTGTAATACAGAAGATACGTATTCACTGCCTAAGAATTGAAATGAAATATAATGATTTCCAAATAATCCTGAGTAGTACGTATTCATTTCTTGTATTTTAAAAATAACACAGTGTTAGATTTTCCTAATGAAGTTTCCAAAAGAGTTTACTTACAAGAGTGCTCTTTTGAGCTTCTGCCAACTTTGTAGCAATGAAGTACTGAATTGGCGCAAGGAGCACAATGACGGCTGCACCAACCAATGCGCTTGATCCAAGTAAATTATAGAGCAGAATCACTCCCATTATGATCTAGGAAAGAAACACAATGAAAAGGGGAAATGAATGGGGGCGTGGGGGCCACTGCATGAAAGGAAATCTTTTTAAGTGAAAATATAATATTTCTTAATTATTATATTTAGTTTATCTGGAAGTCAACTCAACTGTGACAATGAGTTTCACTATGATTTATTTGGGGAAAGCTAAGTAGCAGGGATTTATTTTTAGCATGGTGATCTGTACAACCGGTGTCAAACCAATTTATTGCATGCAGTTGCATAGCGGTCCCATGATGCTTCTGGCCTTCTAAAGCACTCTTCAATCTTTTAAAAGAACATTGAAACTTTTCTCAAAAGTGTTGTCATTCACCATAAATTTGCTATTCCAAAGTCTCTAGGGAATGCACTAGCTTTCCAAGGTGGGGAGGGAGGAAAGTAAGGGGGGTAGCATCATAAAATGTGAACACATTTAATGAAAAGAAGCTTAGGCCTAACTAAAACTGAAGATGCTGAAGTTGGTGCCCCATCTTACCTCACAGTCCTTTTATTTCCCAAAACCCACTTAGACTACTCTCTCTGGTGTGTCACTTTCCTCTTCTTCCTTATTTTTTCCTGAAAATATTTTCTTCCCAGTAGTTCAGTTTATTACAGTTCAAAATGTCCCAACTAATGGACTGTATCCACGCAGCTAAAGCATTTAACCCATCCTGTATGCCAATGATAACAACTTGTTGTGGCCTTCTAGAAGCAATGGAACTTGCTCACTTCCTGACCAATTAGGCACTTTGGGAATTCCAATCAAAACAAAAATGTCCCTAAGGTCATCCACGATGCAGTCATTCAGCAGCAGCCTGGAACTTTTGGCACACTGAATGATACCACGTAGGCAGTTGACCTGTGTATAAATACATCTTGAGGAGATGAGACAAAGCATGTTTTAAATCTTTGTGCCAAGCACTGTGCATGCATGTTGTACACTTTTATTTTATTTGGATTCCTATTAGAAAATAAAAAAGCAAACAAAAAATATAAAAACTACCCTATCTTTATTATTTTATGCACTTTAATAAAATGGGGTACACAGGGACATGGATGACAGACTGCATTGAGTAAGATCTATTGTTTAAGCTCTGTCTACAGGATACAAACTTGAGGTAATTAAAAATATTCAGTATCACAGAGAGGAAAAAACTGAATACATTTCTTTTGCCATTTTTACCCCCAAAACACCCCTGTATCTTTACTAAAATGTTGTTTTCCATCGGAAATAGCTAAATAGCCCTATGCTGGTTGGTATCCTGACTACCTTTTAAATTCTGACATTTTATTACATACACCAGCTATTGAGACTACACTATGGATTAAAGTAATTGCTCGAGTTTAGAAATGCTATGAGAGTTTGTCAAAATGAAAGGGGTCAAACCCTGGCTCTGTAATTTGCATAAACGTGTGCAGTGAGGACTGTTACTGAGGGCCTGTGAAATGTTAGGCACAGTGCTAAATGCTTGACACATTTTAACTTAGTCTTGACAATTCCAACAACTGAACGAGGCAGATGCTATTATCATTCACATTTTACAGTTAAGAAAACTAGTATTTTGAGGTGTTAAACACTTATACAAGAATGGGGCTTTTGCAGATATTTGGACTCAAGCAATATAATTCCAAACCCTTTTTCTTAACCTATGGCATAGCATTTATGAGTCTCAGCTTCCTTCCTAGAAGAAAGGTATAACATTGGCACATTAAAAAAGGTATAGCATTAGCACATTTACCCTCTACTGAGGTAAGTATCTTACACTCATTTTGATTTACTTCTTCTGCAAATGAGAATCTTACTTATATTGATCTACCTGAACAGGCATAGCCCATAGATTGGGACACAGGAACAAGAACCACATGAGTTGATTGGTTTCAATGGCGACCAAGTTATTGATCTGTCCCAGGGTCATCTCACCCATGGATAAATTAGACGTAGAGAGCCTAAGGATCTTATTGTATATCATGGCCTGAAAAAAAAAAAAAAAAGGAAAAAGAGGAAATGTACTTGAACTCTACATTTAACAATCAACACTATGCTTTTTTTTTTCTCATTTAAAAATAACATTTACAAAAGTTTTAAGGGAAAAGAAAACCCTATAATGCGATCTTAAATCAACTTTTATTTTCATTTTATCATAGTTACTTTTAGTCCTCAACTAAAGACAAATTTATTTTTTCTAGTGATATAATCAAAAGATATATTCGAATTTAAACATAGGAGCTAAAACAGAAACATAGATAAGAAAATTCAAAATCTCAAAATATCTTTCTTAATATCTTATACAGGTTATTTTTAACTCAATGGGTTTATTAATTAACTCTCTGTTTCTTTTATTAAGTAGGTCCTAGAAGTGTTGATATTACATCAAAGTGAAGATGACATGCAAAAACGAAACTGAAACCACTACCCTTCCTGCCACTGGATGATGTGGTATTTTAAAGACCCAAAGATCATTCGAAGCTTGTACTTACCAGCAGAGCTCCACGGAGGTTAATGCCAGTCTCTATGGTTACATAGTAGGAAGCCTGCAAAAATGTCCTTTGCAGGATAAGGGCCAAGAAAAGAAGGACTGCTAGAACATAAGCATTTTCAAGAAATTCCCTTGATGAGAGGGTTTCTGTATACTTGTCCTAAAAGAATAAAAGACATAAGTTAAAACTAGTCTTTTCATATACCAGTTCCACAGTTTTTGTTTATTAAATGATTTTTTTAATTCTAAAAATTCAAAATCCTTGTAATACATCAGTGAAATGAGCCACAAAAAGCAATGTGGAGTTGTCTTCATTATGTCCACAAAAAACAAATACAAATCAGCTCATTGCATAAGATCCCAAATAGATCACTACAATAGCTGGAAATGCCTGATTGTAGAAAAAAAAGGTACTTAAAAAAAAAAAAAACGAAGACATTTTCTGAAAAGATATATTCTACCTTGGTAAAGTGGGAAGTAACGAATGAAGATAGATGTTAATTGAGACTATAACTTAGAAGTAAAAACACAAAACTGATGGTCAGCAACACCAATGGAACAAAAATACAATTTCATGCATTCTTATTTCAAAATAATTCTACAGAATTGACTTTTTCTGATTTTCATATGCCTTAATTTATATTAATGAAATAAATCATAAAATATAAAATACATAGCTTGGCTACTGATGTCACCCATATGACACTTTCAGTGTCAAAACACAACTGTTGAAAATAATGATTTTAGTAGGAATATAACTTAATAATCATACAAAACTGATTGTTTTGGTTTGTAACAATAGCATGTGGAAATTTATATGTTAGAAGTGAGGGAAGGGTGTCCTGGCAGGTGTGGCTTAGTTTGTTGGAGCATTGTCCTGTACACTGAAAGGTCACAGGTTCTATTCCTAGTCAGGGCGCATACCCACGTTTGCGGGTTCAATCCACAGTTGAGGTGCGGATGGGAGGCAACCTATCTATGGGATGTGTTTTTTCTCTCTCTATCTCTTCCTCTCTCTCAAATCAATAAAAACAATTGCTCAGATAAGGATTATAAAAGAAAAAAGAAGAGGTGAGGGAAAGGTAATATTCAAATAAGTACATCATTTCAGTGTGAGCACTCCTCATTTTTTATGGTTTAAGTCCACTAAAATTCTACTTTTGGGCCCTTCCTCTTTTTATGGGGCTATATAAAATTGGTAAGTTCTGTTCCTTTTCAGAAAAACATGTGGCTAATATATGCAAGGCAGAGGGATGATAGAAGGGTTCTATGTGAAATTCTATGTATGTAATTAGGCTAGCAGGGACAAAACATCACAGAAGTGCAAATATCTACTTCAATAATAACTGAGGATTAATATATGCAAGGAACTGGACTAAGCATTTTGAACACAAGTTCGAACTGTTCACAGTCATTCTGTTTGAAAAGCTGACCTGCCCTAGCCAGTTTGGCTCAGTGGATAGAGCATCTGCTCATGGAGTAAAGGGTCAATAGTTCAATTCTGGTCAAGGGAACATACCTTGGTTGCAGGCTTGATCCCCACCCAGTCTGGGCATATGCCGGAAGCAACCAATCAATATGTCTCTCTCACGCAGATGGTTCTTTGTCTCTCCCCCTCCCTTCCACTTCTCTAAAACTCAATGGAAAAACATCCCTGGTTGAGGATTAACAAAAGAAAGTAACAGCTTAAAGTCTAGAAAGATAAGGTTATCCATAAATGATATGCTTCATTATAAATAGCACCTATGTCAAGTGCCAGTGTGAAGTAAACAATGTGTTAGGGGATTAACAAGCAGAGTCGAATTCCAGCTAAGATAATCAGAAAAGGCTTCACTGAGAAGGCAGCACTTATCACAGGATTTGAAAATGCATAAAATCTTTAAATGTAAAGAAAAAATGACAGGAAATTAGACTGAGAGACTTGTAAAAGGTAAATTGATGCTTCTGGACTAGTATTCCCATCTATGTAACTAAGGAAATTAACTCTGACCTTAGAAAGAAACTAGGAAATTCATGATGCAGAGTTAAGAATAGAAAATATAAGATTATAAATTTATAACAGCAAATATCTAATACTATATAGTCCCCAAAATAATAATATAATATCTCATAAAATATCATAATGTGATGTGCCTGTATTGTTGTGGCTTTAACATGTTAGAAAAAGAAAATGTACATACTAAAAATCACATTAATGTTATTGGTCACAGGCCTCTAGAAAAGTGACTCAGCCACCACCTTCCATGCACACATGCATGAAAATTCTTTAAAGGATTGTTATAAAGATCAATTAAAATAACTAATGTGAAATTAGTTTCTGGCACACAGTAAATGCTTATTAAAATTTTATAACTCTGCCAAAACCGGTTTGGCTCAGTGGATAGAATGCTGCCTGAGGACTGAAAGGTCCCAGGTTCGATTCCGGTCAAGGGCATGTACTTTGGTTGTGGGCACATCGCCAGTAGGGGGTGTGCAAGAGGCAGGTGATCAATGTTTCTCATCGATGTTTCTAACTCTCTAGCCCTCTCTCTTCCTCTCTGTGAAAAATCAATAAAATATATTTTAAAAATTTATAAGCTCTGAATCTGAGAAAAGATTTTGCTGGCCATACCCATTCAATTAATATATAAAAGCACAATATGCTCCACAAGAAAAATTAGTGATTTCTTTATGTAAAAGCATTGAATTCTTTATAAATATTCCTATTTGAACTACTTCTAAAACTGCATTAGTAAAAAGTAACAATGACAATGAAACCTGCCAATACTATTTCCTTTCAAAAGTACCAGGAACTTACTCCTGATGTCTCATCCTGGGTTTCATTCACACGTTGCACTATTCCAGAAATACAGAGTGGTCCAGCAAAACCCAGTAAGTCAGCAAGATAACGGAATGTGCTGCTAAGTAGAATTGGACGTCCAAAAGCTCTGTACATTGCTAGCCATATAGATGGAGTGCGGTTTGGGTGATCTGCTACTTTTTTCTGGAAAAAAACAACAAACAAAAAACAGATGAACTTAAATAAAATGACTAGAGCAGCAATTAATCTTAGCCACTATGGAAATTTCTTCTGAGAATTATTTTTATGTTTATAAGTAACTGTTAATGAGTCCCTTTCAGTACAATATCCTGTGTTCTTGATTCTAAATTCTTGCATTCTATGCTACTGAATGCATTTTAATGAAATTGAGAAAATGAAGAGTAGCCAGGACAGTTTTTAAATGACATCGTATTATTTTTAGTTGTCAAAAGATGACCCAAAATTCTTAAGGACGAATCTATTTTAATTCACTTTGATTTGGAAAATGGAGCTCTGTCATGAATATACCAAATAACATTGTATAGAAAGAAGATAGCAACATACAAAGGCAAAGGTATAGACAGGCTAGTCAAGGTTTCTAGAGTTACTAGATGACAAAAGGTTCTCTTGTAAAATTATTATAAGCTAAACAAAACAGAAGAGCCCAACTTCATATTGTTTCTCCTCCCATTTCTGTGAATGGTAGATACTTTTAAAGTTCCGTTAGACTTGTATTTCCTAGTTCTTCCTTTAAAAATGCAAAAATAAAAAATGGCATATATGCTTAAGCCAACTCATAGTTTCATAGATCTATAGTTGTATGTTGAAAACATTTTAAGAGCTGAACAATCATCATAATTATCTCTTGGAGTAAAAATGGATAAAGTTTTTTCACTGTGGCAAAGAAGCTAATAGAGTTCAGTTGTATTTCATATTCAATTTCCTATTAAATGAATAATTTTATTCTTTTTTAAGTTTTTTTTAATAAAAAGGGTTAAATAACGCAACACATTCAAGTTCATCTGTTATAAGAGTACTAAAAACCACAAGTTATGCTTAGGCTATATTGTTAATCTTTACTTTAGGACAGTAGTTTAAAAATATTATGCAATACTTTTCCCAGAGGTGAAATCAAAGAGATGACTCAGGTTTATTTGTAGTAACCATTTCCTGAAATAATCATTTCATAATACACATATTTGATACAAAACAGAGGTCATTTTCATCATTTACCATAATCTTTTGTTGATCTTAAATTAAAACAGCCAAAAACTTTATAATTGATTCCCCATATTCTACTCCCTTCCAATGTTGGCTGTGTATACTCATATTTTTAATTACAATAAAATGTGCAGATGATTGCAATATAAGATACGTTTATTATATAAAGATCAATTAAAATAACTAATGTGAAATTACTTTCTGGCACACAGTAAATGCTTATTAAAATGTTATAGGCTCTGAATCTGAGAAACAAATTGAAAATTTGTTTGAAAATATCCAAAAATTCCTACATTTATATTTTTAAAGCAATTATACATATGCAAAGAAAGTACCAGAATAAACCAATTTTGGCTGATATATAGTTTGATACATGGAATAAATAGATGTACCCCTTTATCTGATTTATTTTACCAAGTTTGAAATTCAGCATCCAAATTTTAGTTAATAAAGGATTTTTTAAAAGTAAGTTATTAATGGATATAATCTATTTTCTATTTAAATAATAAAATTATTGACAAGATACTTGATAAAATACAACCAAAGTCCATGAATATTAAGATTATATGGCAACAACGATTAGACATACATTATCATTGAACTTAATTTTGACCTTCCACTTGGTCCAAGAGAAAAGAAAGCTCTCTCTATCTCTGCTCATATATTGACTGGGTAGCTGACACAACAGGTGGGGAAAAAGTAGGTTTACAGTTGTTTGTAGGGAAAAATAAAACAACAATTAAAAAATAATAATATAAGAGTAAACTCTGTGTTTTGCAAACTTACACTGTAAACTTACTTTTGCCCCACCCTGTATTTCTAGTTGATCCTCAGCAGCCCAATTAACATGACTCAAATCTACTGGGGAAGACAGAGCAAATCTATTCTTCCTTAATCATAGATATTATTTATGCTTAGTGCCTTTATATTTAATAGGTCTATTCTCCACAGTTGTCTTGAAAAACAGATGCTGTTACCTTTTGTTCTTCATATGCATCCTTCAGGCAAACATAATTTGTTACCGCCCTCATTGCAATTGGTAATTTTCCAATTGCCTTCAGATCAATAGGCTTTTTATGAGCAGATATGATAAGTGTGTTCATCCACCAGTATGTTGCTTTTGACAGTAAATTTACAAATGGTTGAAGAAATCTCACACCCAGATCCTGGAGGTCTTCAGGAGGTTTTACTTTCTGAGGATTCATGAAGAATACATATCTCTGTAGCAAGAAACATTCCACAAAGTAACAACCCAATTCATTTTCCATTCGTTAAAAATACAGTTTTAACCTTTTCTACATTTTCATTTCAAGAGGCCATAATTTATATTTGCATACTTTTGTCCATCCATTTCTGAAATATTTTTTTAAAAATATTCTCCTTTGGTTGTGACTCAATTAACTAATTGAATTCCAGAGTTTTACATTTAATCCACTTGGAGTCACTTCTTAAAAATCAATTAACCCTATAAAAGATAGTTATTATAGTACTAAAATTTAATCATTCATGTTATCCTGCGAGAAAGTCAACTAAATAAAGGTTTTTACATTGTTTATATTTTTTTTAAATAGGTGATCAGCACCATTATTGTCATTCTGTTAATTTGTGGGCTGACTAATATTATTGCAACATGTATCTTGCCATTCCGTGAAAATTCAAAGTGCACTGGTAGAAAATAAATATTGAAAAATCAGTCACTAGTATGTCACAATATAACTGGAAGCATTAGGTTCTGGAAAGTACCATAGATTTGTAATCACAGACCAGATATGAGTCTTGACCATCTTTCTTGGAAATATAGCAAAAGTTATCCCTATAGGAGTTTTTTGCATCAGTGAAATGAATAGGCTGGATTAGATAATTTTTTCAGCTTGAAATTTCTGATAATACAGTAGTTTGATTAACATAGGCTTGCTTTGAATCAATCATGGATGATGAAACTTCTAAGAAAAACAATTTTCTCTATACTATAATATGAACTAATCATAGTGTTCAGCACATAATAGGCATCCAATCAATATTTTTGAGTTACTAAATAGGTCCCAGGGTCAAATTGAGATTTCTGAAACATTAATGGTCTAAAACTTAATGATTAGTTCAACTTTATATTTATATACATACATTTCTTCATCCTCTTAAACACAAATGATTTCTAGCTGACTTTGATCTTTAACATTAATTCTAAGAACTGAACAAAAAGCCATTAGATACCTACTCTGACCCGAATGACATTGATCTCCACCGCCATCAGGAGTCCATTCAAGATTACCATTATGCCTGTGATGCAGAAACGCAGATCTGATACTCCCAAACCAGAATCCAAGTGCTTGACCAATTTTATAGTTTTTGTAATAAAGGCCATTACCCAATATAGGAATAGGGCTGAGAAAAGGAAGAAGAAACAGATTCAATATTTCACTGATACTTTTTTTTCAAAGCTTCCCTGAAATTTCAATGTAAATATAATGCTCTTTAATAACAAAGATGATTTTAAATATTCTATTTCCAGATCATTTTATTTGTTGAAAAAATACATGTAAAACATGTATGCTTTAGTGTAATGTACGGTAATGATTTTTAAATGTTAGTGCTTCCTTTTTGGATTATATCCGACAGATGTACAGGCATAAGGAGACATATAGGTAAGGATAGCCTCCAGTGGGCGGCAAACTGTAGCTCTGTTGACTAATGAGTTTGCTGACCACTGGCCTAAACACTTCAGAGGTTGTGTAATTCTGTAGACTTAAAAATTTACTTTATCTTTTGGTCTTGTTTTTTAAGAAGCCTTGATTATATGAATGATTCACTAATTATTTGTGTAATCTAACCATTAGATAAGTGCTTTGCAACTCCCAAGGATATGTCTATAGTGCTACCCTGGAATTATTATGGAGTCCATGTAGCTATGTCATAGGTTTGCTGCTTTACAAATCAGCATTCAAGTAGTGACCCTTCTCACCCAAAATGGCTTAAAACACCCCACACAATCAGAGCAAACCCAGGCTGCAAGTAGTCACGTCTGAATAACAATCCTACAAAGCAAACCCAGGCTGCAAGTAGTCACGTCTGAAGGATAAGGACCTACACCATCACAACTATAGACCAGAATTTTGCAGCAAATATAAGATGGAAGCAGAGACATTCCTAGAAATCTGTTGTCACAGGAGATTATGAGGGAAACATGCTGAAAAGGCAAAGATTTAAGACACAGAAAACAATAACTATACATGAAATAATGATGAATTATAGTACATCAAAATTAAAAATTTTATTGGAAGAGGGCATAGATCGGATAAATGGTGATGAAAAAAATAAAATAAAATATTTTATTTTATGTAAAAACTTAAAATTTTCTGATCATTATACTTTATTAAGTAAATAAGTGTCATTTTGACCCAACATTTTATTATGATCATTATCAAAACATATAGAGAGATGAAAGAATTATGCAAATACTCATATATCAACTTTTTATATCCATAGACTAGGAGGAAAATAGTCTCAAAACATGTATCTGATGATATACTAGTATCTAGTATATACAAAGTACTCCTACAACTCAACCATAAAAATAAAACCAAATAAAAATTCAACAAAAGATATAAATAGCCACTTTCAAAAATAACAAATGGCCAGTAAACTCATCAAAAAGTGCTCAACATCACTAGTCCTTAGGGAAATGCAAATTAAACGCACATGCCCACCAGCATGGCTAAGTTACAAAATTAAGATCATCCAATATATGGAGAGCAAGTGAACAACTGGAATTCCCACACATTGTTAGTGCGATTGAAAAATAAGCCACTTTGGGGAAAGATCTTGTGGCTTCTTACAAATATAAACATTTTCCTACCTACCCTATGCCCTAGCAATTTCACTTCTAGGTATATGTCCAAAAGAAATAAAACAAAGAGAAATAAATCCAAAAAAAAGCTTGCACATGAATGTTTATAGCTGCTTCCCCCCCCCCCCCATGATAGCCAAAACAGGAAACAGTCCAGGTATATATCAACAAGAGTATGAAAAACTCAGGTATATTTATACAGTGGAATACCCACAGTTACAAGAACAAAATACTAATTGATACCACAATATGAATGAGCCTCAAAAAATCATGCTGAGATAAAGTCTTACCCAAAAGTTTAAGCTCTATGATTCAATTTATATGAAGTTGTAGAGCAGTCAAAACTAATCTATGGTGGGGAGAAAATCAGAGTAGGTGTTGCTTTTATGGAAATGAAAATAAGGATTGAATGGAAAAGGCATTGGAGAACTTTTTTTTTTACTGATGATGGCAATGTTCTATGTAATTATAGGCTTACACAGGCATATATACATTTAGCAAATAAAGATTTTTGTACTTCAGTATGTAAATTTTATCTCACAAAGATAACTGTAAAGAAGTGTTTAAATTCTAGTTAACGATATGCATGCTGAAATCATCAGGGGATGATGCGTATTAATGTCTGCAACTTTATTTTTTGCAACTTACTTTAAATACACCAAAAGTAAGATGTACTGATCATTGAAGAGGGACAAAGAAAGACGTAGATATTTGATAAAATAGAAAAAATATATAAATCGAAAAATATAAAAAGTTGATATATGAGTATTTGCATAATTCTTTCAACTCTCTGTATGTTTGATAATGATCATAATAAAATGTTGGGTCAAAATTACTAGGTTTGTGATTTTAAAATAAGTGTGATCTTTATAGGTCCAAATATTACTTTCCTAAACTAAGGAGAAAGTTAGACTATTTTTTACCTCTTCCAGAAATATGATCGAATTATGCCAGGTATCTACATAAGAATTACAATCAAATTCAGATCACATTTCCTTCAATGTAGAAAAAAATGTATGGTTTATTTTTTTTAATTTCTTTATTGATTAAAGTGTTACATATGTGTCCTTATTCTCCCATTACCCCTTCTTACCCCCCCCCATGCCCTTACCCCCTTGTTGTCTGTGTCCATTGGTTAGGCTTATATGCATACATATAGGTCCTTTGTTTGATCTGTTCCCCTTATCCCCACTCAAAATGTGTGGTTTAATTATTACTTGCCTTAATTTCTCTATCAGTCAATGTTATGTTTCTCATATATAATCAAATGAAATTTATGAACCTTATAAAACTGTAAGTGTTCATTCATACCCAAACACATACAACTCTGTCTATAATTTTAGGAGATTCACAGGTCCCTGAAACCCATCCATGATCCACGCTCTATATCTTCCTCTTAGTTCTGTTTATGAAAGTGTACAGCCAGGAATGCTTAGATGGGTCAGAATATTGAATATAACTAATTAGGATGACATGTTATTTCAGTCTAAGGAAAAAGTAAAGAACATTTTAGACAGCCGCTGATTTCTACAGGTCTGGGAGGCAAGAGAAGCCGAAAAGATGATGTTAGGCATGATGAGGGGCTGTGCTTCCTCCTGCGCGTCCCACCATGGAGATGGAGCCAGCAATGCCCCCCACAGTGCCCACTGACCCATTGCTCTGGCCAGGAATCAAACTGTGACCTCCTGATTCATAGGTCAAGGCTCTACTGTTGAGTCACACTGGCCAGGCATGGCAGCATCGTTTTCAGCATGCTATGAAGGATACTCTGCCACATAGATTCCCCCAGTTCCTTGGCAGCAATTCTCTAGGAAGTGTGGCACTCCCACAGTATCAATGAAAGGCTTGAACCTTCTGAAAATGCCTCGGGGCTCCAAGCCAAAGACAGAAACATATGGAATCAGATGAGATGACCAGATGTATGGGACCATGCAGTGCCAGAGCTCCTCACAAGAGCTGTGATTCTCAGAATACAGCTTCTTTAAGCCAGAAGCCCAGCACATCCCCTCCACGTTCCTCCTGCCTCTCACTAACCCCTCATGAGGGGTGTTTAGTGGAGAACAGAGGCCTTGGCGATTGGATGTTTTCACAGCCTAAAGTAATTCAATTTATCTTCCCCTCCACCTTTATTGGGAGACTACAGAAGAATGCAACATTATAGTTTTCCCGTGTCTTCCCAATTCTTCCCAATCCCAATCCACGCTGATAGCAGTTTCTATGAGGAAAAGGGAAAGCAAATAGTCGTAATTTCAGGGGGGAAGGCGGACACTTGGTCATACTTACCTAAAAGTAATTTAGGAAAATTTGATGTCTCGATGTTATGATAATACACTATTGATGTTGTAGTGGCAACAAATCCCATCACGGCTGGCATGAAGAGATGGAGGTGGCGTGATGCCCGCCGTCTGTGGAGAGCAGGACAGTGTCAGTGTCTACAGCTGATGGCTCCAGAGAGCCTTTTATTTTGATCCCAATTTCCTCATTAACACTCTCTTTTAGCAATCAGAGACTTAAAATACAGAATACAGGAGTAGTTGCCAAGAGAACATATAAGGAAGATTATATTGAGGGGGCATAAATCTATTGAAAGTATCTACTTTAACATGAATAAACACAGCTAAACAAGACCTTAAAATGTAAACAATATATATATATAACTGCTCCAAAGCTAAAGGGAAGACCTGCTGAAATATTTTAACACCTACAGCAAGTAAAAACAATCCATTGAAATAAACTCTAATGTATGTGAAAAGTATGTCTATTTTTTGAGTTTTTCTAACCTTTGCAGGGATTTCTCCTTTTTCATTATCTCATTGAATACATACGTGTCAGCTGGTCCAGACACTGTATTGGATTCTGGGATGCAACAGGACACAAGACAAGTTACAGTGCCTGTGGTCACAAAATTTAGAGTCTAAGGAGGATAATAATAGTATATAGGAAGTTACAACTCAGGTGAAGGGACTGTGAGCACACACAGAGCTAGTGTCTATGACAGAGGAAGTTTTGTAAAAACAAAATGGACTTCTGAATGGAAACTTTACGAATAAGAAATTAGTACCCAGAGGAAGATAGAGGAGGAAAATTCCAGGCAGAGGGTCTAGATAAGATCTCGAGTACTGCAGACAATTCAGTATGATTGCAAGGAGAGGATGCTTTGTTCCAAAGACAACAGAGACCTTCGGGTGGATCAGAAACACCACAGGACAGATTTGCAGGGAAGACAGCCCTCGACTCCTTTTGCAATAGCAATGCCACACAATGAAACACTTATATTTTCTCAAATACATAAATATTTTAGTACACAAGCAGTATGGAAAAGAAAATAACTTGTTTGAGAGTGAGGGAAAGAGAAACATTTTGGAAAGTGACTTCAGAAGAGCTATGGTTGGCAATAAAAACTGAAATATAGAAAGGAATCCACTTGTCAGGAAGGCGGTAGAACAGCACTTTTAAAATGAGGGGACAGAAATGTGCAAATACATAGAAGCATGAAGAAGCATCAACATTTAAATAATGAGATAGGATAAAGGGCTTTGCATGCTACGTAAGGAGCTAGAATCTAATCTTGCAAAAGATTAAAATACTTTAATAGGTAAGTGGTACAGTCAGATTTAAGTTTTAGACAGATCAATCTGTTAGTAATGGGAATAATGGAGTTGAGAGGTAGTGTTCAGGTTTGAGGTGAGGGGAAAGACTTGGAAGGAAAGAAAGCAGTTGGCAAAGTATTGGTATAGGCCAAGTGAGGGATGATGAAGCCCTGACTTAAGATTTGGCAGCAGAAACATGGAGGAAATAATACATTTGTAAAATATTAACTGTTAAAATGGACAGGACTATAATAGTGTTATAGAATGAGGCTGAGGGTGAAGGAGATGTAGAGAATAATTCCCACGCTGCCGAAGTAGATGGTGGTGTGAACAAATAAGATTTTAAGAGCATGAACAAACAGGAGAGAGGAACCTAATAAGTTTCAGCAGGAGTATGTAGACCAATGAACATGCAAAGCAAGTTGTCCAATAGGCAAGTGTATGTAGAGATTTGTAACATGAGCAGTGAGGAATTTGGAATTATTAGTATAGACATATTAATGAAAGTGTGATAGCATAAAAACTGGCTTAAGAGCAACCCACCACTTTTGAAGTAGTTGAAAGTGTTCAAAGAGAAAAAGTAGGAAATAAATACTTCATCAGAAATTAGGAAATACTTCTAATACTCTTTAATTATTGAACAAAAGAAAGAATTTCACAAATCACTTAATATTTAGGATATTTTAAAATAATCATACTAGTTATGAAAGCATACAAAATGTTGTAAAAACTATACTCGGAAACATATTCATTATAATTATAAATAATTATAATGAAGCAAATAGTCAATTAAAGAAGTTTAAAAAAGAATGATAAAATATCATTAAGGGAAGCAATAATAAAGGATGAATAAAGATAGCAGTAGCTACTGTAAGGTTTTACATGTACTGTGCCATTTATTTGTGTCTTTTAACCATTCAAGTTTTTTATTAGGATTATTATCATATTGTTAGTGCTCTACTTACAAAGCTATCTGGTTTGCAAGCGGTTTCCACAACCCTAATCTTTCCCTTAAGCTCTATTATTTTTAGAGTGTGATTCACGGATCTCAGTTTTCTGTGGTAGTGTATGCATCTCATAGCAGAAAATCTTTAGTCAGAAAGTTAGGAGGAAAATTTAAAAAGTGCACATCATGGGGGACAAAAGAATAATTTCAAAAAAAAAGAGAAAATGATTTTTAAAAGTCCCAAATGAAAACATAATAATAGTGAAGATTTTAATATACATTTTAGCATATAAAGGATTAAATAATATAAAAACAATAAAGGTAACAAGACTTTAATAATCCAATCAGTAAACTCAATAAATTTTCCATCTCCTCTAAAGAATATGTATCGAGTATTTTACTATTATGAAAGTATTAGTAAGTCCTCAGAAGTATTCATTTAATAAATTGCATGCTCTTAAACCTATCAAGTTAGACTAAATAGCAAACTAAAAATGATTCCTAGACCTAGGAGAGTATCTATACTGGAATTATAAATTATTTACATAAAAATAAAAAATAAAACACATTACAAATATCATCGCAACATAAGGATATTTCAAAAGAAAAATCAATAGCTTTAATATCTATATTACTATAAAAATCAATTATTCAATTAGGAAGGTCTTTGCATTGTTTTGCTAATTATAATGAGCATACATGATATTTTAAGTAAAATATAGGTCATAAATATTTTGTTTAATAAAATAAAGAAGGAAGGAATGATTAGCTGCATCAGATATAATAACTATGTTAAGGAGAAAAGAGTATACATTAAGATGTTTTTAATGTTCATTGGGATTCTTATGGAAGCAGTTTCCATTATAGGACAAGGCAAAAGTAAACAAACTAAGTCTATGGGTTCAAAAGTAACTGGCAGATGGCTTTGGAGAGGCTTTATATAAAGGGTAAAGGGAAGACAGCTATAGCTGAAGAATGGGAAGAATAGGGCAAGATCAAAGGTTTACCTCTGCTTGTTTTTAGCATGGATCTCTTGTGCCACCACCACTATAAAACAAGGCCCTGCCATTAGCATATGTCCTCATCATTACTAGTTCAGTCTCTCTTCTAAGTCTCTGACATCAACCATGAGGCTGGAAAGAAGTCATCCTTGCCTGTGTGATGTCAGGGTTTTAGGAAATATTGGACTAACCAATCTTCCACTTTATATATACACATAGAAATATGTTAAGTCAGACTACACATATATTAAGGGAATAAAAAAAATGAACACTAGACTTGGCTGTGCTAATGCAATATAGTACAAACATGCCAGAGTGTTTTAAACAATTATCATTAAGATAACAACAGCCAATTAAGCTTCTAAATGCTTGGAGTGGTATCGTAGAGCCTCTGATTTTTCTTTTTATCAGAAACCACGATGTGCACATATATGTAAAGAACTCTCATACGACATTACAAAATAGTTGGCTCTGTGTCAGAAGTTTAGAAGTTTCATTCCTTGTTAATTACAACAGCAAAACATAAACAGATGTCAAGGGAAGTTTTACTAGATAAGAGGAAAATGAATGTTTTTTGAAGCTTTCTTTTTAAAATCTTTAAAGGCCCTTGCATATCAATTCTTCATGAAAGCATAATGTCATAATCAAAACTTTTCTATTATCTAAGTATATTTTCTGTTACTATGTGATAAAAATATCTTCCCTACATGATGTTCAAGTTTATAAATAGAATTCATTATATTCTAACTGCCTGATACAAACTTCTTCCTTTATAAGAATGACAAAATTCCTTAAAAAGTCAGGGTTTTATGACAAACCCTGGATTTAAAATAATTTTGTGCTGTGCCTAGATTTGTAGCTATATCCTAACAGGTTTTTGGACTCCTTTAATGCCTGTCTCGTCTATATTTGCTTCTTTACAAGATAAATGGAAACATCTGAAAACTGGTTATACATTTATATGTAAATAAATAGTACTATATGTCATATAGAGCTATATGTTATATAGCTACAAATAGCGAAATAAGTGTTTTAAAGGACAGAACTTTCTGTCAGGAGCAGAGAAACAGAAAATACGTTGATGCATACAAGCCACAGAGATCTGTACTTGTATTATCAAAGAAATTAAGTAGCAATACAAAAAATATGGCCAACATGCTTGATCATCATAGATCCTGGATGGCAGCTATTGTTCCTAAGTTATAACCGAAAAGTTAGGCCTGAGATGACATGCTTTTAGCTACTACCCTTATCAAAGCACTCTCTTGTACACATAGTGTAATCACATTAACTAAGTCAAGTCACTTACGAATCTGAAACTATGCCTTCTGCTATTTCACAAACATGCACAAATAGGAGAGCAAACGTCAAAATCCATCTCAGGTTATGTCCAGGAAAGTGGAGCCATGTGTTGTGATGAATTTGTACTTTCGAGCTTTGACTACCCCATCCTGAAAAAAAGAAAAAGTAAAGAGGTAAGTAAAAGGATCCATTATAATCACGGAAATAATTAACATTGTGATATGCTTTGGGAAGTTCATGAAAACTAGCACTTTCTAGAGAAATAGGGAAAATCCTGATCTATTTTCATTATGTTAAAAAATAATTTCAAAATTATTTTTACAAGACTACCTACGTTAACAGGTTAACACTTACAGCATTGTTCAGGAATACCACCACCTCTGAGTGACAGCATAATTATTTCATGCTAATCAGAGCTCTTACTGACATTTTCTGATTCAAAAGGAAAAAAATTAATGATAATATTAATAAAATAAATTTGGTGTCTAAAATCTCTCAAATCATAGAATCTATGGGAGATTAACAAAAAAGATCATATGTGGTGATGAAATATAGAACTTGTTAGTTGAGTCAACTCTTAATCATATGCATATCATGTGAGAAAAATGAAAACCTGTGACTGAGCCAGCACTATTCAACAGTGGTAGAGATATTTTCTCAAAGAAAGCTGAAGTCTTGTTCATTGTGGAGCTTTAAGTAGAATCAATGGCCAGTCTAGCATGGCTCAGTGGTTGAGCATCAACCTATGTGAACCAAGAGGTCACAGTTCAGGTTGTGGGCTGGATTCCCAGTTAGGGGCATACAGTAGGCAGCCATTCCATGATTCTCTCTCATCATTGATGTTTCTATCTCTCTCTCCCTCTCCTTTCCTCTCTGAAATCAATAAAAATATATTTTTTAAAAGAACAATATAGTTTCACCCTTAGCTCACCAATGAAGAAAAATTTCATTACATTTTAGTAAAATTTTGATGGTTTCCCTCAAACAATTAGAGTAATGCCAATTCATATGTGGTATACTAGGAAAAACTCCATTTTGTCTCATTTTGTCACCCTTTTTCTCTGATTTTTTTAATGCAGAGAAGTTCCACACGGGTCAATAATGAATGTATTGGCCACCATGAAAAATGCTGCAATGAACACAAGGGTGCATATATGTCTTTGCAAATAAATGTTTTTAAATTGGAAACAATTTTGAATAGTTATCAATAGAAGTGCTATTGATAGATGATAGAATAAAAATATATGGCACATATATACAATGTAATACTCAGCCATAAGGAAATATGAAATACTGTAATTTGTGACAACATGGATGGACTTTGAGAATATCATGCTAAGTGAAATAAGTTAATAACCATATGATTTCACTCATCTGTGGGATAAAACTGAAAGCAACAAATGAACAAACAAGAAAAAACAAACAAAAATTCATAGACTCAGAAAATAGTGGTTACTAGAGAAAAGGAGGTCAAAGGGGATCAAATATAAGATGATAGAAAATGACTTCACTTTAGATGATGGGCACAGAATACATACAGATTATTTAGCATAGAAATGTACATTTGAAACCTATATAATCTTACCCATCAATGTCACACCAATATATTTAATAAAATAAATTTAAAAATGAATTTTGTGCCTAAAATATTGCAGGAAGAAATTTCTTTATGTACAAATGGGATTCCTTGAAGCATTCTTTAAAAAGAAAATGGATTCATGTCCTATTTGTTACCAAATGAAATTACTATTAGATTATTAGTTACAGTTAACATGTTTTACTAGAATTTATGCCATAAAGTCTTACAGGCAAGCCCTGTGTCTTTTTGTAGCACTATAGTTTTCCTTATACTTGATACTACTTTGAGATTTATTTATGTTCTCTCACTAGCTAGCTCAAGTAGCCAATATTAGAGATAGTCTGCATTTTTCCCATTGACAATGTTCACTCCAGTTCCACTTGATTTAAATAACTTTGTGTTTGATGCTAGAAATGCAGATAGGAATAGGAATGTCATAATACTTACTCTAAAGATTGGATGTCAAAAAGAATTATTAATTATAGAATTGGATGTCCAAAAAAGAATTATTAATTATAGAATTGCACTTTTTAAAAAAAGATGTTTTAATTTGGACCACATGCCACTCATAATTGTCCTACAAATAATACCACATAAATGACTAGTATTCTATAAATGGCCACTATAGTCCCAATATATTGATTTAACATGAAAAATTATGTGTCAAGAGTATGTTGGCCTTTACATGACATGATATGCTTTAGTATAACAGAACTTCCCTTCCAGCTCCAAGAAGAATTAATTGTTCTAGCAGGTTAATTCCCTGGAAAATTTGTTCCTATATCTGTAATTGGACTTACAATGTCGTATATAGCAGTTCTCCTTTATCCTTGAGAGATACCTTCCAAGACTCCCAGTAGATGCATGAAACTGAGGATAGTACCAAATCATATATGTACTATATTTTCCTATACATACCTATGATAAAGTTTAATTTATAAATTTGGAAAAACACCAGCTGAAACCGGTTTGGCTCAGTGGATAGAGCGTTGGCCTTCTGACTGAAAGGTCCCAGGTTCGATTCTGGTCAAGGGCATGTACCTTGGTTGCGGGCACATCCCCGGTAGGTGTGCAGGAGGCAGCTGATTGAGGTTTCTCTCTCATTGATGTTTCTAACTATCCCTCTCCCTTCCTCTCTGTAAAAAATCAAGAAAATATTTAAAAAAAAAAAAAAACAAAAAGAAAAAAAAAAACACCGATTAACAAAAATGGCTAATAATAAAATCAATTTTAACAGTACATTGTAATAAAAGCTAAGTGAATGTGTTCTTTTTTCTCTCTCTCAAAATATTTAATTGCTCTGTATTCACCTTTCCATTTAAAATAAGCATTTTATGACTTCTCTTTTACATATTTGAACTTTCTTACTACTCTTGCACTTTGGGGTCATCATTAAATAATTACTTGAACACAAGCACTGTGATGGTGTGATAGTCACTGAGGTGGCTTAGTAACCAATGGCTGTGGAGCATGTACATCATATGGACACACTGGACAAAAGGATGAACCACATCCCTGGTGGGACAGAATGGGAAGACATGAGATTTCATCACGTTACTTAGAACAACATCAATTTAAAAATTATAAATTATTTATTTCTGGAATTTTCTGTTTAGTATTTTCTGAGTGCAGTTGACCACAGGTAACTAAAATTGCAGAAAATGAAATCATAAATAAAGGGGACTATTGTAATCCTTTATCGTAAGTTTGGCACATCTGTTTCACTAGATTATTCCAGTGAATATTCTAGGCAAATACTGTCATTTTCCATTCTCTTTAACTAACACAAAGTAAGACTCAACTAATGTTGTTTTTTAAAATATATTTCATTGATTTTTTTACAGAGAGGAAGAGAGAGGAATAGAGAGTTAAAAACATCGATGAGAAAGAATCATTGATCAGCTGCCTCTTGCACACCCCCTACTGGGGATGCGCCCACAACCAAGGTACATGGCCCTGCCCGGAATCGAACCTGAGCCCTTTCAGTCCACAGGCAGACGCTCTATCCACTGAGCCAAACTGGTTTTGGCAACAAATGGTTTTGATTTATCTCATATCATTATCTTTTTCCTCTTCAAAAAAAACACAAAAACTATTGCTGCTACTTGATGTCCATTTCTAAGATGGCATGTAAATTCTATTCTACCTACAGAATAGTAGGTAAAAAAAAATAAATAAATAAAATAAATAAATAAATAAATAAATAATAACTGGAACACAAAATACTTGCTTGTGTTTTTGTTGTTGTTGTTTGTTGTTGTTTTCTTACGGAGTTATATATCACTTCTCGTCTTGGAGAAATTAGTCAACATTATACTAAATCTCAGCATTAATAAGATCTTTTCATAAACATTAGGTGATGTAATATGGAACAGATTACTTACCAATAAACAAGATTGGGAAAGTGATAAACAACAGGAAGACATGAGGAACTAGATTGAGGGCATCCACAAAGCAGGTGTTTTGTAAAACACCAGTGTCGATATTGTATGAAGAAATGTTGTTGCCACAGAATGAAAGGCTCATTTCTTAATTTTTGTTTTACTCTAAAATGAAGATAAACAAGGAGAGCCACTTATTAAATTTTCCACAATAAAATTAATAGTCTTAAAAATGTGTTATCTTAAATCCTCAGAAAAACTATGCAAAGTTAGTAGAGTTATTCACAATTCACAGAGGAGGATACTGAGGTTCAGATTGGCTGAGTATCTTGCTAACCAGTAGAGTAGCTGGCATCCACACCCAGGTGTATGACTATAAACTATGTTTGTCCAGTTGTATCACACAGCCTCCAATCTCCTTTTTTTTAAGAAAATAACTTACCTATTCCTATTAAAGTATGTAGCAGCTTAAGATTTTAGCCTCACTGGACTTTGTTTCTTTTCCACATTTATGTAAGCCTGGATTCTGAGCTACTAGATTAATTAGTAAAGGCTGGCAATGGCTTGAATAACTGAAATAATACTATTTTTCTCTCCCCATTCATTGATTTTTTTTAATCAATGGTCACAAATAATATTTTTCCCTGGAAAAAAATTGTTACATAGAAAAGATTGGCCACAGTAGGTAAATTATTGGAGAAACCAAATTTCAAGCAAAAGTTTTATACAGCATTATATAAATAGAACAACTAGTTAGAAAGCCTATGTATTTACAATCTAGTAAAGCTTATTTGGAGTTCCTCTCACATATTATTTTTGATAAACCTTTTTTTGTTTTGATTAATCATTGATATGTTCTCTAGTTGAGACTTTTTATATCTTTAAAAACTCATACTTAAAAAAACTAAAGATAAGGTTATATACATGGCAAATCTTTATCAATGATAAGATTCTAAGCTGGATAAAAGAATTTAAAATAACTTAAGATCTTTAAAATAACAGGAAAACGGAAATTATGATTTATAATTATATTAGGTGTATTTCTGATAAAGATGAAAAAACAGAAAATAAAAAGTAATAGTAACCGAAACCAGGTTGGCTCAGTGGTAAAACGTCGGTCTGCGGACTGAAGGGTCCAGGGTTCGATTCCGGTCAAGGGCATGTACCTTGGTTGCGGGCACATCCCCGGTAGGGGGTGTGCAAGAGGCAACTGGTCGATGTTTCTCTTTCATCAACGTTTCTAGCTCTCTATCTCTCTCCCTTCCTCTCTGTAAAAAAATCAATAAAATATATATTTTTAAAAAGTAATAGTAGCTAGTAATGAATTTTTAATAGATATCATAAATGAAAACTTTAAGAACACTCTAAATTGAAAGACATGTATAAACTGTTTTATTTATTTCAGCTGGTTTTATAACATTATCCAAAATGATAATATTCCAATTGGTCACATTTATAAACCTTGACATTTAATCATTACCACGGAGTCAGATGCTAAAGATGTAATCTGAACTTGCAAAACATACTTCATTAGCTCAAAGGATAACCTGCGTAGTATTTAATCAGTCCGAAAACCAACCAATTAAGTAACTTTTGGATGAAAGTGTGTGACTATGGAAAGAAATTATCAGAGTAGTACAACAACCTGAAAAAGTCAAAGAACATTTTCAGTCTTGTACCTGCTATCTGGGAGACTAGGCCATTAAGTAATTAGCTGTAAAAATACTTACAGAAGCTGATCCTGTGCTAGACAATAGGTATCCCTGTGGTCCTAGACTGACAGCTACATCCATCCCAATAGTTCTTGGTATTACGTAAAGGTTATGGTGTAAAAGTCAGAGAAATATACAATAACGTTATCACATGAAGGTGCATACTTCAGATTGATAAAGCAAAGGCTTTAGAATGCTTTCTTCCTTCTACCATAATCTCTAACCTCAGATTCCTCCTTGTTCCCAACCTGTTCACTATCTCTCATCACATCTCTCCTTTTGCCTTTTCACCTGCCTCCTCTTCCATCCTCAAGGGTACAAATTACTGCTCTTGATGGCTCATTTCTGACCCCTGACATCTTTCAGCCCCGCCCCTTCTGGATCTGTCTGGTTCAGCTAAGCACTGAGAGGCCCAGCATCAAGGAGGAGGGAGAGGGAAGAGAGCGCAGACAAGAAGACATGACATTTCCCTCCTCACCAGCATAAACTCAGGGAAAGATGTTCAAGTAATTATTTAGGACAGCTGATAGAGTTAGAGAACTTGACTAAATGAACTTTAAAGACAAACATCTGAAGTGAAATTTTATTATAAGCATGGTCTGCAGAGAAAAAATAAAGTACTCCTAGATGACCAAACATGATTTCATATCAAGAATTCTACTCTCAGTATTCTTATTCTTTGAGGTGCATTCTATGAAGAACTACCCTCAGTAGTTAAAAATTTTGGATTTAGTTTATTTAGACACGCATAATAAAGTAAGGGAAAACTAGTACTCTTTCTTGTTCATCCAGCAGAGAGTTGTCAGTTCTAATGTAGTAGCAATCCCTGAGAATTTGACATGCTGGAAACACCTAAAGAAAACACACTAAAAGCAATATTAAAACTTTCATTCTTATTTATACAATAACTCACTCTTTAGTTATTCGGAGATTAATTAAATTATGTTATGAGAAAGGAACGTAACATTTTAAATAATTGACTTAGGACTTCATCCTTATCTAGGGCATTTTCAGGATCGGATAAACTAGTTATGAACACAAATGTAATACTGTTTTTGAAGTTATTCAGACGATGGTTCATAAAACATGAGCTCAAATATGTCTGTCTGTTTATATATCTATCTACCTATTAATATAAATGACAGATCTGAGTGGGAAAATCACCACACACACACACACAAAAAAATGACCACCGACTTCTGGTTCACTGCCTAAACTGAACGCACGCACTGAAGTTCTACCCAAACTAAAGCAAATGTTGGCACTGCTCCGCAGATAAGATTCCTTACACAGACACGCCAATGGATTTTTTTTTCTCAAATCCCAAACTAAACAAATAAAGCAACAAATAAATACCTTGGGTGTTCGCTTGCCACTGGCGCACTGGCGCTCGCTCCCTTCTACACACCGGCTTCCTACCCTGTCTTTAGGGATGAATTTCAAACCGGAAAGCAGAACTCCTAAAAACAAAGAATAACAGAAATGAAGCAGATAGCGAGCTACTTCGTGAAAACCACAGTGATTGTCTATAAGAGAGAGAGAAAAATAAAAATAATATTAACTCCTTACACTATCACTCCGGTGGGTTAAGAAGGAGCCGGCGGTTTTGCAAGAACCGCTGGAAACCTGATCCCCACGCCCTCTCCTCCCGGCCGGCCCGCTCCCTGAGCCTAGAAATAGCCGCCTGGGAGGCAGAGCACTGGAGGGTGCGCGGGCGCCTTTGGGTTGGCGAAGTAGGAGCTCCAACCCGACGGCTGCTTACAACGTTAAAATGAATTTCATGTTAAAAACGGGGGCTCACTTACTCCGAAGGCAGGGTTTTCCTCCCCTCTCCGAAGCCCGCAGGCGCCGCGGCGGAGTATTTTTAGGGTGGTGGGAGATCAGCTGCTGCCTCCTATCGGGTTTCTGAATTGCACAGACTGTTCTGGGCCGGGGCGGACGCGGCCGCTCGGAGGCAGGAAACTGGGCAGCAGCCCCGAGCGCAGCGCAGCGCCAGCGACTGGAGACCCTCCCCACCCCCGCTCGGCCCGCAGAGCCCGCTCCGGAGCCCTGACTTGGGGCGCGCGGTGCCCAAATTCCCCCCCCCCCCCCAAACACAAGGAATACGCGTCCTCCAAGCTTCCTCCGACACCGAAACTTGCACCGTGTGATGCAACGATCCACCGGAGTCTGGTTTTTACGCGTCAAAGTGCGCAAGGCATTCACTTGCATTTGTCTCCCCTCCGGGCTCTGTTTGCGCCCTTTTCATGAATCACACAAGGAGGCAGATTTGGGGGGTTCACCATGTCTCTCCCCCCCCCCCCCCCCACCCGAGCAGACCAGGGTAATGCAGGGCTCGTTCCAGGCAGGACAACCGACTGCCCTGGTGTACTGAGTGCGTGCGAAGGTTTTGCAGGAGCCAGGCAGGCTCCAGGGAAAGGATGGCCCAGGCACCTGGAAACCTCGGTGCCCCCTGCGGACCAGGGGCCGCGCTACCCTCCTCCCAGCGCCCCGAAGTGGGACTTGGGCTCCCACGGCTGCACACGCAGTTCCCCCTAACCCGTGCTCCCCACCGGAGTTAGGGAGATCGTGTATCCTTCGGAAGATAACGTGTGTAACTCACATTTTCCCCTAGACCACCTTCTGCAAGTAACACTCCTCATTTTCCAGGGCTCAGTGGGCTGGAAGGAAGCACTGTTTTCAAGCAACTGTCCTAAATCTGGTAAATGATGGCCAGGCAGGCGGGCTGCTGCCTCTATGGCTCCCCGCGCGAACCCCTAACCCAAGGAGCGCCGCTCCAAGGTCAGGCCACCCGGAGCTGGATCTCCCGGACCTGAACCCCAAACCCCGGCGGCCTCCTGGCCTCCCCTGACTGCGGCCAGAGGCCGATTCCCGCCCTGCAAGCCCCCGGGGATTTCCTCGTGGGCGCCTCACTCTGGAAGGACTCCGCGTTCCCAGATGGGTGCCTGGCTTTGGTCAGCGACTGAGACTGGAACCCGTGGCCGCTAGGGGTCTGCAGGGCGTTCCTGGGGCCACACCAGGGAGGGTCGTCAAGGCTCAGGCCCTGCGGCCTTTAAAAGCTTTGGCAACGAACTGCATTCCCAGAGCTGTTTGGGGAGACACAGGCGCACAGGGAGAAAAGAGAGCGCTTCAAAGATTGGGGTACTGGAACTAGGGAGCTGCAAATAATCCCCAGATACAGGCTCTGAGTGTGACTACACAAAATCAAGTTGATTTTAAAAATATATATCATTATTAAGATTATTTAGAATGATAAATGCTTATTGTAGAACTTTGGAAGATATAGAAAAGTATAAGGCAGGCCAATGAGCCCCCAAAGTTATAAAACTACTGAAAACATGGTTCTATTTTAACAAAAAACAAGCCAGAGTATAGTGCTTAAAAGCATGGATGCAGAAGCTTGCCTGCCATCAAATCCTGTTATCCCACTTGT